TGAAGCAGAAAGCATTGCTAGTTGGAGATTTCTGGCAACGTGTTACCTGCAGGGTCGAACGGGTTTGCTGGTGGTGGCATAAGCCCACTGGAATCTTCGACATTCTCCAGATGCGTGGTCCGAGCATTATTGTCGTTGGGTGCAGGTCCAGACCGTGGACTGACCGGAACCTCATTCGCGGCAGAAGCTCCATTCGATGAAGCAGCAAAATCAACAACCTGACCAGACACCGCTCCAGCAATAGCTTCTGCTGGCGCATCTTCCACTTGCGTCCTCTGATGTGCAAGAGGCCAACTATCAGGTCTCCAAACAATCGTCACATTCTGAGACCGATCGGCAACACCTTTCCCATGCCGCTTGTAACACTTCTTGTAATCATAAACATCCTGGGCAGTAGGATGGTTGGTATCAGGCTCAAAGATGCCCTGACCACCCATCTCTGCCGCGGCAATGCCTTCTGACGAGTCGGTCCATTCATTGCCTCCGCAAGTGTGAAAGTGCCATTTTCCAGCCTCGTTCGGAACCACTCCGTCCCAACCGGTTGTACTTGTTCCTTTGAATAATGCGGTGATATCGGGCTTGACCATCTTCACGGCGCTGAAGTCTGGCATTATGTTCGGGTCGTACAGAGTAGTGCTGTTATCACGGAGGCGAATCTTTCTTCTCGCAGGGGCGGTGGTACCTTTCTCAGCTCCTTGCTGGCCATTGCCCTTGAGAACGCCACTGGAGCGCTTTTTCGTATTGGCGCTGGCTAAAAGGGATCCTCGAAATGGCTTCAAGATCACACCATCCGACAGCGTCATGACTTGGGCCAGACTAGTACCACTTCTGTCCTCACTCTCGATTGAATGCTGGACTCCTTGAATTCGTTCTAGTCTGATCCGCTCGATGTCAGAATCGTTAATGTAAGTTCGAAGCATCCATTCGCCATCGTTGTTCAGAATGCATTGAACTTGAGCCAGCGGACCGGTTTGGACAATTTGCGACCTTGCCAGGCCGTCTTGTGGATGCGGCCTTGTCTGGGCCATTGCTTACGAGACCTTAATTGGGATAGCTGAGCTGGGCAGCAGCATCTGCGTGGGACCAAGTTTTGTTTTCACGTCTTGAGCCTCTCTCGGCCTTTGTGTAAGACAAGCAAACTTGCTGGTTCATCAACACACTGCAGCATGTCGATCCCTTTTGCCTAGATTGCATTGTTCCAAGCCAACATGAAAGGATGTAGCAAGCATTCCGCCAATAATCATCTTTCATCTCATCATTAGCATTACAGACTCTATTGCCTTTTAGTAAGTATATCGGAATCCCTCTGTCCTTTCAAGCAAAGCCTTGCCAGCCCTTTGCCTCTTGTTTGCCGTCCAAAAGTAAAGCGAGAAAGCCGCGACAAAGCCAACAAGCAAGATGTGCGAACCTATCGAAATCCACACAGCAGTATGATACGTCGGCGCTTCGCTTTGTCGCACAATGTAACTTCCAGCAATACCACCTGCTCCATTCATAGCTGTGACCGCGGCAGCTGTGAATGCCCGTTTCCATTGACCGGCGATGTTGTTGTTATAGTACGCTGTGATTGCTGCCCAGTTCGAGACGTATGCTCCCGTCGCCAGATACGTTCCGATATATCGGACCGTGACTTGATCAACGAAGCCAAGCATGCAGAAGCCTATGATCAGGCAGACGGAGTTGAAGAAAATGACCGGCCCTCGAATGTTGTACTTGTCGCTGACCACGGAGGAAATGATGACTGGAATGACACTGTAGTAATATGGCGGTGCTGACAAGAGAATCGATTCGTTCTCGCTGAAGCCCATACCTAGTCGAATTGTCAGTCTGCTCTCAACCGATATATAGCATCCCACTCACCAGACTGCAAGATGATCGGCAAAAAGTACGACAACGCAGTCGAAACGATGTTGACCAAGAAGAACATGCACGCAAAGCCATAAACCTTTGCATCCTTCGCGTGTACCAGAACTTTTCCCCAAGTAAAAGGATCAGCTTGAACATCTTTGCGATCCTTCTGTATTCTCCCAATCGCCAAATCCTGTTCCTCGGGCGTCAAAAACCAAAGGCTCTTATGCGCGAGTTCTGGAAAGTCGACCATCCAGAAATAAGTTAAAGCCCCAAGGAAAATCGTAATAAGGCCTTGCACGAGAAACATGTACCTCCAACCCTCCAACCCACCTCGCCCATTCAGCTGATTCAAGCCAAAATTCACAATCGAACCAGTTGCCAGAATCATGACTTGTCCACTCTGCAGAAACGCGAATCTAGTCTGCTGTTCTTTCCTCAAATACCAAGCGGCAATCAGATAACTCAAGCCCGGATAAATCCCACTCATACACATTCCCAAAAGCACTCGTAACGCGATCATTTCCTTCCAGGTGTGTATGAACGCCGTACACATGGTGATGAGTCCGAAGGAGAATGTGATGAACGAGAACCAGATTCTGGGACCGATTCTTCGGACGGCGATGGTACTAGGGAGTTGGAAGGCAATGCTTGAGATCGTGAAGATGAAAATCGAGACGGAATAGCGTCCGTCACGATCGAGTTCCAAGTCGCTCAGCATACTCGTCACGCTTGCGGAGGAGATGATGCCGGAGTCCAGAAGGTTGAGAGAGCAGAGAATGCCGGCGATGGTGCATAATCGCCAATCGACTTTCAGACGCAGACGTCTCTCCAAGTCGATGAGGGAGGCATTGGTGAGTGAGGTGGAAACGTCGGTCTCGTAGCCCGAATCGTCGTCGTTGTCAGGACCGAGGACGGGCGCATGAGAGCTGGAGTCGTGGCTGTGGTGTTTGGATGTGGTTGTCGCGGTGGCGCTGACATCGAAGGCCTTGGATGGTGAAGATGAGGTCGCCATGCCGGCCCTTGTTCGCTCAGTCGATGCAAGTCGCAATTACCGGGGATCACATCTTGTTGGTTGCATCGTCTTCCCGCCACATAATCGTTTTCTGAAGACCGGACATTGACAAGGATGTCGATTGCTCATCAAAGTGGAGTGGAGCGTCCCGACGGCCGAGGTGGCTTCGGCGAATCCGGAACAGGGCCGAGGCGAGCACTCGAAGGTTCTGAGCGAACGGTCAAATTAGCTCTGATTGAGCAAAATCTTTGCTATCACGTGAAGTAAGAACATCGCTGAAGAAGCTGTAAACTACAGATACACGTCGATGCAAACGCTTGCCGCCCAGTGGTATCATCGCGCAAGGCCCTGAGAGATCAATACACTCTATGCGCTGAATCGAGTGCGCCGTTACAATCCATTATCGCATCCTTTGCAACCCAATCTTTGCTCTTCGTGTCCTGCCCCTTTCATTATCAAGATCGCGGCACAGAAGCGCGACCGTCATCGTATGCAGCATATCTTGGTGGAATGCCGCTGGTCCCATGAGGTACTGGCTCATAGTACACTGGTCGCCGGTCATCATACACAGGCTGGTGATGAGATGATGGCGCGATAGTAGTATACACGTGTTGCTCCGGCACACGAGTATACTGCTGCTGCTCGTATGGGTTGGGAGCATACTGCACGGGCGCTGGTGCAGCGTCGATTGGAATTAGTGGCCTGCCATACTGATCCACATAGATTGGCTTCGAGGCAGGTCGTTCGTACTGGTAGCCTGGTGGTATGTACTCGCGTTCCGGCACTTGAATATACTGTACGGGAGCTTCGCGATAGATCGGAGCGTGGGCCGGCTGAGCGTATGCATGCCTGTCCTCGTAGACGTACTGGTACTGTGGCGGTGAGTGTGCCAGTGCTGGCGCAGGAGCTGCGCGTGCTGACTCCATATATGCCTGGTGTTGATGCTGATTCTGCTCGTAATGTCTGCTGTTGCGTGACAGTGCCGCCTGTAGCTCTCCGACGTCATGTTGCACGACGGGCTCTGGTTGCCGTGGCGGCTGCTGAGGTACGCTATCATAGCGAGAGCTGGGACGTCGAGCTTCGCTTTGATAAACAGGTGTTTGTTGATGACTTATTGTGCCATAACCACTAGAATGCTGTTGGCGTGATGAACTACCAGGCCTGTGGCTGGCACTTGGTGGCGTTGTCAAGGCAGTTTGACCCGTGAGTGACGCCAAAATTGCGGCAATATCAGGAGGACCCGTGGGAGTTGTCAACGCTGCAGGTACCGATGCAGGCACTGACGTAGGCACCGAAGGTCTGGAGGTAGGAGCTGGCTCCGCGCGTCCAACAGATGGACTGCGACTGGCTCGATCGTTGACTGGGTGTGGCTGACGTTGCAGTGTTATGGACGTCAGGCTCTGTAAAGCAGCAAGGGTTTCTGGTGCAAGATTGAATCTGCTGGCTGCTGGCGGCTGAGATGGTGGGTGTGGCGCTGCCTGCACCGCAGGCTTACGAGCGTCGGTGTCGAATTGAGCAGGATCTGGTGCTTGGGACTGGATAAGAGCGGGACGTAAAGGATCGTATTCGTCCTCCGTAGGCTCAGGCAGAGGCTCCTGGGAGCTGTCACGGTCTTGGCTGCCATTGGCTGGTTTCTGTCCTTTCTTCTTGCTTTGAGCCTTCTGGGACTTCTTTCCGAGACGTTCCAGCAGGCCCTTCACTGGCTTTGGTGCCACAACTTCCTCAGTGACCAGGCCAATTTTTGGCAGCGGTGACGGAAAAGCAGCAGGAAAAGCAGCAGCTATCAAAGCAAGCTTCTCGTCATTCATGCCAGGACTTAGCATCAGATCCTTCAAAGTGGCTCTCTCGGGCACCTCGATCATGTTGGCAGTCCAGTCAGCTGCGCCAAAAGGCGTCTCTGGCTGATGCATGAGCTTGAAATGAGTGATCAACGATGACATGTTGTATAGCTTCCAGCCTCGGATCCGGCCCCAGTAAGAAGTTTGATCCTTACTCGGTGATACAGAGATGCAGGATTTGCAAGCAAGACCGCTTACGTGCTTCAGAGGACGAATGCTATCACTTGTGGCCAGAGCATCGGTGAGCAGATCGAGCACAGGCTGGTGGTTGAATCGCGACTTGAAACGAGCCACAGCATGATGGATCACGGTCTGGATTCTGACGCATTCCAGCAGGTTCTTAATACCACCGAGAGCGTCCCATACCTCGCGGACGTCACTGGAAAGCTGATTCATCTCATCATCGTGGCTTGACTCAACTTGAGGCTTCCCCGGGAGTGACTGCTCATGGAAATACCCGTTGGCCTGAGCTACCGGATGCGCTTGGCCGTACTGCGGAGGCGGGTAGCCTGGGCTCTGACTATGTCGACCATTGGCATATGGCGTCGCATGGGATCCTGCAGGAGCACCGTTGAAAGGACTGTCGTGGCCTTGCCCTTGCGGAGTATTTCGAGCCCGACCCTGCGACCTGTAATCGGAAACCCTACGGTCAGGCTTAATGAATAGGGATGGGTTGGTCTGGAAAGGAGGCCTGTCTGGCCATTTTGCTGTCTCCCAATGGACGATGATGTTGCCCTTGCTGAAGTCTGATGTATGCTTGGCGCCATAATGCTGGATCAGTCCTTCAAAGGCGAACAATTTGGGCTTGTCCTCGCATCCAGCACACACGAAATGCTCCTTGCGCTGATTATCTGTAAATGGCCTCACCTTGTTCTCATACACCCACTTCATATTGTCCAGAGACAGGAATGGTGATTCCGAAGGTGTAGGTTGGTTGGAGCCTTCCTGCCTTGGCGGTGGTTCCAGCTCAGCGAGGGCGCCGGATTCCTTGTCCGCGGTATAGCACTTCTTTACATGCAGCAAGACTTGAACAGCAAAGATGGGAATGTTGTCTCTGTCCAGCATCTTGCCGCCTTTCCACTGGCCATTGATCAGGTCGTCAGCGTACTCACCGAGCCTTTTGCGTAGAGGCATTTGAGCATCTTGGTACTCCCGGTCATAAGTTTCACGCGCCGGTCTGGAAATGATATCCTCTGGGATGGGCATTGGAACTGAAGCCTGCAATGCTGCCAAGACGGATGCTCGTTCATGCTCGGCGAGTTCTGCGGCCTCCCTCTGGGCCAGAATCCGAGGCTTAAGAACGTCCCAAGCAGAATCCGTCAACGGGGAGGTGATCTGCATGGCAGCCTGGAAGGTTTCCATGTGCATCAGCACGTTTGGCTCCACAGGTGGTTCCAGTTCTTGACATCGCCGCTCAATCTCGGCTTTCCGGGCCTGGCGAGCCTGTTCAACCTCATGTTGGTTTTTGACAGTTCTGAAGTGTGGCTGCGGGACCGGTGCAGGAGTGAACGGTGAATGATGGAAAACGGCCGGCTGGTATTGCGGAAAGGGAGCGCCATATCCATTCTGAAAGACATGAACAGGCTGCGGCAGAGGGTGCATTCCTATTAATCTCAGGTTAGGGTCGAGATCTGCCAAAAGCTAGAACGTCCATCCGAGGCCGACAGTATAGATTTCTGAGGGATAAAACGAAGACGAAAGTGATCGAATGACTCGAAGGATACAGATCTGGCCGAAATCACTCGGACTAGAGTTGAGAAATGTTGCTTACCGTTGGTCGTCACAGACGACGTCGTACCGTTTACTCCAGGTTGCCTACCCTGCATGTCCTGGATAGATTGCGAGCGTGGAAAAGAAGAGGGATCATACTCCCTGAGCACTTGCGCAAGATTTGCGCCGAGACGCAATTGCATCTCCCACTTCTCCCAGCGAGCTGAGTCGGCCATCATGTCTTTGCCTTTGGTGAACAAACCCTTGCGCCATTCGTCTACTGCGCCATCTCCAAGGGACTTTGCCTCTTCTTCCTCTGCATGGAGAGCCTTGAGATCGGGGCTGTAATACATCTTGGAAAATCGCAAGTGTCCCGGGATGCCGCCGGGGAGCTGTCGAACGGACTCGAAGGCGAAATGGTAGTCGGGAGAGCGATATGCGAAAGACAGTCCAAGTCGCAGTGGAGCCATGGCTGGGTCCGACAGAAGCTGCACATCCTACACACCATGTATTAGAGGTCGCGAAAAACAAGACTTTGCGATATAACTTACTCTCAATAATTGAGGTTCTACGCAGGGGCCACAGGATCGGAGGCCAAACGGATACAGCACACGTACACCCGTGTGTCCAGGACCGCAATTGAAGACTGAAGTGGCGGGAGGAGAAACTGGATCCCTCCCACAAAATTGGCAGGTCTTGCCTCCCAGGAGCTGCAGCATTTCCAACTCGGAATACCTGGCAAGAGGCCGTGGCAATTGCGGGAAGAATGTTTTCCTGGCATTTGCCCATATACTCTCACTGTCCACAAGCCGAGCTGCGGACTTGTCCAGGGGAGATGGCGGCGTAGCCTTGATACCCGTGAGGATGTGATTCAGCTCTTTCGAAACGCGCAAAAGACGACAAAGCGACGCAGGCGAACAATGCATGAAAATGCGCTGCCAGGCTGCGGGAGGAAGTGGGACTTCTCGGGGTGGGTCAGACAGCTTGCGCTTCTTGGATTGATCATCGGCAGTCACTGTATCAGCGTTGCGGTCAGCATCTTTCACAGCATCGCTGAGCTTGCGCTTGGCTCCGTTTGGGACGGCGATATCGACAATGGCAGGACCGTCGCTATTGGCAGTAGCGACGGCGGGCGGTGGCTCAGGCGTGGCAGGTCGGCTTGGCTCGGAAAGATCCATTTCTGAAGAGGAGTCGTCGTCGAGTGCGGCGTCCACAGGTTGGGCTCCAATTGAGAGAGGCGCATCTGCTTCCGGGTTTGAGGGAGGCGATGGTGATGCTGTGGCAGAGGGCGTGAACTGGTTGTCAGTCAACGCGACAGCTCCCAGCGGTGGCTGTTGCGCGGTGGCCAGCGGAGGTGATGCTGCGGGCGCAGGTGAGTTGTTTTCGTAGAGCTCATCCCACGACTCGGACGGCGCGTCGCCCTCGCTGGAGCCTCTGCCGTCGTCGCCTTCCATGATGAGTGCGCGGCCGGTTGTGCGCGCCAGTCGCGATGGTGAACGCTGTTAACGGCAGGTAAGTGCCATGCTCCCGCCCGAATCAGACAGCAGCTGCGTGTTAGAGGAAAAAAAGAACAGCAGAAAGAACAGTCGACAAACCAGCAGTGCGAATACGGAACAGTGATGCAAATGCTGATACTCTGTGGGAGGGCGGGCAAAGCAGAGCTCCCATGTAGATGCAAAGTTGGTGATGTCTGGTGTTGCTGTTGCGCTTGGGGAAGCGAAGCGTGGGAGGCCAATACAATTCGCGAGGCGGAAGCGCCCGACTTGTCGAACTCAGTTGCACTATCACGTGCCATCCCATTCACATGTTCGTCACACCAACTCAGCGTTCCTGCCATCTCCATTCACTTGCCGTCTCGAAAAGTCGAACAAGCTCACCTCACCTCGCACTTCGCACCTCGCACCTCGTACCTCGCGCCTCGCACCTCGCACCTCGTACCTCGCACCTCGCACCTCGCACCTCGCAGTGATGCTCTATCACATGCAGCTGCTCGAAGAGAGCAAGACTACGACAATCTCGTATTTGTTCGTCACAGCCCGAAAACGGATCGGCTTCGAAAACGAACTCTGAGAGAAGGATGCATTCGCGCGTGTGCTGCTCATCTCGGCGTGATGGAGATAGGCTCTTCGACTATTGAGGACATTTGTGCTTCGTGCACAGATTGAGGTCGATGCGAAGAACAAGGACAGGCATACAGCCTGGCCTTGCTGGATCTGATCACCGTTCCGCACCGCTACTAACAGCTCCCAAATGTCGTCGGAAAGACATGCTCGCTTGGAACGTGAGATTGACTCGAGACGAGACACACCTGCGCTGCACAGTCTGCACGTCGTAGACAGCCGTCTGGACTCTATACGTTGCTGCTTACGACATAACCTACATAACCTGTTCACTGAGTCATAGAGATATTGCTACTGATTCCCGTGGCCAGCCTCAGGGCGGTACTTGAGCGACAACACAATAGCATGACCACAGAAGTGAAGTGAATGTGAGGCTGCACATTTTCACATTTTTGCCAGCCACGCCACGTGGCTGAGCGCTCGGGATGATGTAGACGCCGCGTCCTTGGGCCTTGGCCGTTGTTCCAGCTGCGCTGCCCAAGCTCCATGTCCGTGTCCATGTTTGACCACACCACCCTCCTCTTGTTGTATGCACATTTCCTTCTGCTTTGACCTTGCTACACTCGTAAGGCGATTGGCGCACATCCAGCACGTGTGCCGTCGCCATTGAATCATCTCGACAACGACCCTCGAATCAATCATCCCCACGCTCATCTCATCAACATGGCTGCCTTAAATTTGAGCCAGAACGGCCCCTCTATAACGGCCAGCTACCAGAAGATTGTCAACAGTTCGCCCGCAGGCGCGGCGTCAGCTTCGCCCACATTCGGAATATGGGCCGTCTTCTCGGTCAAAGCTCCGCTCGCCAATGCCTTCCAGACCGACTCTGGCAAAGAGAGTGTGCTCTCAGTGCAAACCACTGGCGAGGGAGAATTGGCAGATCTGATTGAAGAGTTCTCAGATGGACGAATTCAATTCGCCTTTGTCAAGGTCAAAGATCCAAATACCACATTGCCCAAGAGCGTCCTCATTGCCTGGTGCGGTGAGGGAGTGCCGGAGAGGACCAAAGGATACTTTACGAGCCACCTAAATGCCGTCTCGAAGGTGCTCCATGGCTACCATGTGCAGGTCACGGCGAGGTCTGACAGAGACCTCACGCCTGAGCTCATTGTGCAGAAAGTAGCCGACTCATCTGGATCCAAGTACAGCGGAGGTGGATCTGTGCCTTCAGCAGCTGCCGCAGCCGCTCCACTACCTCCCAAGGCTTCAAAGCCAGTTCTTCCTACCAAGACCTTCCAAGTATCCAGCGGCTTCTCACCACTCGGCCGCACGCGAGCACCTCAGCCATCCATGGCTACGGATGCAGACGGATGGGGCGCAGATGCTCCACCAGTGACACGATCGCAGCTTGAGAAGGTCGCACCCGCATATCAACCCACCAAAGTCGACATGGCTTCATTACAGACTCAGCGCGAACCTTCGCAGTTCCAACGACCACCACCCGCAAGCAACGGAAGCAGCGCAGATGTTGTAAGCGGCGGATATCAGCCAATTGGCAAGGTAGATATTGCAGCGATCAGACAGCAGGCACAAAACTCTGGCAATGTGCAGGACGACAGACCGACTGTGGTCAAGGGCGCATACGAACCCGTTGGCAAGGTGGACATTGCTGAGATCAGAAGGAAAGCACAAGGTGCTCCTGCGCCTGCACCAGCGCCCCCGCCAGCACAGTCTACGGACAACGACGAGAATCAGCCTAGGTCGCTGGCTGATCGCTCTGCAGCTTTCACACAAAACAGACCTCTGACCGAGCTTCCGAAACCAAAGGTCGCGAATCGATTCGGATCTTCCACAAGCAACTTTTCAGGCACCAAGGCTCCAGCGCCTGTGGGTTTCAGCTCCAAGCCGATTCAATCATCAGCGCCCGTTGGAACAGCAAGCAAGACTTTCGCAGATGAGGGAGGCAAAACTCCAGCACAACTTTGGCAAGAGAGGAAAGCACGCGAGCGTGGCCTGAGTGGCGCAGGAGATACACAACCACCAGCAGGATTGGGGCAGCCTGCTTCGCCAATCCAGAGCCAGACCAGTGGCGGATGGCATAGCGGGTACGGCGGAAAGAAGTGGGATGTTCAGATCCCGACTCGAACGGGCGGCAGTGGTGTGAGCGAGCAACGTACTGGACAGAATGAGCCCATTCAAGAAGAGCTCGAACTCCGTTCGGGTGGAGTTGGCTCTATCAGAGATCGCTTTGCGGGTGCGGCACCTATGGGCGCTCCACGCGACTTGACTGGCGACGCTCCTGAGCCTCCGCCACTCGACACTTCTTCAAAGCCAAACGCGGGCGCTCGCGGAGTTCCAATTCCCGGGCTGCCTACACGACCTGTGGAGGATGTGCCCGCACAGCAACATCAAGACCTGCCACCTCCTCCGCCACGAGGCGTGCCACAGGATGAGGAGGAAGACGAAGACGAGCCAATTCCTCAAGGCTCACCTGTTCGCATCGCTATGCCAGTTGGTCGTGGTGCAGATCCTGTTGAGCCAGCAGAACAACTGCCTCCTCGTGCCATACCAAGCGAATCACTTTCCAAGGTAGCTTCACAACACCATGACCTCGAGCCAGAGCCACACGTCCATGACCAAGATCCATCGCGAGGAGCTGCTCAGGCTGCTGCTGCCAGCACTTTTGGGCACCAAGAAGACGCTCGCGGTGCTGGTGCATCAGGCGGACACGAAGCTATTGCGCAGTACGACTATGAGAAGGACGAAGATAATGAGCTTGCTCTTCAAGAAGGTGAACGAATCATCAACATCGAAATGGTTGATGATGATTGGTGGATGGGAGAGAACAGCAAAGGCGAGAAAGGTCTCTTCCCAAGCAATTATGTCGAGCTTGTTGGAGGTGGAGGTGGAGGTGGTGCTGCTGCCCCTGCTGCTTTTGCGGCACATGAAGAGGCTCCAGCACCGCCCCCAGCAGCACCGCAACCTGCTGGTGGCAGTCTTCCCACTGCTGTTGCTGAGTACGACTACGAAGCAGCAGAGGAGAATGAGCTCAGTTTCCCAGACGGCGCAACTATTCACAACATTGTAGGTACCAAGGATCGCATACTGAGACTTCCCATACTGATAATTTCCAGGAATTTCCCGACGAGAACTGGTGGTCTGGCGAGTACAATGGCAAAGTGGGCCTGTTCCCAGCCAACTATGTCAAGCTGAATAAGTAGACGATGTTTTAGAGAGGGAGAAACGCTGTACGTGCACGAAAGCAAGCATATCGGTGTAGATACTCGTGGAGCGATCACAAAAAGAAGATCGTCATTTCAATGGCATTTACCATCCGCGCTATCACTCTTCCCTCCCGGAATTGGAAGATGGTTCTGGTTGGTTCTGACCTGCAGCACATATGTTTGCTCTATGCCTCTGACCTTTGAATAGAAGCACTGACATTGAAATCCATCCAAACAGGGCATGTTTGCTATCTCTGAGTATTGTAAGGCTGCTGCGCCAGATGCCGTTGCTCATCCTTCTTGTCCACCAAGAACATTCGACCTTCACAATATGGCCAATATTCCCATGAGTCACGCTACTGCTCAAGTCCAGTGCCACCTGAATCTGAGTGGATCATGGACATTGCGTAAATACGAGTTCGAGGATGGAAAGGAGATCATGGACCTTGATCGTCCTCTTATCAATTCATCTTCCTCTGCAGCGAGAGCCGACAGCAGCAACGCGGGAGACATGAAGCCAGCCAGGTCGCAATCAGTAAGCTCGTATCGAACTGAAGCTCCAGACAAGGACGCGAACAAGAGCCCTTCTCGATCTACATCTGAGAAATCCCCAGGGATCACCATCCTCCAGCAGCTCGAGCGGGCGCTTGAGAGAGATGGAAGACAAATCTCACCGCCAACCGAAGATTCCACACCGAACAATGCTGAGCCAGGTGTGCAAGACCTGGAGATCTCAGAAGAAGAAAATCAAAAACAAAGTCAATATGCCCCATCCCTGAAAGAGCCGAATGATGCCTTCAAGATCAGCAAGGAAATACTTTCATCGATTCGTGATGAGACTACGACAACAACATCACCGACCAAGAAAGCAACCAACCCCGCAGCCCCAACGTCTGGTAAAGGTTGGAAAATGGTGTCCGCAAGTGACCGACCAAAAGCTCTGTACGACCAACCTGAGATCCCAGACATCACTGGACCAAGGGCCCGACGGACATCAACCCTCAATAATAGCAAGTTTTCGGAAGCCAAAAGAGAAGCTTCACGGACAAGTCTGGCTCCTGTGGATGAAGACGGTCAGGGTCTCCTTTTCTACTCTTTTGTGATTGGAGGTATGTAGCTGACATGATTGATGTAGGACTCAAGAAGATCGCTAGTTCGAGGACAGGTCTTTCGAAGAGAGCAGCGACTCCTAGACCTAAAGCCACGAAAGGCAAAGGCAAGGGTCGGGGTAAAGATGACGCGATTGAAATTCTTGATGACGAGATGGAGGAGGCTGAGATACGGGTTCCTAAGAAGCGGAAGACTGCTGTTGAGGGAAAAGAAGTTGCTGGATCAGGCGAGGAGGATGGAGAGGTTGAGGCGAAGGAGAAGAAGAAGAAGAAGAATTATGGGGGCATGAACTTGCATGACCCTGACGGTAATGACTCGTCGCCTGGAGTTCAGCACAGAAAGAGAAGTAAGAAATAGTTGAGATGGATGTGGGTTTTAACTGAGATGGGGGACGGCCTTCAACACGAGAGACTAAACCGAATGGCGGCAGTTGCATAGGGTAGATGGATGGAGAGATTAGGGCATGGGCTTTGGGAAGTTTAGGATTTGTAGTCGATGGGATTGGTATTGATCCCTCTATGGTACATGCTCTATACTCTCTGCTGTCTCACATTGTATTCAATGCTTTGAACGCCATCGCTTGAGTCAAACGCCTCCTTCCATCGCCCATCATCTCATCGAACCTCCAGTTGCGGCCTCCCCGTCTCCTTAACAAACTCCTCCGAAAAGGGCCAATCAATATATCCCTTGGCCTGCTTAGGCGTATAAAACGTATCCCTCTCATACATCCTCAACTCGATCACTTGGAGTGTGTGTCCAGGTGTCAGGGTCCATCACGTGCCTGATGCCTGAGGCTGCAACTGCCGCACTTCTTCTTCCGACTTTCTCGTAGATAGTCTCTCTCGAATATATCAGTTACATCAAGTAGTTATGAGCCCCCTGCGTTTCCAACGTATATAACACGTTCACTACGTATCCTAATAGTTACTCCGATAGCTGCGTAGCTAGCGCTCGTTACTAAAAATTGCGCCGATACTATTATCGTCGCCGCTACTCTCGCCGCCCTCGAGTGTTCTAGCAGGTGCTAGTCCGACTCGAGTCGGTCACTATCCGTGTTAGCTGTCCGCTACACTAGTTCCTAACAACAGTGTCGGCTGTCCGCTATACTAATACAATATAGGCGCGCCTATCGGCAGCCTCTTAAGACAGGTCTATAGTCTCTTTCTATATCGCCGTCGCTGTCCGCAATAGCTCCCCCTACAACCACTAACGCTTATATAAGCAACATTCCTAAGCTGAAGAATAAGGAGAATTATCTAGTATAGGCCTACGCCGCTAAAGGCGCCCTTAAAGGTATGTCGGTATAGCGCTATATATAAGGCACCCGCTAGCGACCCCTTTCTAAGGCCTCTAGTAAGTCTTCTAAAGAGTTTGAAGACCGCTAAGATAAATAGGACTCTAAAGATCAAATAGCGCGTACCTAGATCTTTGCTAATTGTGTTAGTAATATTTAATAATTACTACTTAGTCTGTCTATATCCTAGGAAGTATAGGACTTCCTTAAGAAGAAATATACTAGTAAAGGTAGGTCTACTAAATTTATGCTCTACTAGGAATATATTACCCTTCGCTATAATAGTAAGGACGTTAAGAAGTTCTATAATAAGTATAAGAAGAAGCTCGGTACCTTAAAGGACACTAAATTGGCTATTAGCTAATATTAAGCTGTCTATATATTTATTATACAAATTGCACCGTTCTACGAGGCTTTCGTATAGATGCGCCGAGAGCAAATGCGAGCCTTAGAGTACACTATTAACGATAGCACCCTTAACAACATTATTAGCGCGTTGCTTAATAAGAATATAGCTTAGTTAAACTAGGCCTAATATAATAGTTTCTTCGGCCTCTAGCGCTAGCAACTACAAGGCAATAGTAATAGCAATAGTCGAGGTGACTCGAACCGTAGCGGTCGTAGTAGCCGCGGAAACAATAACAATAGTCGTAGTTATAGTAGAAACAGCTAGAATAGTCAAAATCGCGAGAAGTGCTCCTATTGTTAGGGGTTATATCCTTCTAACCGATACTATACTAAGTACCCTTACCTAAAGGAAGAAGACCGACTGCGTCGTAAATAGTAGAAGGCTAAGAAGAAGGGGGTGCAGCAATAGCAATAGTAGCAGCGTAGACTAACTGCATAGTAATAACAGCAACAACCGCTATCTAGTTAGAATAGTGCTTAGGGGCTGTATACGGCTAATGCCACCCCGGGGGTGTTATTAGACCTAAACTACAATTACGCCTTCACTGTAAGCGCTACTATAGTTACTGTTAGCGACTAGGTTTCTACGGCTCTTACTGCTAGCACTCGGACTACTAATTAGGTTGTCGACTTAGGTACTAGCATACATATAGTTAATAACCCCTTACTGCTTATTAAATATAAAGGCTACTACATTCCTGTCCGGTTTAGTAGCAACACGAAGCACGCTACGATAGTTGGTATAGCTTAGACTAAGGTTGTTAATAAGCGTAGTATTAGCAATATAAAGCTGTCTAATACGCTATATGTTCTAGGTCTAGTAGCTAACCTTCTATCTACTAAGAAGCTTGCCGATAAGGGTTGTTTCTACCGAAATAATAAGCGTATCCTGTTTACGATAGTAGAGGGCAATAAGGTCACTATCGCTTAGACATACCGTAAGAATAGTCTTCCCTACCTCTATATACTAACCTCTAGTCTAGATAGTAAAGTAGTTGCCCTTCTGTCGAAGAAGGGGGTGCCTATAGGCACTATAGATGAGTAGCATCTGCGATATAGCTATATTTATTACCGCAAGCTGCTAAGAATGGAATCTAAGGGTCAAATTGTTATTACTAGTGCTAAGAAGGACTTCCGCAACTGCATTGCCTATCGCATAGCTATATTATACAAGGAATACAATCGGCTGCTACGCGTACGACTATCTACGATCTATTACATTGTCTGTATAGATATAGTCACTATTACTAACCCTAGTCTGTTACAGGAGCGCTATTTTACACTGTTTACATACGCTAAGTTAGGCTATCGATACGAATATACTAGTACGCTTAAGTTAGGGGCTGCAGTAGCTATTAAGGACTATCGTATATATATCCGTATATAGACTAGCTATTCGATCCCGATCTACCGCCTCGATAGAGGGGGTAAATACGGCGGAAATTAGCTATTAAGCTAGGCTCGTAATTAGGGCATTGTACTATAGGTTACAGCTCCTTATTCTTCTACTTAGAATAGCCTTGCTAAGGTTAGCAATTACATCGTATACACGACTGCGAGAAAGATAATGCTATACGCCAACCTTCCGAAGTCTCTATAGCTATATACTATTACCTCTACTATACAGGTCCTTAATATTACGCTAACCGCTAACAGAGGAAGCCTATATACTATTGTAGCTAAGGAGCTCAATTAGTTACGAACATAGCCGCGCCTATAGCACCTTCGAGCTTATAGCTATACTGCAGTTGCCTACGATTATAGTATAACTCGCGGAAAGAAGATAGACAGTAGAGGCCTAGTTAGCAAGCTAGTTGGCTATGCTAAGGGCTCTGTAGACTCTAGAAAATACATAGTTTACCTGCCTAATTAATACAAAGTAATCGCTTCTAAGAACGTCTAGTTTGTTAAGTTAGGGGGTGACCTCCTACTTCTAGATAGCATAAAGCTATATACTAATACTAACGACTTGTCTAAGAACGAGTTTGTTACCCTTAAGTCTATTATGCCGGCTTTGTTCAATTCTATAAGTAACGAGGCTCCGTCGCCTGCCGAGGCTACTAGTATAGTCTAGCGGCTTCTAGCTTAGTAAGAAGAATAGCCTATATAAGGACCTATATAGGAAATAGCCGATAGGGTCGCTAATCCGTTACCAATCGATAACGACCTTCTAGACGTTTAACTACTAGCTTCAAGTAATAAAGATAGCTTCTAATTAGCTAAGGAAGATTAAGCTCCGCCCTTTAATCTAAATATAAAGAAAAGTAAGCCTAGCTGGTTGCTAGAGTTTAAGCGACCTAACACGGTAGGCGCTCGTTCTACCCGTATAACCCGTAGTAACAAGTCGGCTCGTAACCTGTTGCGTAGCTATCTAGCTAATTGTAGTGTTAAGCGGTTAACTCGACGTATAATAGCTAACATGCCGATAGCCTATATCAAGGGTTTTATAGCTTCCTATTATATTGCTAAACAGTCTAATAAGCCTAAAGAAACTATCCCTATTCCGAAGAGTTACAAGGAAGCGACTTAGTCGCTATACTAGCTACAATAGAAGGAGGCCTATAAGACTAAATACAAGTTACTAATCGACAACTATATATAGGTGCATGTATCTCGGTTAGAGGTGCTAGAAGGTCGTAAGGTTGTTCGTAGCCGATAGGTGTTTACTATTAAGCGTAACGCTAATAGCAAGGTTAGCCGGTTTAAGGCTCGTTAGGTCGTCCGTAGCTTTACATAGATCGAAGGACAGGATTATAATAAGACCTATGCGGCTGTTGCTAAGCCTTACACGCTTCGAGCCTTATTTGGTCTAATTGCACACTATAACCTAGAGGCTAAGCAGTACGACATTCTAACTGCCTTCCTTAACGCGCTTATCGGGGATAAGTATAAGATCTACGTCGAGCAGCTATATAGCTTTAAAGACCGTAGTAGCAAGGGCATAGTTTGCCTGCTACTAAAGGCCCTATATAGTCTAAAGCAGTTACCAATACTGTAGTATAAAGAGCTTCGGAAGTACTTAAAGAGCCTAGACTTTATTCTAATAATGTCCGACGTCTGTATATTTAAGCACGTTAGCGGCTCGATTATCGTTATCTACGTCGATAATATAATCATTATCGCCTATAGCCTATTAGCACTAGAAGCCGTTGCTTAGATGCTAAAGGACCGGTTTAATATACGAGAACTTAGTAACCTGCACTACTATCTCGGTATACGGATTATCCGTAACCGCAACTAGCGCACTATCTATATCGTTTAGGATGCCTATCTAAATAGGCTTAGTAAGAAATATAGTATACGTGGCCGTATCGGTCTAGCTACTCTAATAGCGCCTCGATACGTTAAGACATCGATTTAGCGTACACCTAAAGGCTATATAGCTAGTGCCGCCTTTAAGACTTAGTATTAAGAAGGTGTTAGCGAGGCGCTATAGCTAGCTATAATTACACGACCTAATGCTTGCTATACTGCGGGCCTATTGTTACGATTTATCTCTAACCCGACTAAAGAACATTATACCGCGCTCCTTTAGCTAATTAAGTACCTAGTTAGCACCCTTAACCGCGGTATACGCTTCTAAGGCACATAGAACGATAAGCTAAACTTTGCTAGTTACTGTAACGCCTTATAGGCTAACGATCCAGTTACCCGCCGCTCTATAGGCGGCTTCTACTTCACTATTGCAGGCGGACCTCTATTGTATAAGTCCGGCCGCTAGACACTCGTTACACTATTATTAACTAAAGCTAAGTATATTCAACTTACTATAGGGGCTAAGGAAGCAGTTGCCTTAGCTCGTTTATTAAAGGAAATTAGCTACAAGGGCTATATTCTTCTAGTTACGCTCTACGAGGACAATTAGTCCGCTATTGCTATTACTAAGTCTACTAGTATTAATAGCCGTACGAAGTATATAGATGCTCGTATTCACTATATTCGCGAAAAGATTGCTAATAGTTCTATCGTCGTCTAATAGATTAGTATATACGATTAGATAGCCGATAGCTTTACTAAGCCGCTTGATAAGATTAAGCACGGCCGCTTTGTTAAACAACTGAACCTAGTAGATTGTAAGGCCGCTATTAAGAACGCTGCGAAGCTAGCTGCTAAATACTAAGGAGGGCCTTTGTTTGCTTTGTCTGTTTGACCTAAGAGTAGTCTAGTTTGTTTACCTACTTCTGCTTACCTAATACCCCTGTTTGCTTTGCTAACTAAATAGCTATTATGTTTGGTTTGCTTCATTCTATAGCGATATACACGTGCTAAGGGGGTAACTTAGAGTGTGTGTCTAGGTGTTAGGGTCTATTACGTGCCTAATGCCTAAGGCTGCAACTGCCGCACTTCTTCTTCCGACTTTCTCGTAGATAGTCTCTCTCGAATACATTAGTTATATTAAGTCGATCCCCTTCCGAACCCTATACACAAGATCCGGGTTCGAGATAAAAAACCTTCTAAACACGATCCCTACCTTACAATCCTTATACTCCTTATTAACAGCACTCTTAGCACTCGCAGGCGTAAATCTACTAGCTAGTAGAACGGGACTTACATTCCTATAAGTCTTAATAAACGGGTCGAGTTTCTCTATAGCTTTATTACGGAACAAGGAAGTAACGGTCTAGGGGTTAGCTAACTAATAGGGCGACGGCCTACCTTTATAATTAGCCTTCCTCCTCTATATAATTATTATCTATAATAATACTATAACAATTAGTAGCTTCGCTCGCACTAAACCCTCGTACTACTAGGAGTTATTCGAGACGCTACTAGAACGAGGTAACTAGATTAGGCTAATCCGACTAAGAGCCTAACTACTTCCCCTTACTACTTCTATGCGACCGTATATATAGAGCAACATATGTCTATATAAACCCTATAGACGACGACCGCGCTTTCGCTATATACGCGCGAACTAACCGGATTACTAACGCGGAGGTTAGGTCTTATCTAGTACGCTTTCTATAGGACTTTTAGGCGATAGAGACCTATCCCCCTAAGTAGCTCAACTTACCGGTATACCGACAACCTATATAGAACTCGTTCCTATAGTTCTATAGAAGAAGGTATAGGCTAAATTTACTATTAGCGACTACTATAGCAAGTAGGTCTAGAAGGCACTTACCTATAAAGAGGAAGTTACCTTCTAAGCTAAGGGCAGCTGCCTCTAGATTATAATAGCCTCTACGGCAATCGCCTAATATAACAATAATAATAGCGACCTCTACTATAAGTATACGACCTTCGACTACGTCGACGGCTCGACCTATAATAGTAACTATATAGGCAACGAGCGTCTAGCCTCCTACTATAGCGGAACAAGGGGACGCTATCTCGGCGGAAATAATAGCCGCTATTTAGGCGGCAGTTGCCTAGGCACTAGCAGGCTAGGCTCCTACGGTAGGCAACGGAAATAGAAATAGTACGCCTATCTTTAATAAAGCTAGTAACCTAGACCGAATATAGGACTAGGAAATTAGCTTCTTCTAGCTAGACCTACTAAAGGGAGACGACGACCTAAGTGTTATAGGATCCGATACCTTCTTCCGAGATATTAATATCTTTATTAAACGACTTAAGGATGTTATAGCGTATCGTAGCAACGATCGAGTTAAGTCTAGAATCCCCGCACTACTACGAGAAACGGCCTTAACCTAGTATACTAATACGCTTAACAACCTAGCAAAATAGGGCCTTCGCTATATACTAGGTCTAGACTATTAGTTTACGACGCTACGAGAGAACTTCTAGACGCTACTATCTAAGTCGCTAAACGAGCTAACGCGGCTTAAATACACGTTATTAGACGTAGGTAACCGACGTAGTATAGATACCTACCTTAGCGAGGTAATACGCTATATACGTAACGCCGGCCTAGTTAATAAGAGCTAGTAGCTAATATATATATAGAATAGTATCGACGTAGAGCTGCGACGTAGCATTCGGCTACCGAAAGAAGAGGATACGATCGTATTATTTAGATAGAGGCTTAAGGAGGAGCAACTAGCGTAGGCTAAACTAGTATAACGATTAAACCGACGTAATACCGCTATTGCTAGTTCTTTATTAAGACCTTTCCCTACCCGCTTAGCGGATAAGCAACTATAGCGTAATCGAGATCGAGATCGGGACTTCCGATCGAGCCGTTAATAGACGGATTAATAGGAAGGCTCTAGGAAGCCTTAGACTAACAATATACGTGCCTTATAGCCGCCGCCGCCTCGCCGCGACTAAGGTCGAAGCGACTAACGCTTTCGGAAGCCTTAAGACTATTAAGAATTAGCAAGCGACAAGTTATAATTAAGGGACGCTAAGAAGACCTTCGATAAGGCTAAGCCTTAGCCTATAAAGCCCTTCGCTTAGCGAAAGAAGTAGGACTCTTATTAGGTCGACGAAGACCCGGAAGAGTTAGAAAGTAAGGAACAATAGGATACTAACTACGTCGACTCTAACGAGTACTTATCTAATATAGGAGACGACGATACTAATACTAACGCTAACGCGGTAGATGTTCTTAACGTAGGACATCTAAGCCTAGTATATAACAAGTATACCTATATAGTATACTACTAGGAGTTTGAGACTTCTAACCGCCTATATTCGCATCTTAGAACAGAGTACTATAAAGGACGAGGACAAAAATCCTAGCGGCTACTAGATCCGATAAGTAAACGGGCACAACTGCTAGACACGCGATAGTTTTAGCTTAAATAAATAATATAGAAACAGAGATATGCCTAGATAGCAGTAACCTAATTACCCTTATAGATCGAATACTAGTATAGTAGCGATACCCTAATAGAGTTCTACTAAAGGTAACGCGTCTCCGGCGGATCTAAGGAGTAGGTAATAAGATTACGAGCCTGTCTAATAAGATGCCTATTAATATAGTTTTTAATAATAGGGTTACGATATTAATAAGAGCATATTTAATTAATAGGCTACTAGCTAGAGTGCTATTAGGAACGCGCCTAATAGAGAAGGAAAAGTTAGTACTATCTTTCGCTAATAGATAGATATATTTCCTAAATAGCACCGCAGTATCGATAAATATTACTTAGAAGGGACGAGCCCGAGTATTACTATACTTTATAGTAACTACCGAGCGAGAGGAAGACGACGAGTCGCTACCGCTAGCGCAACCGGGAGCGAAGGAAAAGCTAGGCCTAATAGGCGCTATACTATATAGCGACGACGAAACGAGGGCTAAATACAACGCCTTACTAGAAAAACACAAGCAGCTATTTATCGATAATAGCCGTTTTACGAAGGTTCCTAAAGAGGACTAAATAACTATCCCTTTAGTTAGCGACTAGAAGGCTACTAGCGCTAAATTAGCGTATAAGGTATATCCTATAGGCCCGAAGGAACGAGAGATTATCGACGGCGTCTATAACAAGCTATACAACTAAGAACAGATATCCTAGACGAAGGAACTAATACCTTTTAGGTTCCCTACGTTCGTAGTCTAGAAGGAATTAAAGAACGGCCGCAAAGGTAGAGCAGTTATCGACATCCGTAGACTTAACTGTATTACGATAACAGACGCCTACCCGATACTACTATAGGGCGACGTTTTAGCTGCTATCTAAGGCGCTAAATTTATCTCGACGATCGATATAAAGTCGTTCTTCTACTAATAGTTAGTAAAAGCGGAAGACCGATATAAGCTCTTAGTAGTCTCCTATAGAGGCTAGGAAATATACAACGTCGCCGTAATAGGCTATAAGAACGCGCCGCCCTATATATAGCGATAAATCGATAGGATCCTACGAACGGAGGGACTTAACGGGTTCGCTAAGGCTTTTATTAATAATATCGTTATCTATAGTAAGACGCTAGAGGAATATCTATACTATCTCGATAAGGTATTCGATGCCTTAAACCGACACTAGCTAACGGTAGCACCTAAAAAGGCTTTTATCGGGTACCTATTAATCTAGCTATTAGGGTAACGAGTCGACGCCTTAGGTATAGCGACACTAGCCGATAAATTAGTAGCTATTACTAAGCTTAAGTTCCTACGAACGCTAAAGGACCTAGAGCACTATCTTAGACTAACTAGATAGCTAAGAACGTATATCGAGTACTACGCTTAGCTAGCGGAACCGCTCTAGAAGATAAAAACCGAGAGACTAAAGGGCATACCTACTACTAGCTAGGCACGTCGACATTATATAGTAACGATACTAATCGAGGAAACAGAGGAACGACTAGCTACGTTTTAAGCCCTATAAGAGGCCTTTACTAAGCTAACGATAAAATATTATTTCGCGAGACACCGGCCGCTATATATCTATATCGACGCGTCTAAGAAACGAGGCTTTAGCGTAATAGTAGCCTACGTCGAGGGCGACGCTATTACTAAAAACCCTAGTAGGACAAAGACGCAACCGATTTTGTTTTTGTTAAAAACTCTTTCTAGTATAGAGCGACGGTACTAGCTAATATAGTTATATAATCGGTAGTTATACGTTTAATTCAGCGCGGACTAAGCGGCTTATTAGACCTACTAAGTTAGTAGTAACGGAGATTGAGATTAGAACAAAGACCGGCTACGAGGGCGCGGCCTTTAGAAGGGAAGCGTGTGTTAGGACTAAAGAGGTTACACGTGATTGGCATATAACCGGGCTCGAGTAAAGCTAGGGTCTCGATGCCTTAGGCAGGGCTTAGCGCTTAGCGTTAGGCCAACTTGCCTGCCTTCCTCCCTCTCCTCTTAGATCTCTATCGAATACTATACTAATTCACTACTACCCTATCTACCTGCTAATATACCCTTCTTATAACTGCCTTAACTTCCTTATTAGTTAATAAGCTTAATAACCGACTAACGAGATCGTCGCAATATCTTTCCCTTTTTCTACTAAAGGTAGTCTATAAGCTAGGGCGAGAACATATCGTACCGGACGCCTTATTACGCCTAGAAACAATAGATAACTATCTCCTAGAGGGCGACGTATTCGAGGAACTAGTATATAGAGTAATAATGCTAGAAATAGACGACGTATTTAAGCAACAGCTTATCGAAGTATACGAAGAAAATAAATACTAGAGCAACATTAAAGCAATAGTATAGAACGCGGAACTAGGCTCTACTAGCTTCTTAGTCGACGACGAAGGACTAGTATAGCTCGATAAGCCCTATTTAGGCGACCGACGATTGTGTATTCTAAAGGCATTAGAGGGTAACATTTTTAGTAGTATATACGATAACTAATACTATATCGGCTTTTATCGTGCCTATATCCGTATAAATAACTAGTACTATATCCGGAAACTAGCTAAGAGACTAAAAAAGTATCTAAGTTACTATTAGGACTGCTTAGAGTTGCAGACTAAGCGATACAAGCCGTATAGGTCCTTAAATCCTATACTATCCCTACTAGTACCCTTCTATACGATTACGATTAACTTTATAGTATCCCTTTCCGCTTAGGAAACTAACGCCGTACTTATAGTAATAGATAAGTATATAAAGTAGGTACTCCTAGTTACTAGCAACGACGCGTACTTAGCGGAGGCTTAGGCTAACCGCCTACTCGACGAATTGTTCTAATGCAATTAGGGCCTACTAACCGTAATTATCTCCGATAGAGACCCGAAATTCACGTCCGAGATATAGAAGGCTATCTTTAAGCGGATAAACGTTAAGCTTCTAATAACGACTGCCTATTACCTATAGGCTAATAGCTAGTCTAAGAGAACGAACTAGACCGTCGAGATTGCCCTACGATACTTCCTTACCTAACATCCTAATAGAGACCTAGAATTAGAATACGCAACGCCGTATATATAGCTAGTTCTTAACAATTTAGTTAACGCCTTAACTAGTATGTTACCGAACTAGGTATTAATAGGTTTCAACCCTAGGGAACTAGCCTAAATAGTAACGATAGGCGAGACAGATTTAGCAAAGAAACGGGATATCTACCGAGCTAAGGTAGAGAACAATATCGCCTATATATAGGCCGCTATAAAGTAACAGTACGACTCTTAGTACGTAGCTTAGAAGCCTATAGTAGGCGATATAGTCTATTTACGGCTTAAGAACTACGCTATCCTAGGAGTTAGCAACCGAAAGCTTACGCCTCTAAGGATCGGGCTATATAAGGTAACGAAGGTTATAAGTACCGGACTAGCCTACTAGATTAACCTACTAAAGACGTAGAAGATATACCTAATAGTCTCGATTACGGAACTCGAGCCGTACCCTAATACTAAGGATCTATATAAGCGGGTAACGAGGCAACCTTTAAGGATGCGTATCGAGTAGAGAGACGCCCTACCGGAAATAGAAGCGCTAAGAGACTAACGGGTCCGACGAGTCGGGCGGTATAGGAAGGAAGTCGTAGAATATCTAGTTAGATAGAAGAACGTAGGCGCTAGAGCGGACGAGTAGATACGAGCGGAAGGCATTCTACTAACGATAGTAAAGGCCTACGATCGTCGCTACTAATAGAATAGTAACGGAGCATTATATAATAGGCTTACCGTATATATATTTCCTCTAACAACGGGTCGCGTAGCTTCTACGTAGTTTACTTTACTTCTATAATAGGTAGGAGCGCGTATACCGGGCGCGCGCGTATACTAAGTTTACTTTATTTTAATAATAACTTCGCTATAGCAACTTTACTATAATAACAACTTTCGCGAATATATTGCTATCGCTAATACGAGAGCTTACTTACGATATTCGATACCGTTTCTAGTAGCGTAAAGCAATAGAATACGATATAAAGTAGAAGACGCTACTACGCGAGATGCCTAACGTACGCGATATAGCTTTGCCTAACGACCTCCTTACGTAGACCGCCGACGCTAGTAAGGCTAATACTAACGATACGACGCTACCTAACGATTTCCTCGTATATACTACCGAGGCTAACGGCGAGATAGCCGCTACTAACGATACTATAGCTACTAATTTGCTAGGTAACGCTAGCGAGGGTAATAGTAAGGACGGTTCTATAGGTAACGGCGCTCTTAATAACCTCTCGGATATCGACCTTAACGACTATCGCCTAGCTCGCGAGAGCGACGCCTATAACCTTCTTAACGAGCCTAATTCCGACGAGCCTAATACCTTCTTCCCTTTTTAGAGACCGTAACCGTAAGAGAGCAATATAATAGTAGAATAGAGAATCGATTAATTCCGAAGCGAGGTAGAACTAGTAATAGAACCTGTCTCTAATAACGAGAACAAGGGAAATAACGAGGCTATCGACGACTCGGAACCTATCTTATAGACGCTAGTTAACGCCTATCTATTGTTTACGCTATTTAATACTAACGAGGAGACGCTATCGAAATCTAGTACTAAGAAGAGAAAGAATAAGGGTAAGGGCCGACTTATCGACGAAGACGAGATAACTCTAACTCTTTAGCTAATAAAGAAGGCTAAGAAGGCGACACCTATTACTCTAAAGGAATTGCCTATAATAGAGACGACGTCGTCGAATAAGAAGAGAGCCCTAGCTAGAGCCCTAACGGCTTAGCCTACTAAGGATCGGACTTCGAGGGCAGAGCTAGCTAAATTATTACCTAAGAAAAAGAATAGGCGTAATAAGATGCTTAGAGAGCGGAGAGATATAATACGAGATATCGAGGTTAATATACTCTACCTAGCGCCGAACGAGACACTTAATATCGATCTAGTTACGTAAAGAAACATAGCCGACGACGGTACCGAGCGAGTACCTAAGAAGGTTAAGAACTCGACGAAGAAGCTATAGTCCGAGTATAACTAGCTATTATAGGAACTTATCTAGCGATAGTTTATAGCACGTTACGACCCTAAGGCTATACGAGTTGCGTTCGTTAGGCGATAGTATAGAATAAGGCAAATAGTCGCTAACGACGAATACTCCGACCTTATAGACTCTAGAGTATTATTAGCTAACTTTAAAGTACTCGAAAATAGAGATAATAGCCGCGCGAGGGCTGCTACCGATAATAGAGGTAAGACAAGCCCGCCTAAATAGAAGTCTAGAGAGAGAGGTTTGTTAGTAGCAACGACTAAGGCTATCTAGCTTACGGACGACCTTAGCGCTAAATTCGGAAGTAACTAAGAATAGGTGCTCTACCGCTATATAGGAGTATAGACCGATATAACCGACCTATCTATAGAATAATATACTAACTAACAGATAGTAGCTAAGAAGGAAACGCGACGAGCGCAAGTCTAGGCCTAGTTAGAACGCGAGGAGGCAGCAATAGAGGCTAAGGCTAATAAGAAGCGAGCGGAGTTCGCGGAGAGGAAGGCTAAGGCGTTAGTATACCTTTAAACGAGTAGAAATACGAACAGACATTATACCTAAGCAGTAGACGGCCTACTAGATAACGAGTATCTAGGTAGAAGAAGTTTCTAGCAACGGCACGAGGGCGTACCTTTTCTTTTGTTTAGGGCAGACTGTTACGGAACAAGGAAGTAACGGTCTAGGGGTTGGCTAACTAATAGGGCGACGGCCTACCTTTGTAATTAGCCTTCCTCCTCTATATAATCATTATCTATAACAACACTATAACAAGCTTCGACATCCTCGTTGCTAGTAACTCTCGATTCGACGAGATGGAGATACGAAAGTTTGAAATCTTTCAGTTTGGAGACGATGTAATTGAATTGTGGGACTGGGTCTTGCATTTTCATTCCTTGGAAAGTTGAAAAGGGGGAGAGACGGATGGCGGTTTTCTCGGGACCGACGGCTTGCACGACGGCTTTGGTGACTTCGAGAGCGAAACGGGCTCGGTTTTCGATCGAGCCTCCCCACTTGTCTGTTCGCTTGTTGCAGGTGTCTTGAATGAATTGGTCGATCAGGTAGCCGTTTGCTGCGTGGATTTCTACGCCGTCGAAACCTGCTTCGTGAACACCGGCTTCGGCTGCGGAGGCGTAGTCGCGGATGTATTGGTGGATTTCTGCTTCGGTGAGGGCTCGTGGGACTGCTGCGCCTTCTTGGTATGGGGTTGGTGAGGAGGAGACGACGTCGCCAGTTCCTTCTTTCTGCTTGATTGCTGGGTCGGCTACACGGCCGAGGGCCCATAGTTGGAGATAGATGTATGAGCCAGACTTGTGGACGCGGTCGACGACAGCTTTCCAAGCTGCGATTTGTTCTTTGTTCCAGATGCCAGGCGTGTTGGCGTAGCCTGATGCGCGCTTGGAGATGACTGCTGCTTCGCTGATGATCAGAGTTCCAGGAACACAAGCCCGCTGTTCATAGTACTCTTGCGCCATTGGAAGAATGATATGCTCATCACTGTTGCGAAAACGAGTCAGAGGGGCCATGACTATTCTGTGGTCGAGAGTGACATTTCCGATCTTGAGTGGCTCAAAGAGCTTGCTACTTTGTGGTATGCTGCCCATTTTCGCTCTTTCCTTGTCTTTGGAGTCCTGGGCAATGGAGCAGATACAAGCGCAGGTCGAGGTTACAGCAGAGCAGTCGAGTCGCTCCTCTGGGGATCAGTCGAACTTGAATGCAGTTTATTGTGAGTTTCAATTGGACGAGAGCTTGGAGATATTCCAAATGAAATACAACGTCAGTGACCTACGTGTACTCTGAGACTAATACGATAGATGACGTGATCACTGAGATATGTGTCATCACTATCGATCAATGTCTGCTAGCTTCGATTTATCAGCGACTGGTGGCACTTTGAAAAGTTCGCTGTTCCACGTCATCCCGGATAGGCAAAGGTGCCAGGCCAAACTCGGAAGAGGTTCGGATTTGAAATCCTGTCGCTCAACTGACGCCTCTTTTGGCTTTTGGCTTCCACGCGCGCGGACCACAAGGAGATGTGAAGTAATGACTTCCTATGCAACGCCATACTCAGTATTCTTGAGCTGGGCGCAAGTTCTGGCTACCTTTTGGCATGTCTGGACGGTTTCCGTGGCATTTGTCCAGCTCCATCGGCGCACAAGGACAGCTTCCAATATTTCCATCTCGGGCATGCCTGTCGATCAGAAGATATGCTATCCAAGCGTTTCTGAGCTTTTCGACCTGTTTGGAGATAGCATTTCTGGTGCTTGGAGAATTTGTAAAGTAATGATGTCCACTCAGCCATCTCGAATCTTTTTCTGCGGCCTGAGAAGTGTGTCATCAGGAAGACCGCTTCTCTTTGTCCCGGGCAGAGATCCTGTGCCAATTTCATGCGCTTCCGTGCTGACCTTCCTAGGCGGATACTTTGTCTCCAGGCCCTCAAAGCAATTCCACGATGGTAGCTTTCCAGTTCCAGTGAAGTAAGGATGCTTCAGCGCTTGCTCAGCAGTCAGACGCTTCAGCGGATCGTACTCGAGAAGTTTCCGTAGCAAGTCTAATGCACTCTCGTCTGGCGGTGGTGATGTAGGTCCGCCATAATTGTTGTTTTGTATTGTGTTCCTATACCATTTCTCCAATCCCATGGGTCGATTGACTCCTGGGTTATGCATGCTGACTGTCGCGAGATTTGGGAATTCAGGCATAGCAGTAAGAAGCGGCCATTCGTTCTTTTTCGGCAGTCCCAGGATCTCGCCAATCTTGCCCATCTGATTGCGCTGAAATGGAACCGCTTTCTTTGAATCCTGTTTGGCCTCCTCGCCTTTGAAGATTGGTCTTAGGCTGAGCAATTCAGCGAAGATGCACCCCACAGCCCAGAGGTCTATGGCTGGTGTGTAATGCCGGCTGCCGAGAAGCAGTTCAGGCGCTCGGTACCATATGGTAACAACTACCTTGTCGCCCGAGAACAAGGCATGCAGTGGCTTATAGAACAAGCGTGCCAGACCGAGATCGCCTATCTTGATGGCTCCTCCGGAGGTCACCATGATATTTGCCGGTTTCAAGTCTCGGTGAATGAGCCAGTTTTGATGCAGATATAACAAGCCCGAGAAGATTTGATACATGCAAGAACGTAGTGCTGAAGCCGGGATTGGGGTCCTTGGAAGCAGGCTGTGGTGATGTATGATCTGGAGAAGATCATGTTCCGCGTATTCAAAGACCATAAATATGCATTTCGACTCCAAGATGATTTCGACGAGATGGATCAGCGCTGGATGGCTCAATTCAGTACACAGAGCCATTTCTCGAATTGCGGATTGCGAGATGCCAGTGTACTGAAGCTCGCCCTCCTTATCAGGCTTGAACTTCTTGATGGCAAAAGCCTCGATGGTCCGGCCATCGGGATGCTTGACAGGGGCTGGCATTTGAGTGACTGGCGTTCCTCGTTTCGAGATTGCCTTGTACACACGACCATAGGTGCCGCTGCTAATGAAGCCGACGATGTCATAATGGTCGTTGATATGCCGTTGCGGGGCGTAAGGGGTTGCATTCATCCTAACAAGAGGAGGAGCTTCAGGGGCCTCTGAAATGGGATGTAAGCAGACATTCAGTTGCCACGCGAGTTTCAGCCGGATGCCACGTTTTCGCAGCGGCGAGCAGGACTTGGAGACGCAGCATTAATATTGCCGGAAGGAGGCGTGTTGGGCGCGAAGACACGTCGTCCCTTCCTTCTCCCGACAGCCTGACTGCACGCGAGCTTGGAGCACTTACCCTCAAAGGCGGCTTGGGCAGTGCGCTTCAGACTCTGGGTCTGTGCTGGTGCTGGTGCTGGTGCTGGTGCTGGCGCTGGCGCTGGTCCCGCACTCATGGGCGCTGGTGCTGGGGCATTCGGGCCATTTCTACCAGAGGGAGGACCCATGATCACGCCGGTTGATGGAGGGTTTGATGCCATCCCACCGGCGTGGAACCTGGCTGGGCTGGGCAGGCACGGATGGGGCGGAGCAAGCGGGATGGACGTCCGGGAGTTGCTGAGGCGCAGATGACGATTGACGAGTGACGTCTGACAGACGGACAAAGTGGCTGGTGCTACGCGATTGATCGTGCTTTCCAGCAGAGCAGAGCAGGCGTGCTTCGGACGGGACGGGCACTTCCGCAGCCTGTTTCCTTGCTGGTGCGGCTCGGCTCGGCTCGGACAGTACCAAGTCGCTCACCTACACCCTGGTCCTCACGCCGGCATCACCGTCGCCGTGCATGTGAGCGCGTGTCGAGATGACACCGCGTAGCTTTTAGACCCACCGGCTATGCAAACACAGCACAGCCTCCCACCATGGCTATCCTCATCCTCAGCCCTCTCACGCCTACCTTCGTCTACCTACTGCTCACAGCTACCCTAGGCCCGCTTCTGTTCGGATACCACCTTGCTGAGCTCAATGCTCCAGAAGAAGTGATCAGGTGTATCAAAAATGGCACTCAAGCATCCACCCTCAAGCATCGTATCAACTCAGCATTTGGCAAAGGCTCCACGACCGCCGCCGCACATACCGTCCTACCGCAATGCATTCCCATGAATCCCGCCCAATTCGGCCTCGTATCGTCGTTCTTCACCCTTGGAGGCCTACTGGGCGCTCTCTCTGCAGGCCCGATCAGCTCGAGATATGGCAGACTGAAGGTCATGATCTTGCTCAGCGCATTCGCTGTGCTTGGACCAGTCTTTGAAGCAGCCTCGCCAAATGTAGGCCTGTTCGCCCTGGGGCGATTGATCTCTGGCATAGGTGCTGGAGGTGCGACCGTTGTAGTGCCACTGTACATCAGCGAGATCTCACCACCAGGCAAGAGAGGCTTCTTTGGCGCCTTCACACAGATCTTAACCAACACTGGTATCCTCATTACTCAAGCTCTGGGTTTGTTCCTGAGCAGAGGCCAGCTATGGCGCATCATCCTGGGCGTGGCAGGAGCCATCGCACTCGTGCAGATGGTTGGCCTGATACTGGGAGGTCAGGAAAGTCCAACGTGGTTAGCGGACAACGATCAGCCCACGAAAGCGAAGCTCATTCTCCGCAAACTGAGAGGACAAGGATCGGAGTTTGACGATGAAGTTGCGGCACTCGGATCACAAGATGGGGAAGACGAGGAGGCTACACTGCTGGCGAACGAAGATCGAGCTCGCACCAGCCAGGATACCAAGAAACCCACACTTGGCTTCTTTGGAGTTCTGAAGCATCCAGATACCAGACCTGCCGTCATCTCCGTGATAGCAATAATGACAGCACAGCAGTTCACAGGCATAAACAGCATCGTCATGTATGGCGTCGGACTGCTATCAGATCTACTGGCAGCCAACTCGGCTATTCTGAACGTCGTGGTCGCTGCGGTAAATATCTTCGTCACGACATCGTGCGCACCGTTAGCGGACAAATGGGGACGTAAAGCATGCATTCTGCTATCCATTACTGGAATGGGCCTCACCTCCCTCCTGCTGGCTATCGGAATAATGCGACACATACCAGTTCTGAGTGCTGTTGCCGTGGTCGGCTTCGTTGCATCCTTCGGCCTTGGACTTGGTCCTATACCTTTCATTTTGGCATCAGAACTCGTCGGACCGGAAGCAGTAGGAGCAACTCAATCTTGGGCGCTGGCGGCTAACTGGGTCGCCACCTTTATCGTGGCCCAGTTCTTCCCTTTGGTCAACGAGAAAATGGGCAAGGGACAAGTGTATTTCATCTTTGCTGCATTTGCTCTAGCTTTCGGGTCGTTCATTTCCTTCTATGTACCTGAAAGCAATGGCAAGCGGGATGCAGATGAGGTTTGGGGCCGCAGAAAAGTGCCTAACCTTGAGGATTGAGGTCGTTGATGTAGTAATGGACCGTATCCCAAAACGACCATATCTCTAAATTCTCACGAAGCGATCGACACGACTTCTCACTTCATCGCCCAATCTTTGAACTCGCATGCACGGCCGCTGCAGTCATCGAAACGGCAGCGAACACAGCCTTTGTATGCCACCGAGCCACTATGCTTCTCTCCATCTTCCTGCGTATACTCCATCCAGATGTAGCCATAGTGCTTGCATCGACTGCATGGCAGAACCCGCTCTTGGCCGGATTCAGTCTCCTCGATCCGTCCGACATGCGACTGACCCACGACAGGCGTCGGAGTAGTATTCTTCCATGGCTTCTATGCGTCGCTGCCCTAGAGGGCTGAGCACTTCTGAACTTGGAAGAGGTGGCTGCGGTTCCACGTCGCCAGAGACGGAGCCGAAGGCTGTGCCTCATTATCGTCCATACCGCTGCTCTTCAACATGGTCATGATAAATGCAAGTATCCCGCTCATAGAATGGAACAGGAACAATACCGCTCCATCTAACCTGAGCAAGAATCTCGGTCAAGTCAACGAAGAAATCCGGATGCTCGCGGACGGTTTCTCGAAGGGTCTTGTTGCTGAAGACATCATGCTTCCACGTCCACAGAGCAATATCCAGTAGAAGCCTCTCAATACACGTCTTCTTGCCCTCGCATCCAGATCGGTAGAGCAGCCGGTAGAGATCCAGAGGCGTCTCCTTCTCCCGTGTCCGGTAATGATCTGACCCATTACCTGCTGCTAGCGTCTCGTTCTCTTCCACCTTGACTTTGACATTTCCCTCTTGCCCCTCCTCCTCCTCCTCCTCCTCTCCATAACTTCCGAGATCTCAAACTCCGACACCGGCTCAGTCTCCACCCAAGCCTGATCTCGCCCAGAAGTCCCCATCTTCTTCAGCTGGTTCGTAGGTCGGCCGCTTGCTTTGGATTTCCCGCGTGTCTCGATCTGTATCCGTCTCAGCATACCTGTCTCCTCAGACACAGAACTGGCAAAACTCACCATCTCCTCATCGAGCTCCGATTTCTTCCTCCAACTTCTTTCGCTGGTTGATCTGCGCTTTCAATCTTTTGACCCATTCGCGTCTCCCGAGCTCTCTTCTATTCTGGACCCTGGTGCTGAAGCGGTCGGCATAACAACTTCGCGTGTGCAGGAAATTAGATAGAAAGAGATTCGCAAAGCGGAAGAATTTGCGAATAGCGAAGAATTTCAATATGCGCGAACTGAAGTGAAGGCAGCTTTCGAACATGAGCTACTGAAGTGAGGTTCAGTCCTGTGCCTGCCTGACGAGGCAAAACCGTTGGCTGTATGAAAGCCAGGTCGGTCACGAGAAAGCGGTGAAGGAAAGAAATGGAACGGGACCCGTTTTGATCAATGCGTTTCGAAATATTGTAGATCCAACACTCTGATACTCAATAACTGAAGCCGTCCAAAAGATGATAGCTCTCCGCGCCATATGTATTCGTGGCAGGCCATGCCTGCTGAGAGCCCAGGCCAACCATTCCATGTGCCAATTATGTCTACACAAAAGCAGATGTGGTGCTTCACATTCATCTACTAGATGAGAGCCGCGCCTGCGAGAGTGAAGAACAGCACAAATCCAGTGCAGATGAATGGAGCGAATCCAATTGGCCCCATAGTAACAGCGTTGGCAGCACCTTTAGAGGCAGTTGCGTGGCTCGTAGCAACAGCGGTAACGGAGCCGCTGCCTGGTGTAGCGGTTGAAGTTGAAGCACCGCCGGCATTCTGGGAACCAGCTCCAGTAAGACCTGGACCCTTACCAGCTCCAGACTTCATGTACTTAACAGCGCCTTCTGGGATGGCTGGAAGCTGCTCGCCGGAGAAGTCCTCGACCTCCCAAGTGCTGCTCTTGGTTGGGCACTTGCTAGCTTGTCCATTCTGCTTGTAGCCACCGTCGCCGCTTGGTGCAGGGGTCTTCTTAAGAGCGGACTGGAGAGCAGAGAAGTCCTCGGTCTCCGAGACAGAGGATCCGGAAATCTTGACAAGACCGTAACCGTTGCCTTCCTCGGAGTACTCGTAGACGAGACCACCAGAGTACACAGGGGTCATTTGTTGGCCATAGAGGGATGCGACTTCCTGGAACTGACGCTTGTTGGTGATGCAACCGTACTCAGAAAGGCTTGGAAATACGTTAGTATAGCTGTGCAAATGATGGGTCAGATTGATGACTCACAAGAGAGGAATGCTGTAGTCAGCATATTGCTTGACCTTTTGGTCCCACCCGGATTGCTGGTACGAAGATGGGTCGCACCATGAGTAGTCGTTGAATGCAAAGAAGTCAGAGCGCTGGTCATTGGTACCGCAATTCATGTATGAAGCCATCTCGAATCGGTTGCTCTCAACATCAGCTGCGGAGTATCCGACTGGAATAGCACGGTAGCCCATGCTGCCAATGTATTGCTTCATGTCACGGGTGACGGCCTTGATATATGGTGCACAGGCAGTCGTGTTATCAGAGTTGATGACTTCATTTCCAGAGAAGAATAGAAGAGTGTTGTCGTATTTTGCGAAAGCATCGATCGTTGCGAACAAGCTTTGGAGGTAGACGTCGTTGTATGACGGAGCTGGGTTGGCTCTGTTGAGGGAGTACTTCGGAGAGTTGACGTCCAATGCGAGGTAGATGCCAGCATCTGCCAACGCAGACATGCATGTGTCGTGATTTGCAGTGTTGTCCACGGTATACACGCGGACTGTGTTGATTCCCAACTTCTTGAACTCTGCGATGTCTCTCTGGCAAGTTGCAGAGTCTGCAATTGGGTCCACTGCCTTTGAGGATCCACCGGGCTGGTAGTCGATACCACGGATGTAGAATCGCTTGTCGCCGGCGAAGAATGCTACACGGCATTAGTTTGTGTGACGCACTGCGTTGGCTGGCATTCAACATCATACCATTGCCCTTCACGGTAACTGGAGGCACGCTCCCAGAGGAGGCTCTGGCCTCCAATACAACAGCGTTAGCCATCGCAGCCGAAGCCGCGACAAATGCAATGGCAGACTTCATGATGTCGTGGATGTGTCGTAAATGAGTCTGGCGAAAGGAGCACGAGCGTCCGGGAATTCCGTGTCGTGCAGAAAGGGCACTTGGGTGGTGACGCGAAGCGGAAGCGCGTTTATTACAAACGATGGATACCCGGTAAGAAGCCTCGAAATGAGTGAGAGGCAGGTTCGACGAAAAGGTAACGTCTGCGGACGACGGGAATGGCAGGCGGTGTTAAGATAGATGGCAAGGAGGAAAGAAGATGATGGAGGAAGGGAAGGGTCGACGGGTGTCGGTCAGGAGAGTAGTTGAGGGAGGCCCTCCCACCAGGACCCCCAGGAAGTGTGTGCAGATCAAGCGAATGAGCGTCCGCCATCGCAGCCAATCGCAGCCGGGCTCGCAGGGATCTAACGCAGGCACTGGCGCGCTTCATAACCATCTCCAAGCCACTCCCGTCTCGTCCCGTGCTAGTTCGCGGCTTATCGATATGCCAACCCTCCCAAGACAACGCTTCAATCTCTCTTGTGCTCCACCACTCCACTACTTGAAACCGCGCAACACAAAGCAGTGGTCGATGACGCCTTACCCGCCAGCGTCATCGGGACGATCGCAACCGGTACGACTGGCAGCGTGTTTCAGAGTGCGAATCCGTCTACAGTACGTCGTCGCAACGTCGAATGCTTGATACTGTATGATTGAGGAAGAAGGGCCAATCGAGAAGATGTTGTCTTGTTCCAAGCTATCTTCATTCATCAATTGCCGTACCGAAGTATGTCTCTCCTATTCGTGATGCTCATGGTCATCCTAGACCACGTCCCAAATACCTTGCTCCAAAATGCAAAATCTCGTGCATGCGAAGCATGACTGGCCGACGTGAACTCCTCATGAGCGCGCCTCTACATGTCCGCCCATAACTCCCGCAAATACCCGCATCTGTACCGTACCATACCATACCCTACCCAGTTCCCTAGAGCTCCTCATGCCTAAACGCTCGTGAATCGCGCCTGAATCTCTCCCCGCCCCGCCCCGCCCCGCCCTACTAATTAGTCATTACTCTTGAAAATCTGCCAGCTGTGTCATCTATTATCTCCTTTCTGACCAATGACTTTCCTTAAGAAATCGTAGATGTGCTGGCCTGCCGATTCTTCGACTTCCAGAACATTAGCTTCTTCAATCGATGCTCCTTCTTCTTTGGAGCCGGCGCGAGGACTGTTGCATCTATCGCGGTCTGCGGTCTAAAGTTGTCGACACCAGTGTTCCTTGGTCCAAACGACCCGCCCACCAATTGTGATAAGCTTTGAATGCTAGTTCGTTTTCTGCGCCGCTCTGCCGCCACAGCAGGATCAAGATGTCCAGAAGATAGTGATGGCGTTCTGATGCCGCTTACATCTCGGCGAGATGAGTTGGCATGCATAGTGCTGATCATTGTGGATCGCGAGCTGGTGAGTGAAGGCACGTCGTCTGTAGACACGCGATTATCCTGAGCGGGCTCGCCTGTTGTGTAAGAACTCATGGTGCGGTTGTCGGTAGTGATGGAGGACGCAGAAGTACCAACGCGCGATGTCTCGAAAGAGCCTTTCCGTCGCGCAAAGTCCGGCGACGAGAAGGCTGAAGAATGATACGTTTCTGGGGTCGTGAGGGACGGATCGCCGTCTGGTATGGACAGCATGCCCGGGGCGGCAAGGATTGTCGGTGCTTCGCTGCTGTCAGATGACTTCGTGAGCGAGTGTGCTCTAGGCTCTTCATAATCATTGACGATGGCCACCGAATCCACTGGGCTTGTTTCTTCTACGATTGTTTGATCAATGATGGAAGAGGCCCGCCGCTCGAGTCCATGTGTTGATAGCCTGGAGCCAAGGTTGCCGTAGGAAGTAGTGGGGCGCTCAGGTTCCCACGCGCTGCGATGAATACCAAGCCCGTCATCGGGGCTGACTTGCGACGCCGTCGGGTGTTGTGCGCTTTCATCTTGATCAACAATCGACACGCCCATACCCGCTGTTTCATCAGCCCCAGAGGAAGTACTCGATGGACTCAGTGGCTTTGCCGCCGCAAGCTCGTCTTCTTCTTCCTCCTCGAAAACATCGGCCATCGGTTGCAGAGGAGGCGTGCCGGTCCTGATCTGGTCGAAAGCCGCAAGAGCAGGCGCACTAAGGGTACGTCCGTGATGAAATGGTTGGTAGTGCAGACCAGGGCCTGTGAAAGTCTCCTTCGGGTGATTGAAGCTGTGAAGCTGCTTGCGAGGTTTTTGCACACCGAGGGCAGGGGTTTTGAACGGGCCAAGTGCGGCATCAAGATCCAGCATCATTCCAATATCTTCACTATCTTCGTCAAAGCTGCTCTGGTGGCTGATTGACGGTGTGTGAGTGCTGGCGAGGGGAGGCACCTGAATGCCGCTCGACTGGACATCGTCAACGTCCATGTTAAAGACTGCATCCAGATCGGTCTCGGCAACAGGCTGTACAGTGTCTGAAGGAGCCGTGTGACGCGGCAGGATGCACTCAGATTGGGGCCTCGTTCTGCGAGTGATTTTAGATACGGCCCAATCCTTGATGCGTCGAGTGGACGATCGTCGGTTGTCGTTTGTATATTCGTCCTCTTCGATTCGTGGTTGCGCATGGGAAGCAGGTTCTTGCAGAGATAAAGCAGAGAGACGCGAAGGCTCTCCAGCGTGCATGCCGATAGCAGGCTCGCTCCGTCGGCGATCGAAACCAAGCGAATGGTCCTTCAAATGGCGCTTTTTTTCTGCTGTGCGTGACTTGGGGAGCCCCTCTCCCACAGCGAAAGTCAGTCTGCCAGAATCTGCAACTGACTGCGTTGCGGCTCGCTTCACGTTCGCGGTGGACGATCCATGCTTCAGCCATTCTCCTTCCTTTTCCACTCTCTTGCTGATGTCCAATGAGGACTTTGGCATCGACCGGGTTTCATGTTCTAGTGTGGTTCCAAGCGAGATACCACGCGCGCGAGAGGATGGTGGACTTGGTGTGCTCAAGCTGAGCACTGAGGATATACTGTTGTTCACCGAATGTCCCCGGATGGTCGACAGCGAGCTCTCAGTCTCAGAGGAGATGGTGGAGAGTGGCCGAGGTATGTACTCCACATTCTCAGAGAACTCAACACGCGGACGAGAAGGCGGTCGAGCAGATGCATCATCGTCGGGTGCAATGAAGGGATCTGCCAATGCCAGTACAACAGGAGCTTCCGAGGGATGCGAGGGATGCTCGAGCGGCGTATTCGGCAGACTGCTGCTAAGGCGGGGTGAAGGGTCAGACGCTCGCATTATTTGGGCAAGGTCATGACTCGAGACACCTTGAGATCTTCGATGTGCGTGACCACGTCCCGAGCCAGGCTGCGGGACTTGGAGCACTGATGATCGCGTCGGGCTTGAGCTGATCGCACCCGGCACTCCAAAGCCTCCACCGTACTCGCTCTTGGTTCTCTTGTGCCCGTTTCGTGAATGTGTATGCGAAGGTTCCGGCTCGGTCTCTTGTTGGCCATGCAGACCTGTCGCGTTGCCGGGATGAAAATTAAAGCTAGGCAGTTTGGACCCCGTGTTCTTGTGAACAGCATCAGCAGTCTGCGGGCGCGAGGAGACGCTGTCCATGTTGATAGAGACTGGCCGTCTGTGAGAGGGAGACTTCGTGATAGGCTCCCATTCCTGCGAGTTTTGCTGTAGCCGGGGAAATGAAAAGTCGGGATTCTTCACCACTTCAATCTCGGGCGCAGCACTCATTGTCGGTGGAAGCATGTTTCCAATGCTACCAGATTGCGTGTGCTGCGCGGAGAGTGCAATTTCCGCCATTACGGTATTTGGGATAAAGAAGGCTTTGAGGACCAGAGCACGCCGGTAATGAGCACAATAACGGCGCCAGTAGATTTTCGGGAGGGCATCGAAGAACGTGTCTGATTCCGGAGAAGATATCGAGTATCGGAGGAGGCGTATACGAGGTGCGGAGGTGAAATGTTGGATGTGCGGCTCAAGTGAGGTTTGCGGCAGACAGCGAGCCTGCTGCGGTGTGCGTCGACGGGTGACAAGTGTCAGCAAATGCTAGTATTATCTGTCAAGCATCACTCATGTCAGTCGGGCGGCAGAGCGAGAATTGTGAAGCGCTGCGACGCCGTAGCGGTGCGGTGCGTACAGATTGGGGCTGCACCAAAGCTCGCAGAGCGTGAGGCACAGTATGAAACGACTGCTTCCGACCAAGAATGAACGACGGCAGCAACAAGCAGTAAGGAACGGACGGCAGCAATTGCGCGAGCAGCACACAGTCACGCGCGGCGAAGTGTGCTGGCCTGGCAAAATACGTGCCCAAGGCGCAATGGTAGTTATTGGGATAGCGGTGGCAGATCTCTAGAGCGAGCGAGGGTGGAAGAGAGCGCTGCTGAAGGAGGTTTGTGAGGGCTGGCGTCCGAGCGTTGGATTAGCGCAGAGCCTAAATGAGTGCCCAGCAGGCAAGTGCCAGGGACCATGCTTTCTTTGGTCGCTTCTTGCGCCGCGGCGTCCGCTCTGCGCAGCGGACTGCGTTTGCGCTGTGCACTGTGCAGACACTGGAACGGCGGCGAAAGACACGTCCTCGTACCATATGGCGCGGAGCGGCGTCTTGCTGCCTCAGGTACGGTATGTGTAGTGTGTGTATCTACCTATACCGACGGTGCGTGCCCGCCGCCGCCGCCGCCGCCGCTGCACCGCGTGTCTGCAGGCAAGTACCCGTCGTGCCTCGAGACCAAAAGGTACGTACCTGAGGTACTCTCTGGGCGGCGTTTCGTCTTCGTGCGGAGACTTAATGCAAGCAGCATATGATCGACATCGACGATGGCCACAGAATAAGACCAGCATCAGTCCGTGGCTATACACTCTATCTGCGCCTCTGCCAGCTCTGTGTCGCGCGCGCATCGAGCCCTGGCCAGCCTGTTGCCCCGAGAACAGGAACTGGAACTCTCAGCGCGCGAGAGTTTCTCAGCACGGTGCATTGGTTGCCTCTCGAGCCTCTGCAGCCACATGGGTCCGGTCTTCGCTTCGCAGCATCCGGCTTGCGTATGCTCGTTGCTCATGCTCACGCTCACGCTCATGCCCATCCCCTTATCCGGGGTTGCGTCAGCTACTGCACCCCTCGCCTCAGCTCGGGGATTTAAGCCATACGTAAAATCGCGATTTGTTAGTAGGCCACACGTAAAACTCGACACTACGGTATATTGTAGAGCATATAAGCCGGGAAATTGATAGTGAGTGCGATTACGGTTAAGAAGAAGGCATATTGCGACCGTGTGTATCAAATTAGACCATATAGACCTGCTGTTGCTATGCCATTGACGGCCTTCGCGCATACGCCGCGCTAACCATATAATCGACCACTTTACAAGTCGGTCTATATGTCCTTGTTTCCACCTCTTGTTGGCTGTTATAGCCACTATCTTGAGTGTCTTCTAGCTTAATAGGGTTGTCCTTATAGCCAGCGACCTCGCCTCGATAACGGCTAGTTTTCTTCGGAGGCTCGTGGAAATAGCGCTTCCGCTGCACCGACTCGTAACGACGGCGAGGATGTACCAAACTCTCCGCCTCAGTCAACCGCTTAGCGCGCACCCTCTTCGTATTTTTCGCCTTCTTACGCCCTATACCGAGATTTCTATGCGATCCGTACAGTGGAACAGAAGAACACAAGGAATACGCGCTTAGAAGGAGGTGGACGCGCCCGCCAAGGATTACATAAGGAAATGGCGACAGTAAGGTCTACAGCCACCACACACTCGGACAACGTCACTAATATGATATTTGGACTCGCGGTTCAATACTCTATACACCTGGATATTAGTATGGGACTGGAACATCGACCGTATCGAGTTTTACGTGTGGCCTACTAAGAAAACGCGATTTTACGTATGGCTCGAAACCCCGCGGTAGCGGGTGTGAAGTGACTGACGAAACCCCGGATAAGGCTTGAGCGCCTCGTGCTCGCAGATTGGCCAGCGGATACCCATCCGGCCGTCTCCTTGCAGCGGGGCGCCCGCTGCTCACACACGCAGCGCAACCACACCGGCCGACCAATCCCTCCACCCTCTTTGCTCTCGCAGACCGGGCAACAACGAGGCGAGGCGAAACGTTCACGACATTGTGCCATCTCCCGGCCACCGAAGGCGTGATGGCGGCTTCTGATCAATCCTCCCGCGCTGCCCATTTGATTCTGGAACACAAGACTGACGAGAGTCATCCTTCGCCGAAGGGAAGCTCCAAGCACCTTCACCACCTTATGCAGGGGGCTCGCGTCTTCTGCGCGCCTTTGCATGCTGCACCGCGCCGAAAACTTCACCAACCTGCATTGTCCTTTTCCAACATGCCCGGCGCCGTTGTGAGCGAGTGATTTGATGCGCAGAGCATGCACATTCTTGAGGCTATTTCGAGACTCCCCATTCGTTAGAGTTTGATGACAACGTGCCTGTTCCTTGCATCCTTGCAGGGTCCTCGTGAGTTGCAACGTTTCTACGTCAACAATATTATTATGCAGCTGAGCTGCGGCTGCTGACTCTACCAAGACCAAAATCCCCTCCCTGGTCAGTAGTAGGCACGACATCGGCACATCAATAATATTGCTTGCAAGGTGCGAAAGGGTACAAGTATCGTCGCAACATACGAGCGCGTGCAGTAGACTGAAAGTGAATGTGATGAACAGATCGTTCGTAGCTTCACACTCGGCCCATCAAAACTGCACAACGAGAACGAATAATTGCTGCAGCCTTTCTCCACGCCATCTCAGCAGGTGACACAGCAATCCGCATTCCGCCGGTCTGGACATTCACATCCAGCGGATAGATTGTGCATCCCTCATGCGCTTGAGTCGAAACACAGAGATTCTTGTTGTCCCTGCAGGAGAATCGGTTGGCTCCAAGCTTTTGCTGTCCCAGTGCGCATTCCAGAATTGGGACGACAGGCCAGTTACACCATTCGGCTTGAACAGGTAATGTTTCCTCGCAGGCGCCTTGGGGCTGACGTCCATTGTCTCTTTCGCTTACTTCACCCCCTGGATAAGAAGCTCTGCATTCTGCTGTACCAACCTAAATCGCACGCCATGGTCAAAGAACAAAGCAATGCCTTGGAGCTACCCATGAGTCGCAATGCAAGCAGAGCCGAGATCATCGGACGCAGTGACACTTGGGATCTTAAGTGGCGTCGGGAATTATTCCACTTAGCGGTGTGCAACAGCCATCTGATGAATAAGAATCAAGTACAAACATGAGGCTCCCTGTTCTTTAAACGCCAGCTTAGGCTCACACGCTGCTGACTGGTGTACAGCTCATCAAGCTCGATTGCTTGCATCCCGGTAACATCAGCAACCTACACCACTACCACATACTTCCGTTGGGACTTTATTAGCAAATGCCACGACGTTGGTAGCTGCGAAGCTTCTGGACAGTCACCTTGCAAGACAACTGTTGCAGGTACCACGGTACCACCCTTAGAAGTCTTCGGCACTACTCTTGCGGAGCGCTCGTGGCTGACTGTGAGGTATCAGAACTCATGCCTCGTGCCACCATCGCCGAAGCCAAAGATGCCGCAAGGCCAGCTCGGCTGTCACAGGGTCCTATGCTCGTGTACATTCCTAGGAGAATTGCTCATGCAGGCACATCCAAACGCAGAAAGATCAAGGACGTCGGAGACGTTTCCACCAGCCGGCTCCGAACGCAGGGCCAAGTTCGTCGAACATGACAACGACCAAAATGGCTGCTGCTGGGAAGCCGAGAAGTACAGTCGACCGGTGCGAGTCATTCTTTGCACCACCATAAAGTTAAAGTGGCCCTCCTGGCCGGACGGCGTCGTTTCGAGGAAGCAAAATTGACCACATCTGCTTGAGCCTGTGAAAGCCTTACCCTCTGAAGTGATGTCGGCCTCATTTTCAGCGATACTGAACAGACACTGGAAATATCGTGCCACTCGGTCAGCTCAGTCACGACAAACACTCCACTGCAGGCGGAGACAACTCGGTCACCGTAGACGTGTAGTACACGATAAAAGTTTTGAAGCAATAGACCAAACGGGCTGACTTCACCGACTTTACGAAACTTACCTATCCTCAAGAGTGAGTTTGCTATCAATTCTCGCGTTCAAACCTACCTCCTTCCTGCCTCTCACTACATGCATTCCCTGGGGAACACTCAGAGTGTAGAGTCATGACTCCAGCCTCAAGATCTCTGTTTCACTTGGGAGCCTTTTATGGTGGCATGCCAGGCTACACCGAGCAATGAAGAATGAAAACCTTCCCAGCATCGATCACAGAAAAATCAGGAGCAGAAAATTTCCATATACCTCGAACGTTCAAAGTCGCCAGCAATCTTCTTCCACGAGCAGAATCCCGATTGGCTCCTACCTCCATTCAGGCGCTTCGTGGTTGAATTCGTGTGTGTGCTCGTGACTTCCATTTCTACACTATACTATATTAGGTTTAGCGCTATTCGAGATCTCATTCTTTAGGCAAAGGATTAGGTAGAGTAGTATATGATTGGTTGTTCGGAAAGACGGAAGCTAGCCCTAATTTAAATCTATTACGTGCAATCTGACCAATTCACCACCGCGCAACGTAATCCTAAATGCATAAAGGCCTGAACGGAGGTAGATTGGCTCACCCACCCACCCACCCACTGAAGTTGAAACCTTGCCACATGACTTGAAATATATACTAGCCAGCTAGCCACCCATCTTTCCACTTCCACACTATACAATGCAAGATTACAAAGACCTCCAAACACGGCAAGATCTCACGAGATGGAAAGGAAGCGCATCTTCGCGAGACTGGTTGTGAGCGTCGGACTCTTCACGATGGCGCAGGAAGACATCGCGACTATCGGGCACAGACGAAGGCTGGAAAGGCGGAAACGCGATGCACTGGATCGGGTCTGGGAATGTTATCGTGTGCCGGCAGCCGATCTCAGATCGCCGCAATGAATTACTTCTCGCTAGAGCCTGGGTATCAGTCAGGCAGCTCTATCGCCTGTTGTCTCAAAAAGAACGCCATTCCATGCTTGTTGATCGCTAGCCCTTCTTGTGGCCGCCATCGCAACTTTTACGCCCTGTTCATGCTCATCATTCCAACGAAGGCATGTGTTCCTCCTAGTGAAAGTGCTCAAGACATGTCAATTTCCTGAACTGCATTACGCGAGTTCCTCATGATGCTCTTCAACAGTCGCTCGACGTTCTCCCAGTCGGCAGTGTCAAGCTTCGTTGGCTCAACACTAAAGTGCCTGCAGATTGACATCAGTTGCTGCCAGCTCTTGCGGTCGTGGACGAAGCTGAGTGCTGCACCGGTGCGGCCGAAACGCCCAGTGCGGCCAATGCGGTGGAGGTATGTCTCAAAGTCTGGCTGGCCATCTACAGTCTCGGGGATGTCGTAGTTCACAACCATAGTGACAGTCTGGACATCGATACCACGGGCAAGCACGTTGGTGGTGATGAGGACCTTGGCTTCGCCATCTCGGAACTTGCGGAAGACCTCGTCGCGGTCACTGCCCTCCAAAGCTCCAGTGAGTGACGCGACTGTGTGGCCTTCTGCGGTCATTCTCCGCTCGATCTCAGCAGCCGTATCGCGACGCTTGACGAAGATGATCGACGATGCAATGGTCATCAGTCCGTAGAATTTCGTTAATGCAGCGTACTTCTCCTCATCGTTCTGACAGTCAAGGTACATTTGCTTAATACCCCTGACCGTGAGCTGCTCGACTTCCAGAGTGATCTGGTTGGCACCAGGCGCGAATTGCTCGGCGAATGAGAAGACCTGTCTACATGTTAGTGATGACCGAGCGAAGTGGGGTTTGAGCACAACATACCTGTGGCGGGAAGGTGGCAGAGAAGAGAACGATCTGTGTGTTCTTGGGCAAGAGCGCCTTGACCCGCTTGCATTGATCACCCATTCCTTGGAGATCGAGCATGTTGTCAGCCTCATCAAGGGTGAGGATCTTGATTTCGCGGGGATCAATCTGCCGGCGCTTGAGCTTCTCGACGATGGTGCCTGCTGTACCAACAACGACCTGACCTTCCACGTTGCCGCGGTTGTTGGGATCGCGAACAGCCTCAGTGATTACAAGTCCATTACGCTCGAGCATGCTTCCCATCAATTGAGCAACACCAGCAATCTGACGTGCAAGCTCACGCGTGGGTGCCAGCACGATAGCCTGCGGCTTCTTTGAGTTCAGGTCCACGCGTTGCAGCATGTTAAGAACGAAAGCGGCGGTCTTGCCTGTCCCAGATTGCGACTGGCCGATCAGGTTCTGCGGCGGGTTTTTGAGAAGGAGTGGGAGTGCGCGCTCCTGGATCTTCGACGGGCGCTGGAAAGCCATGATCGACAAGCTTCGGAGTAGTTCCTCCTTGCTGGTGGGTGTTAGCAGCGATATCATTAGATGAGCAGGCGGGCCACTTACAGATTGAGCTCCTCGAAGCTCTTGATGGAATACAGCGGGTTGTTAGGGTCTTCTTGCAGATCGGCCAGCTTGACGTTGACATCGAACTCGGGCTCGTCCAAGCCGCGCGAGCCATGCAACCAAGTGCTGGCGCCATCAATTTGTGACTTGCTAACGTCATCTTTCTTCTCGTCGCTCTTTGCTGCTGCGGAAGATTCCTCGTCGTCGGCCCAGCTGAATTTTGAGGGCGTGAAGGTGCTGGCCGAGGGGTTCGTGCCATTGGCGGTCTTAGACTCTGAGCCCAGGTTCAAGCCGGCGAGCTTGGCGGTCTCTGGCTCGGTGGACGTCGGCTTGCTGTCCGACATGGTTGCGACTGTCTGCGGTGTATGAATGGGCGTGGTGCGTCAGTCGCGCGTCGAGGGTGTGAATGCGTCGCTGCTGTGGGTGTGTCTCGAAGTCCAAATATTTAAGGCTGTGGCCCTGTGGAAGCGTCGCGGGGCAGCACGCGGCTGGCTCCCGCGCGCCGGATCTGTGCGCTGCGGGAAAGAGCCAGGGGTGCACGTGCCAATGAAACTTACATAAGATTGGGGGCCGACATTGATGAGAAACGAAGAGTGATTTGATGTGCGAGTTGAATAATGAAATAGTCCGTGTCAGATCTCACATGGCGCACGTCACCAGCTGCAGCAGCTGCTGGCTGTTGCGTGTCGAAGGGTAGGATGTTCCATGTCCGCGGGGCTCTGGAGTCTGCAGCTGCCGGAGTGTCCCAGAGTGAAAGCCTGTGAGCCTGAGCCGCGCAACGCAACGCCTTCGCCTTGGCCAGAGTTCCGCCGAAGTCCTCGCCTGCGTCTGCGTCTGCGTCTGCGACTGCGACTCTGCGTCTGCGACTGCGACTCTGCGTCTGCGCCTCGCTCACTCTGATCTGCTCTGCAACTTGCGCGGGCGTGGGAAGCAGAGGCAGAGGGACATGACACCGCTGGACGACCGAACAATACCCCTACCAAACTTTGGCACATATGAACACAGCCTCCCCAAACCATGGCCGAAGTCGAGCTTGCTCCCAGCTTCGGCGCAGAGCTGCGAGATGGATTTAAGCCTGTGAATGCCTGGGTCACCAGCGGCATTGCATGGCTAGAGGAAATACAGCAGTTTTACCGAGAACGGAGCGCAATAGAGAAGGAATACGGCCAGAAGCTCAATGCGCTGGCCAAGAAATACTATGAAAAGAAGGCGAAGAGGAGTAGTTCTCTCAGCGTCGGCGACACGCCCTCAGTGACGCCGGGATCGCTGGAAAGTGCTTCCATGACCACATGGGGTGTACAGCTTACCACCTTGGAGGGCAGAGCCGCCGAGCACGATCGCTTCTCGAATCAGCTGATAACATCTCTGGCCGAGCCGCTCAAGCAATTGGCCGGAAAATATGAAGATCTCCGGAAGTCGCACGCCGACTACGCTGCTAAGCTAGAGAAAGAGCGCGACGGCAGTTATGCCGACTTGAGGAAGACGAAGGCGAAGTATGATGGTGTCTGCCAGGAAGTCGAGAACAAGCGCAAGAAGACCGAGAGCAGTTTCGATCATGGCAAGCAGAAATCTCAGAGTGCCTTTCAACAACAGCAGGCAGAGATGCGCAACGTGAAGAACACATACTTGATTTCGATCAATGTTACCAACAAGCAGAAAGAGCGATACTATCATGATTACGTGCCTGAACTGCTAGATGTAAGAAGTCATTTGGCATCAATACGACCATCTACTGACCATTCCTGTATCATAGTCACTCCAAGGGCTTTCTGAAGCACGAACTGCTGCGCTCAATCATCTATGGTCGAATGCAGCTTCGATGGAGAAGCAAACCTTAGCTCGCTCAACACAGCTAGTGGACCACCTATCAAACGAAATACCAAGGAACAATCCTGTTTTGGATAGCATGATGTTTCTGCGGCATAACGCTACGCCGTGGCAAGACCCGGCAGACTTTGTTTTCGAACCTGCACCAGTGTGGCTAGACGACGATACCATGGCAGTCGACCCCGCGAGCAAGACCTTCTTGATGAATATCCTTACCAAGTCGAAGTCTTCGCTTGTGGAGCTGCGGCGTGAATGTGACTCTAAGCGCAAGGAGGTAGAGGGCGCAAAACGTGTGCGGCAATTGATCAGAGAAGGAAAAGACAAGCGAGATGAAGTGGAGGTCGTGCGAGCACAGTTCCATCATCAAGAATTGCTGCACGAAGCAGACCGAAAACGAATCACTGCTGAAGTCGAAGTCAGCACAATCATCTCTGCGGTAGGAGATATCTCTGTTGGTGCCAAGAGTCATACATTCAAGCATCAAACATACAAGATACCTACCAGCTGCGATCTTTGTGGCGACCGATTATGGGGATTGAATGCGAAGGGCCTCAGTTGCGAACTTTGCGGGTTCACGTGTCATACGAAGTGCGAGCTGAAAGTTCCTGCCGACTGCCCGGGGGAACTGAACAAAGAACAGAAAAAGTCAATCAAAGCAGAGCGGCAAGCAGCTGCACAGGCCGTTCAACCCAACCCACCACCTGTCAGCAACGGCAATGGCAGCGCTGCACCTAGCTTGCAACGAAGCGATACCATAGGGTCGATGAATACACTCAGCTCCGGCTATGCAGCGAGTGCTAATCGCAGTGTGTCCGGCATGACGGTTAGATCCTCCACCGAAGACACTTCTGTGAGCTCAGCCGCGCCAGCTGCCAAGATCAGTTCCGGGCCCACGAGGCGAGTGATGGCCCCGCCACCTGCGCATTACGTGACTAGCAATGGAGCAGATTGTGGATCTTCCGAAGAGCAGAAAGGCAGAATGCTTTACGCATATCAAGCCACCGGCCCTGATGAAATCAGCGTATCGGAAGGTGATGAATTCACAGTCTTAGAAGCGGATGACGGCTCGGGCTGGATCAAAGTCAAGCCTGCTAAGTTCGGCGCAGTGGCTGGAATCGTACCTTCAAGCTATGCTGAGCTTCACGCTCCGGCGCCTCCATCGAAAGACACTCGACCTGTCTCGGTCGCAGCTACAGCTTCTACAACAAGTCTCAGCGGCTCAGACACACCTGCGAAGAAGAAACAAGGACCAGCCGTCGCGCCGAGAAGGGGCGCGAAGAAGGTCAAACATGTCGAGGCACTCTACACATATCAAGCTTCTGGCCCAGGAGAAATCGATATGGAGGAAGGCGAGAGAATGGTCCTCATCGCTCCCGATGGTGGCGATGGATGGTGTGAAGTCGAGTCGAAAGCTGGGAAAGGTGTTGTACCTGCCAGTTGGGTCAAAGACGTATGATGCATGAGAAAAGAGATATGGGCCCGAATTCGACATTTGTGCATAGCGCCGCGTAGTGGTATGAATGTGGAGGCGATATGAGGCATTCTTAGGTAGTCGTATACCTACCTATTCAGACACCTGGGAAGAAAGATGATCGCACAGGCATTGGTTGTGACCCAATTTCAGCAACCCTTAGTGAGTCTGATACAACCGATTTCTGGTGGTCCAGCATCTTTCAGTAAGTCCCCTATCAACTGTCATCACCATTTGCTGTGTAAGATACATGCAGTGTCATGCACGACGACGATTCACGTGCCTCGGCATCATTCTTCATCACATGCGACCCAGATCTTGAACTCAATCTACTTATGCGCAAAGGGATAGCTCTGGCTGGGGTCATCGTTGACGACATGATTACCAGGATCTTGTACGGTAGTGCATGTGAGCTCTGCCCTCATCACTGGTTAGGATGTGGCTAGGCACGTTTGCATGCAAGTGTGTACTGTAGCGACTGAAAGCTATACTGGTGGAATCGCTTCTCTTCCAGTCTATCCATCTACAAGTTTCCCTCAAGCACCAGACTTCCAGTCATTCAATCTAACAATCATGGTGGTACGCTCAAATAATGCCCCATCAAGACCAATCTATAAGCTAACCGATGCTGCTTTCAAAGTACAAATCTCTGAAAGATAGCGCCAGAGACAATCCCTCTCAACTTGGCGATCCAGTTTCTTTGAAAGCTGAGACTTCGAAGACCGAACCTACGGATCAGGACAGACCGAATAAGGGAAATGACGGAGACACTTTGAAACAGAAGGCTCAGGAGAAGTTGAAGAAGAATCCTAGTGCGCTTGGGGATCCTGTCTCGTTGAAGGCTGAGACGAGTGATAGTGAGCCTACAGATCAGGATCGGGGGGCTAAGAGTTCGTCGAGTGGGAAGCCGAAGATATGAGCGGTCGGGTCGGAGGCGGATGTCAGAATGAGATGGGTGTTGCATGTGATTTCGGAGACCATGGAACAGGAGTGGAGTGAAGTGAAGCGAGGATTAGTTGACATATGCTCGTGTACAATGCTACACCGCCTTCATAAAACTCAAGGTCTTGAGACTTCGTGGTTGCCATTGTGAGTGGAATTTCTGTTTGTAAGATGCGGTAATGTGCGTTGTTGTGGCTATTGTCGCTGATCATGCATGCGTTACGCACGTCTTGCTCATGCAATTGCTATTGTCGCTGTTCATGTCTCATTAGTAGCTGCCTCATCAGTAGCTGCCTCATCAGTAGCTTTCTCATCAGTAGCTTCAAATTCATCACTCCTTCACCGTGATCACCACTTGCTTCTACTCATAGCTTCTCATCACGGCCAAACACATCCATTCCGCATTCTTGCGAGCAACCAGCAACACGATGCTGCCGACTCCACCACCTACCGAGAAGAAGGCTCAAGGCATGTTCGCAGAGCGTCAGCGCAAATTGAGATATTACGAGGATGCGTACGGCAGACGCAATGCAGATGAGGGTGCAGAAGGACGGCAAGATCTGTGCGAGTCGGAGCCGGATAGCGAGGACGAAGTGCAGCGCGACGAGCAGCATCGTCGTAAGACTCCAGGAAGGCAGAGCCATGTCGACCGCAGTAGCGAGCCTGGTAAGCAATTTTGATTTTCATATTGCGATAGAAATTGTCCTTCGGCTGACCGATGCGCAGAAGAAAGCGACGATTCTGAGATTTCCGAAAGCGTGTATCTCGACCGGCCACAGTACAAGATCGCTCCAAATGTCAACGGCAAGCGGTCTTTGACGGAGCAGGAGTACGACACGGCGAAATCGGATCAGCAGCGGCTGGGTATGTTCGGCTCAGCAGCGCCTTCAGCAAGAGAGCCCCGAGGCAGGACGGCGGACTCAGATGGGTACTTCATGTCTGGTGGTCGTGGTCGCGGGGATAGTCCCATCTCGCTTGCTGGCCGCGATAAATATGTGTTCAATGAGCGTGCAGCTCCCACGGGAAAGGCAAAGCGGACTAGAGACGTCGCTGCCGTGGTTGAAGACATCGAAGAGGCTCCCAGAAAGAGGACTCGCGTTCGGCGTCCTGCGCATCGTCAGCTTATCAAGGCCCAGCTCCAGGAGAAGGCTCGAGAGGAGCGATGTGCGCGACGTGCCGCTGCGAAGGCTTCACAGTGCGAGAAAGCTGGAAAAGGTGGGAGCATTGAGAAGAAGGAATCGGCGAAAAAGATCCGGGCATGTGGGAAGGGTGGGAAGAAGAGCGGCAAGCGGGGCAGTGGCACCATGCGCGCAGCAGTCGTGGTGATCGACAACAGTCATATCAACTTCGCGGAGTACGAGCGCTTCGAGCAGTAGCCGTGGCCGTGGCCGTGGCCGTGGCCGTGGCAGGAGGAGGAGTGCGGTGCTCCTGCTGTGCATACCTTCGGCTCAGCTGGTGTAAGCCTGCGAGCGTGCCTGAGGAAGGAGAAGGCAAGGATACCACCTGCACACCTGCAGTATGACATTTCACTGCTCGTCATTGGCACTAGAACGACGGGCCGATGTTGCAGCGCCAACTTCCTCAGCTTCCCGCATGGGAAATGTTGGATACAGCATCAGACATCAGAACTCATTGGAAATCTTGTCTTTTCTCGCTCCTGACATGACGTATCAGCTGTTCCCACACGGTCTTCCAGCCACTGCACGCTTCAGCCACCTGCAATCCCATAGCCAAGCCTTGGCCTGCGTGGTAGGACAGCCTGCTGCTCCAGTCTGCACCTCGACCGTCCACACCATTGCCTTTCCTTCACTTGCCTCTCTCTGCCGTTCGCTCTTCGCCGCGCCACGCCGAATTGTCACTACACCACCTCACCAACACCTCTACCCCTACCAAGCCTCGCGCCAGCATCGACATCGACCTATTGACCGTTCCTTGTCACATCGGCTTCCCTTGGTTTGCTAAGCAGGACATTGGCGGGGAGAGATGGCCACACAAGTCGAGACCAATCCCAGCGAGTCAGGAAGAGCTCAGGCTGCCGTGGATGCAGTGAAGGACAAGGCTGCGCTGAATCGCCACGATGCCTCCCGAGCTTGGAGCAGGCGCAAGGTCGCGACGCCGACGGAGACACACGAGCCAATCCCGCAAAACGAATTCGGCATGGGCGCAGGACCTCAGGTAGTCAGTACGTCTGAAGAAACGGAAGTCCTTTGCGGTCCTCTCATCAACTACAAGCACATGAGCAACGAGCTCTCAGATCAGCCGACATGGCACGGAAGTGTACTGATCGTGACGACCCCGGGAAACAAGCCTGCACCACTTTCTCTGCGCTGCGCCGGTCCAGTGGGAGCTGCCAGTGGGGCTGTCAATGGCACAGGCGCACCACAAGAGCGTACCTTCGATGCTGAGAGGCTGTTCGAGGACCCAAAGAAAGGATTCTGGCGTTACTTGATCGATGCGCCCTTCCTCGAGCAGGAGACGGCTTGGGACTATCTCATCCCTCGCATGATTTCTGAGACCGATCGCGCTCCTCTCGACAAGCCCAAGCGCTTCGTTATCCCATCTCGACATGACAGCATGCGTATCATGTTCCACTCCTGCAACGGCTTCAGTGTTGGAACCGATCTGAATGCATGGACTGGTCCGGTGCTGTGGACTGATGTTTTGCGTGTGCATGAACAGCAACCATTGCATATTATGATTGGAGGTGGCGACCAGATCTATAACGACAGTGTCCGAGTTGACGGTCCTCTGCGTCCATGGACTGACATCTCCAACCCAAGAAAGCGTCGCGACTTTCCCTTCAATGAAGATATGAGGAGCAAGTGCGACGATTACTACTTCAAGAACTATGCCAAATGGTATAAAACCGAACCATTCTCAACCGCGAATGCGCAGATTCCCCAGTTGAACATCTGGGACGACCACGACATCATTGACGGCTTTGGATCATATACCGACCACTTCATGAAGTCCTCCGTGTTTCGCGGTATTGGAGGTGTTGCTCACAAGTACTATCTTCTCTTCCAGCATCACATTCCGCCACCTCCTTCGACCTACACCACAGATGCGCCACAAACGACACACACGACGGGCAAGACTACTTCCCCGGATGCAGTGCAATTACGAAATACATTTGTCATGGTTCCGAAGTCGGAAGATCCGAGCTTCATCATTGGAAGCAGACCCGGCCCATACGTCGAAGAACGAAGCCGCAACATCTATTGCCAGCTGGGCAAGCGTATTGCGTTAGTCGGCATTGATGCCCGGACGGAAAGAACAAGACACCAGATCAACTACGAGGAGACTTACGATGCTATCTTCAAGCGGACTAGCGACGAGCTGGCGAGATCGAATGGTGCGATCAAGCACTTGATCCTCCTGCTCGGTGTGCCCATCGCCTACCCGCGACTGCAGTGGCTCGAAAACATTCTCTCGAGGTATGCTTGCATCAATGATGGAGTAATACTCCCGACTCAAACTGACTTTTCTTCACAGTCCTATCATTGGTCCCATCAAGTTCCTGAACAAGCGTTTCGGTGTAGCCGGCGGCCTCTTCAACCAGTTCGATGGTGGCGTTGATCTGCTCGACGACCTCGACGACCACTATACAGCACATCAGCACAAGAAGGAACGAAAAGCTCTTATCCATCGACTGCAGGAGGTAGCCAAGAAGCACAGTGTCCGCATCACCATCCTTGGTGGCGATGTCCATCTGGCTGCAATTGGTCGATTCTACAGCAACCCGTCATTGAACATCCCCGCGGAGCGTGATTACCGATACATGCCAAACATTATCAGTTCTGCCATCACCAACAAGCCACCGCCACAAGCCGTGGCAAATCTGTTGGCGAAGAGAAACAAGATTCACCATCTTGATCATGAGACCGACGAGACTCTGCTTGAGCTGTTTGATAAGAACCCCGGCGAAGGTGAGGAGGGCGTCGTTGCGAAGACTGCCAAGAACAACCACGCCACCATGCCGAGCCGCAACTACGCGATCATCACCGAATCTCATTCGCATGCAGGAAGCCAGACGAATGGTGCAGCAACCGCTGGTGCCGTCAATGGCGCGGTCAATGGCGCGGTCAATGGCGCGGTCAATGGCGCGGTCAACGGCGGTCAAGCAGTTGACGGAGAGCTGAACGGTGTCGGCAATACCGCCGATAACAGCGACTTCAAGCTCCCCAAGAACATGCGCGAGCCGATCCACAAGGGTGAGATTCAAGCCGGCACACAGCATCCTGCTGCTCAAGGCCTGCAAAAGACTGGTCTCGCGGGCTTGCACGGTCTTGACGTTACCATTCGCGTTGAGGTCAAGTCTGGTGACCCATCAGGCCGGACAGAGGGTTATGGTATTAGTATCCCTGCTCTCGAAGCCGGTGCTTACAAGAGCCAAGGCGAGCGGTGGTAGGAACATCGCCACGCCAAGGTCGGAGGGGAGGTGGAAGATGGGAAAACTTCTAGATGGCACAGTTTGTGCTGTGCGTGAAGGAAGGCTCACGGTTCGAGTCTTCTCGGTCTTCTCTTTTATGTAATGGGATACCCTGTACAGTTTCATTAGTGGGTGCAGATTTTAGTACTTCAACGGGAAATACATCAACGGTTGGCCGAAGGCACCGTTCCTCTCACAGGACCTAAGTTATGCATACCTCTCGAATGGTTCTCGTTCCCTTTTCTATCTTCACAGATGGCACTTCCTTTTGTCATCTCCCTCATTCCCTTCTCGAATCATATCATCCTGTCTGTCGATGCCCCTCACATCCCATCCCTGCCTCCAGCACCTCCAATATGGCTTCCCATCGAGTCCTTCACCCCAGAAGCAAGCGTATGGTCCGACGGATTAGCTGCCGCCTCATACAAAAAGTTCACAGGTTCGCGACTCAATTTCATCCACTCTCCCTTGAATCCCAGATAACTTATCCTCGTCTCATCCTCTTCCCCCCTCCCCCAATTCTCCTCGAAAAACAAGTCCAAACTCCTCACAGTATTAAACAACGCCCTCTTGACCGGAATCTCTTGCACATCGTTCGTCTGACTGAGTTCCAATTTCTGCGTCGGTTCGAGATCTGAAGCGGTGGAGAAGTCGAGGCCTTCGCGGTTTACGTAGAGTTTCAAGGTCAGTGGTGCGGAGTCTGTGGTGGAGGTTCGGATCAGGATGGAGTGGAGACGGATTTGTGCTGTGAAGGGGACATGCATCAACAATTGTTCGTCCGCGTCCGAGACGAGTTCGGGGGTTGGCGAGAGGCGGTCTGTCCAGGTCTTTTGGAGGATTTGGGAGCCGGAGCGTGGGATCGATTCGTTTAAGGTGTTGACTGCGCTGAAGTCGATTTGGGAGTAGATGTGGTTTTGCAGGGCTGGGGTTAGATCGTCCGTGTGGTCGTGGGATGCGCCTTCGGAGTGGTCATGGCCGTGGTGAGAGTGTTCGTCATGGCAGTGAGACATTGTGTGCTGTGCTGTCTTGAGTGTGATCGAGCCGGAGCTGATCTTCTGGTTTGGTCGTGGTGTACATGTTGATGGAGAAGAAATGTGAAGGCGGCTTCATCAATGTCGCGTGCCCCGCGTTTGCTGTGCGTGCCTCTGAGGTCATGGTTTGGTGGGATGGACGAGAATTATTGAATTGCAATTGCTTGATGCTGCAAATTGGATACAATGTTTGCATATGCCGCCTATATACTCATGAAATGCGTCGTGGGTATCACCAACGCCATGCCCAAAAGTTTCCTCCCGTATGTTGAAAGTATCAAGCAGCGATGGCTTCATTTTGCTGCCTCGCAGCTCTCTCTTCTCGCCTTCTCTTGATTTTCTCTGCCGGCGATTCTTGAGGAGCGTCAGGTAGCTCGCCAGTGGTAATTCTCGGTGCGTCAGGCAAGTTTTGTACTCCTTGTGCTCTGAGCGCTTCCTGCTCCATGGCTTCAAGTTCATCCTCCACTTCATCCTCATCCTCATTCGACATCTTGCCAGCAAGCATATCGTTGATTTCCTATTTCTTGTCAGCGAAATGACATTGTTCTGATCAATGCTGTATCCAACCTTCTGATATGCTTGAGCCTCCGCACTCTCTTCCAAGATCATCTCGACTTTGTCCAAGCCTCCCATCTCTTTGTGTATTTCTTTCAGCACAGCTGTACCCTGCTGAAGTCCAAACAGCACATCTTTTTGTACTAAGGCGAACTCCACATCACTCGTAAGTGCTTGCAATTGTGCTAGCTGCTGATCTGTTTTGGCAAGAAGAGACTCCTGGTATTTCTTCCTTCGCAAAGCAAGCAGTGCTTTCTGCTTATTTCCAGATCGAAGACATTCTTTCGCAATCTCAGTCTCTCGACTTGTGATCGTCGTGATTCGTTTCTGGTACTGATGTAGCTTATCTCTTTGGATCTTGAGATCGAGGATGGCTCTGGTAGGAGTCAATGAAGGAGGCAGATGCTTAGCTGCTCGTGTTCGCACACCTGTCCTGATCCGAGACCTTGTTCTTGCTACCCGAGTTGCCCATATTCTACACGTTGAGCGATGAGCACCAATATCGCGGACATCGTTATTGCAGGCATGCAAGTCAAGAGATCGAGTTGGGCTCATGCGACTTGGCACGCGGCAGGAACGCCATGTGCCCGGCCCGAGCTCCGTCGATAGTGCTTGCCAAAATCTGCACCTTCCACCTGCCAATCGACTCAACCACTTCCACGATAACATCGAACCTTGATGAAGAATCATCTATCTCCCGAAGCACACTTTGATTTCAGGCCTCGAGCCACAACTTCGGTCGCATCGAATCGCTCTTTTCGTCGAAGGTCCTTACGACGACGACTCCATCACTCATGACAAACGTCGACTCCATATAAATTTCTCGGATTCAGCTCTACGCTGCGGGTATAACTATGCGACTACAAGGAGCTCTCGGTGCATCAAGCCAGCAATCCACCGCGGAGCGACGTCGCCTGCTAACAATGATCTAGACAACGACATTAATATAGCTGTACAAAAGTTCCTCGCCGATGGTGTGGCTCCAGACGTGGTATCGCTGTATACGGCCCTGCAACGTTCCAATTCGGCACTCAAAAGGAGGCCCAAGAAAACCCTACAGGCTTCATTGGAGCGTGTTCTCGAATTCATAGGGGCCAACGAAGGCGACGAGGTCGACTCCGACACTATAATTGAAGACGCAATTCCGGAGAACGATCTTGGTGCCGACATAATGAATCGGAGCTTGAGAGCGAACTTGAGCAATGGCGCTCCGCAAAACGCTTCCGCTGGACAGGCACCTACTGAGCAGTCGGTTTCCGTTGGCGATACTTCGAGAAAGCGTCGACCAAATGGAGAGGCACTGCCGAAGCGACAGAAAGTCGAGAAAATCAATATGGACGCGCCTTCCGATATTTCATTCGACGACGTAGGCGGCATGGACGATGTTATTGATCAATTAGCCGACAATCTCATCATGCCTTTCAAATACCACAACGACTACCGCGAGAGCGATTTGCCGCTTCCGAAGGGCATTATGCTTCATGGGCCTCCAGGATGTGGTAAAACGATGTTGGTACGAGCGATGGCTGCAGAAATGGGGGTGCCATTCGTCGAAATTTTGGGTCCCGCTATCGTATCCGGCATGAGTGGCGAGTCAGAAAAGGGTATTCGCGAGCGCTTCGAGGAGGCCAAAAAGAACGCACCCTGTCTGATATTCATCGACGAAATTGATGCGATCGCTCCAAAACGTGAGTCAAGCCAGAGTCAAATGGAGAAGCGGATAGTGGCACAGCTGCTTGTCAGCATGGACGAGTTGCAGCGCGACACCGAGAAGCCGGTAATCGTGCTCGCAGCAACGAACCGACCAGACAGTATCGATCCGGCCCTCAGAAGGGGTGGTAGATTCGGAACGGAAATCAATATCGGCGTTCCCAATGAACAGGTGCGCAGAAGAATACTGGAAACTCAAACACGGAAGATGAAATTGGCTACGGACGTCGACTTCACAAGGCTCGCCAAGCAGACAGCAGGCTTTGTTGGAGCTGATTTGCACGATCTGGTCGGCAAAGCTGGAGCGCATCAAATGAGGCGCCTTCGACTCGCATATGAGAACCAAGCCGTGGAGCTGAACGTCCAATACAGGGCCTCAGAGAGACAGACCGTCGACAGAGTGCGAAGATTGAATGCTCGTGCTGACGCCAACTTGCCAAGACCTGAAGGCTTTGAAGTGATGCAACTCGCCATGGAAGATTTCCAAGCAGTTCTACCAGTTATCACTCCTTCAAGCAAACGCGAGGGATTTGCGACCATCCCAGATGTTTCATGGAAGGATATTGGAGCCCTTGCGACGGTTCGCGAAGAGATTATGACCGCAATCGTGGAGCCTATCGCCCACCCTGAATTATACGATGACTTTGGCGAAGCGGCTCCGTCAGGTGTGCTTCTCTGGGGCCCTCCAGGCTGCGGCAAGACCTTACTAGCAAAGGCTGCCGCAGCGGAGAGCAAAGCAAACTTCATCTCAATCAAAGGACCCGAGTTACTCAACAAATTCGTCGGAGAAAGCGAGGCAGCAGTACGAAAAGTATTCCAAAGAGCCCGATCCAGTGTACCTTGTGTTATCTTCTTCGACGAATTCGACGCCTTGGTACCGAAACGCGAGGACGGCGGAAGTGAAGCTTCGTCGCGAGTCGTCAACACGCTTCTGACTGAACTGGACGGACTCAACGAGCGAGCAGGAATCTACGTTATCGCAGCCACTAATCGGCCAGAGCATATCGACAGTGCCATGCTCAGACCTGGTCGGTTAGGCACTCACCTCTTCGTCGATTTACCAGGTCCAGATGAGAGAGTCGATATCCTTAGAGCCGTCGTTCGCAACAAGCCTTGTGAATTTACTCCACAACTCGCTCAACTCGTACGAGAAGAGTGTCATGAGTATTCGGGAGCTGATCTGGGTGCCATGGTCAAGGAGGCTGTGCAGAGCGCTATCAAGCGAAGATCGAAACAATTGGATCTGGTCGACTTCCAGTATGCTGCGAAGCGTGTGAAAGGGTCCGTGCACGACGCAGCTAGGTATAGAGGTGAATTGCAGAGAAGGTTCACAAGGCAAATTCTGTAGGATGCTGGCAGTAATTGACTCCTTGAAAGTCGGAAGACTGGCCCCTACGTTCTGTTTGCGACACTTCCAGATCATGTGCTCACGTTGAGTTGCCAGGTGTGCTTCATCAGGTAATCAGCTCCGTCAGCAGGTAATCAGCTCCGACAGCAGATATGGGTCCCAGGCGATGAATGCTCTTTGCGACTCTGGAAACCAGGGATCTCGAATGGAGCTGTCTGGTGCAAATGGCTCTTGGGAAGCCTAGATATCTCTATAGTATCCACATTCCGAAAAGGGCTTCAAAGGTCAAGCATTGACGATAGATCTCAAGCTGTACGAGGCGGCCTTCAGAAAGTCGAGCTCTCGAATACAAAGGGTTTGGTCCTGGAGAGATCATGAGAACTGTTGGCTTCTCCTTTCGGTGGCCCTGCTAAGCACTGAAATTCTTTGTATGGAGCATCTTGCGAGCACTGGCCGAATAGTTTTACTACTATCAGTGCAAAGATACAACCACGTCATGGCTTTCATTCGCCTGGGCGTCAAACGTCCGAAGTAATATATACACTCTATCACCCCAGCGCCATGCTGTGAAGACCAAACGGTCGAATGCCTCTATACCAACTCCCAAACTCCTCGCATCTGACCGAAATGCCGCTGTTTCTTGCTCGATCGCTCGCGTCTTCCTCTATTCATAACCATAGTACTTCCTATAAATCTTCTTGTGCTGCTCCAAGAAGAGGAAGGTGGCAACCGTATGTGGTCCCAGACGAATGAAACTCGGGACCCAACCTTTGAATACCCACATTATGCCTTCACTTGCAGTGATCTTCGTCACCAAACTTATTATACTCTCTTTCGCGCTGGCGCCCATGACTCTGGTCTTGATCACATCGACGGGACTGCAGACCGTCGTTGCGACAAATCCAGACATCAATGAAGCTGTGAAGTGGGTTGTCAAGGTATCACCCATACTTGTCAACTCCAATAGCTGCCTCTTGAATACATCGTAACTTGCCAGCTGCGACGCTGTCATGAGCACTGCACGCGTGCTGTTGGGCCATACTCCTCGGAAGAGACTTTGAAATCCTTCTTCGCGAATAATTCTGAACAAGCCGTCGAAGGCATGTTTATAATTGCGTCGCTCGGCTGCGGGAAGGGCTGCGTCGTTCTGCATTCGCACGTTCAGGATGTCTGCTGGGTTTCCTGCAACACCACCTAGAAAGCCTGATGTGGAGGCCATCGCTACGAGTGCACCAAAGGATGGCTGGCCACCGCCGCCGCCGCCGCCAAACCTGTTTTTCAGCTCTTCATAGACTCCAAATCGTGTCGTGCTGTAGGTGATCTGGCGCAAAAGCGCTGCTGTGAGCTGTAGCAATACGATCAGTTCATGCCAGGTCGCATCAGCGATCGTTGATCGTTCTCACTCCACGGTAGAGACCCGGGACACCATCGCTCTTTACAATATGTGTAAACATGCCAACCATGCCCTTCTTAGGTCCATCGCTCTTTTGCATCTGCAGCCTGACCTGTCCAAGCACATATTAGCTGAAGTCGCATATCAGAGATCGTTCCGAAGCATACCTTCACTACGCAAAGCTGTCAGCATTCTGTGTTGGTTCACACGCAAGCCCATCAAAACTTACAAAGATCCAATGGATGCGTCACGCAGGCGGCCAAACAGCTTGCGCTGCCGCCGAACCACAGCGGATAGTGGATTGCTTTGACATCCTGACTTTTGGATGTTGCAGACATATCCGTAGGGTCATCGCTCCATGGAAGGGCGCGAGGGGAGATGACGAGACGGAGCGAGCAGGTGTTGCGGGAATGGTATGTGATATTTGATTGAGCCGGGAATAACTGGAAATCAATGGTCGGCAACGGCAACAGGCCCGGTTCCTGGGCGAGCGGCGGCACGTTGCTTTGCAGGGATTTGCGGTAAGCGATTGGGTCGGTGATGATCGGAGGTGCTTCTCTTGAGCAGCAACGGATTGTGCTCGTCAGGACAGCACTGTTCTTTTCTGGCAATAATCAACTTCATCTGATTGCATCTTCAATGAGGTACATGTAGTGAAGGCTGAAACGATGGGCAAGTTCGGCTCATCGGCCTCACTTCTGGCGCTGCCGGTTGGTATACGGTCTCTGCTTAGAGCACCCATTGCTTGCTGCCGGAGCTATGCATCTACTGGTCAGTTGCCTTTCTCACTCCAATACCACATCTCTGTCGGCACTTCCTTCTGATCTCGCGGCAATGGTGCATTATTCACCGCTCGGCATTCAGTCTTCGAAGCCGCAGTCAGCGATGTCGCAACTTCTTCACTTACAAGCATAGTGGATAGTGCGGCCCGGAGCTCGCTCCAGGCTTACTTTGCACATCTTGACTGGCGGGAATAAACTCCACATTCACAAGACTCAGCTCAATGTCTAGACTCACAGACTAATGACCAATTGGTGTAGATGCAAGACCACAGACGTTGACCATTGGAGGGAAACAGTATCCTACAGACGACTGGACCAATGTGCCTTCGTCGATATTGTCTAATTATGGACGGAAACTGCATGTCCAGCCCAATCATCCCCTCTCGATCACCAGGAAACTCATAGAATCGCGGTTCCCTGATTTTCAAAACCATAACGAATTGACCCCGGTGGTAACCGTCAAGCAGAACTTCGATTCCCTAGGGTTTGCAGCAGACCATCCTGGACGGAGTAGAACAGACACTTACTACGTGAACAAAGACACTGTTCTGCGAACACATACCAGTGCGCATGAGGTCGATGTCTTTCGTGCCAATACCAGTCCGGGGTACACTATTTCAGCAGATGTGTACCGTCGAGACGCGGTCGACCGAAGCCATTATCCAGTTTTCCATCAGATGGAGGGAGCGTTAACATGGGATCGAAATGACTTTGCTAATAGCAAGGCCCTCACGAATCAGATCCTGAAAGACATTGAGGGAATTCCTAAGCATGATCTTGCTGTGGACGACCCTAACCCAACATTTGATCCTGTGCGAAATCCGCTTCAGACCGACTTTCACTCGCCAGAAGAAGCTGAAGCTGTAGCCAAACACCTGAAGCGTTCGCTAGAGAACATGGTCGTTGCTATATTCTCAGAAGCAGACAAGGCTCTAGCTGCATCTGGCAACGATGTTGAGGGAGAGAAGGAGCCTCTGAAGGTACGTTGGGTCGAGGCATTCTTCCCGCATACCTCTCCTTCGTGGGAAATGGAAGTCTGGTGGCGTGGCGACTGGTTGGAAGTTCTTGGTTGTGGTGTGATCGATCAGCCGCTTCTGAACAGGGCAGATGTCTCGTCCAGAGTCGGCTGGGCCTTCGGCATTGGCCTTGAACGAATCGCGATGCTGCTATTTGGGATACCAGATATCAGGCTTTTCTGGAGCAACGATCAACGCTTCCTTGGACAATTCGACGAATCGAAGCCAACTCGCCGTTTTCAGCCATTCAGCAAGTATCCGGCCGCGCCTAGAGATGTTGCGTTCTGGCTGCCCAAAACCGGTCCGGTTGTCACAGAAACTCCAGCAACAGTCTCATCTGCACCTTCGCCTGCTGGAGGTCAGCCCACTGAACCACCTTTGACCACAGAAACGCCAGTGTTCCACGAGAACGACCTAATGGAGGTTGTCCGCAACACGGCTGGCAACAGTGTCGAGGACGTGGCACTTATCGATGATTTTACGCATCCAAAGACGGGACGCAAGAGTCTTTGCTACCGAGTCACATATCGCAGTCTTGAGAAGACACTTACGAATGAAGAAGCGAATAGCCTCCATGAACAGATCCGCTCTGAGCTCGTGAACAGATTTGGTGTTGAGCTGAGATGAAAGAACATCAGTAAAGAGCTCCACTCACCGTGTCAATGTTCAAGAGATATGTATGTATAAACTTCACAGCGACCATGTGAGAAGAGAAAAGTTGTACATTAGCACCTGAAACACCAACCATCTCACCAAGCTACCAGCCGCATTCCAGAGAGGCGTAAAGCGGGCTGTTACCCCACGTACGTCAGTGCCAGGTGGTCAAGACAAGCCACATCTCCTGTTATTGTTGAGAGCTAGGTATTCCATATCGAAATACATTGACCACCTCCACCATGACAGAAAACCTCGGCATCTTCGAGACCTTGGCAGTTCAAGTCACCCAAGAAGCACAGCGTCTAACAACATTCTTCAACGAAAATGGCTACTACCAACCAGATTTCAAACAAGGAGGCTTCACCGAATTCGACGAATTACCCCCCGAGATCGAAGCTAGTAGGAAGCGTCTCCAAGCTGCTGCCAAAGCTGTGCAGGATTTGGCTGCTGGACCGGAACGATATGTGAGGAGCTTGGCGAGAAGCGTAGGTTATCATCAACCTCCTCCTCTGCGCAAGACATTTTTTGATATATTTTGTGCAGTATCACGACTCCACAACCCTCCGCTGGCTCATACATTTCAAAATCCCTGAAGCTATACCTCTTGGCCGAGGAGAATCAATCACGTATTCCGAGCTTGCGAAGAAACGTGAGGTTGATGAGAATATCCTGAGGAGGATTGTCAAGTATGCAATTACGAATCACATTTTCCATGAGCCTTCGGGTGATGTGGTAGCTCACACTGCTTACTCGGCTATTCTGGTTACGGATGCTGAGTTGAGAGCTGAGATCGATTTCGAGGTCGAAGAGGGTTTATCCGTTGCTGTGAATCTTGTTGAAGCGCATGAGAAGTGGTCGATGAGTGATGGGAGGAGGAATCGGGCTGCTTTTCAGGTTGCGAACGAGACAGATTTGGAGGTTGGGGAGTTTTATGAGCAGGATGTGATGGAAGAGAGAAGGGCGGTGTTCTCGGCTGCGAGACCTGATGAGGGGGTCGAGGAGGAATGTTTGATGAAAGCGTTTTCTTGGGAGAAGGTTAAGAGGGTTGTGGATGTTGGTGGTTCGAAGGGCGAGACTGCTATTGCGCTTGCGAATACATTTCCGGGACTGCGCATCATGGTTGTTGATTCGGAAGCGAGGATTGATGATGGAAGGGAGAGTTTGCCGGAGGATTTGGAGAGAAAGGTGTACTTTGTTGGAAGCGATATCTTTGGTGAGGATGGGTCGATGCTGGATGAGGTGCATCAATTTGGTGCGCAGCTGTATCTGTTGCGGAATGTCTTGGGGAAGTGCTCAGAAGAGGAGGCGAAGATCGTTTTGAGCAATGTCGCAGAAGTCTTGCACGGTGCCGGCCAGGGAGCGAAGTGCTTGATCGTGGATCGAGTCCTGCCTTCGTGTTCTTTTGGTTTAGAACCCTGGGATGCAGAGGATGCGAAGGCTGCTCGACATAGAGATCTTCATGCTTTGGAGATGGGTAATGGTGCAGAGAGAAATAGGGAAGAGTGGGAGGCACTGATGAGCGCCGCAGACGAAGGGTTGAAAATTGCTGATATTAGAGAGATTGACGAGAGTGCTTACAGCATACTAGAAGTTGTGTATGCTGACAGTGATGATTGAGTCGTGCTAAAGAGCGTAGACATAGATCGGAAAATGGGTTAGAAGAGAGATAATAGACGGCATAGAGAATCAAGGGCCTAGAAGCAACAGCTTGGTTTCCAAAAGCAGTAAGCATTCACAGGTGTTCATGTGGTTGGACCAGCTTTGAGGCTCCTCCGTCTCGAGGCGGCAAGACCATCGGCTCGCCGGTAATGTCGATCACTCTCGTATCTGGTCAAAGTATGCCAAAGCAGGTGAAGTCGAGGAGAGGCTCGGGATGATGTCTACACGAGTGCGGCGACAAGGTCCAGACATGTGAAAGCCACCAGGGTCGGGTCGGGTCCAATGAAAGTGGCAGTAGAGTGTAGCTTACCTTCTCCTCAGCCGATTCTCCCCGATGGCATTGCTATGAGTGCATTACTACCTTGCAGCTAGCGATGATGAGTTTGGTAGGTCATTTCGCATCCCTGAGCGTCTTTCGCTGCTGTTGTTCTGGGTAGCCTCGGCAGTGAAAAAGGTGGCAGCGGTCGCGGCAGCGCTTTTAGAGCACGACGTGACCTTGCTCGTCCCCACACGTTCCAGCCTGTCGCCCGAAAGCTCTCCAGGCTAGCCTACTGGGAAGTCTCGTGAGAGTCACAGTAGTATCGACCGACACAGTCACAGCACACGCGACATCTCCGGTCGTCTTTGACCACACGACCACCACGTTGTCGCCCTCTACCAATTCGCCGGCCTCAGGGCCTCACAATCGCCCAGCATGTCGTGGAAGATGTCGAGTCAGTATTGTCCTGCGAAGCATGGATCAATTGTTTCGAAATGACGTCGCTGACTGCTCTTCTCTGTGTGAAGCCCAGCTGCTGGAGACGATCAAGCATTACTCGAACTTTCCGGCGACAGGCGTGAGCTTGAGGCAGATGGTGCAGTTTGGGAGCAATCCCTCGACCGGTATCATCACTCCATACCAACCAGCCGGGGACCGAGGAGCTAGTAGCTAAGCATTCGAGCATTGCAGGCACCCTATTTCGAGCGTCGCAATTCCTTTCCGAAGAGCTGCCTATCCGATTAGCACATAGAGTCCAAGAGCTTGGAGATCTTCCAGATGGCCTCAATGAGATGGAGAGCATCAAGAAGGTGCAGAACTGGTATGCGCAGTCATTTGAGGTAAGGGCGTATCATCTACAACTCGGCAGCAAGCTGAATACAGTTGTGTGTTAACATCTTGGCCTCCAGGAAATCATCACACTACCCAAGCCGAGTCTGACATCCGAGGTCAGAGAGCGTCTCATTAAGCCAGCAAAAAGCAATGGGAAGGCATCCCGAATCTTGAGCGAGACGACGACGAATCCAAGCGTCAAGCCAGGCCAATACAAATCTGACGCTAAGATGAAGCTCAACGAAGACAAGGAGAATGGAGTTCAGAACGGCAACGGAAATGGACGGAAGCTTGCAGCAACACGGCGGTACTTTGCAGCTGCAGATGATGGCGACTGGCCTCCGGAATTAAACGACTACAATACGCAATTTGCTAAAACACTCGAAAAGATCAAACGGCGACACGACAGTGTGGTGACGACGATCGCGCAGGGCATCCTCGAATATAAGCGGAAACGACAACGAATGCAGATCGACCACAACATTCAGGCATTTCTGGACCGATTCTACATGTCGCGAATAGGAATCCGCATGTTAATCGGACAGCATATTGCCTTGACCGACCAACGCTCTCATGGAGATCCGAACTATGTGGGTATCATCTGCACGAAGACCAACGTGAAAGAGCTAGCGCAAGAGGCAATCGAGAATGCGAGATTTGTATGTGAAGATCACTACGGACTTTTCGATGCGCCTAAAGTTCGATTGGTATGTCCGAATGACCTGAACTTTATGTACGTTCCTGGCCATTTGTCGCATATGTTATTCGAGACGCTCAAGAACAGTCTGCGAGCTGTTGTGGAAACTCACGGCCAGGATAAAGAGGAGTTTCCGGAAACACAAGTGATTGTCTCCGAAGGCAGAGAGGATATCACGATAAAGATCAGCGATGCAGGAGGAGGAATTCCAAGAAGTTCTATCCCGCTCGTGTGGACATATATGTACACAACTGTCGACCAAACGCCGAACTTGGATCCGGATTTCAACCAAAGTGACTTCAAAGCGCCTATGGCTGGATTTGGATACGGACTTCCAATCTCAAGATTGTATGCGAGATATTTCGGAGGTGACTTGAAGCTCATCTCCATGGAGGGCTATGGCACGGATGTATACCTGCACCTGAACAGATTGAGTTCAAGTTCGGAACCCTTGCAGTGACAACGACCAGTCATGGTAAGTCGAAATCGCGAGTATTGAATGGCCGGCCGGCTCTTGGCTAACTGGAACGCAGAGGGATGAGTGGAAGGGAAACATGGCGCAGGATTCGCGCTCATCTCAGGGATTGGCGCGCGGCGGAAGCCAGGTCGGATCATATGTAGGAGGCGACCGCATCGCAGGGTTGACGCTCGGTGCAAGAGCAAGCAAAAAGTTGAAGAGCAACAGTTCAATGCTGGATCTCAGCAATCGAGCGATATCTGCTAGAAGGCAGGTGGGTGATGCAGAGAGTGTAATCAATCGTCCGGATTCTGGCGAGAAGCCGTGGTGGAAAAACGTGGGTATGGAGGAAGGGATGTAGGACATGCACTCTTTGACCAGAGGAAGCACAAAGACTAACAGCATGAAAGTGCACTGGGTGGCGTTGTGGTGTACAAGAGGGGAAGGAATTCTTGGGATATTTCTTGAAGCGTTCATTGATGTGCCGGGCATGGCGCGATACTGTTTGACGGACACAGCTAGCTGTACAGATGGATGTCTGTGGCATGGAATGGTCAGAAAGACTTGGAAGAAGTGCTTCAATTAACCGCCTCGCTTCACATTAATCTCGTGCATGCTGTGATTGTGATAGTTGTGAATATGTCATGCCAGAAGGCAATGGCTGGCTCGCTGGTCGGCTGGTGGTGGAAGCCGAGCTCGGCAATGACTCGCGCGGGAGTGGCCGAGAAGGCCAGCTTGTTCCCTTTGAATTCTGATGAAGCTCTGGACAGTACGCTGCTGTGCTGCGCTGCGCTGTTCACAACCCTCCAGCATACAACACTCATTCCATTTTTGCATTGTTCTTCATTGACGGTTCGACGCGCAGAGCGACACTCAATCGAACCAAGGGAGTGTGAATAGCTCCCGACCCTTTTCGACATCATGTCTGGCCGTATGTCGAATTTACTTACCCCTACTCGCACCACCACAAACAGCATCGTGTCGCGTGTTCGCGTGTGCCTACACATGCGACTAGCGACGACCGCAACTACGTCCATCGCAGGCGCGTTTCCATCATTTCAACGGCTAACGGCTCTCTTTTCCAGTCCGATTCCTCGACCTCGTGAAGCCATTCACACCCCTCATCCCCGAAGTGCAAGTCCCAGAGACCAAAGTCGCCTTCAATCAAAGGATAATATGGACGAGTGTCACATTAGTCATTTTCTTGGTCATGAGCCAGATGCCGTTGTACGGCATTGTCTCCTCTGGTGAGCACGAGCAAGCATACCGCAAAGGAGGAGGAAATATTGACAATAGACAGACACTTCCGACCCACTGTACTGGCTTCGTATGATGATGGCCAGTAATCGTGGAACACTTATGGAGTTGGGTATCACGCCCATTATCTCGTCTGGCATGGTCTTCCAGCTCCTTGCTGGTACCCACCTCATCGATGTCAACCTCGACCTGAAATCCGACCGCGAACTCTACCAGACCGCGCAAAAGCTTCTCGCCATCATCCTCTCCTTCGGTCAGGCCTGTGTGTACGTGCTCACTGGTCTCTACGGTCGTCCCGTCGACCTTGGTGCTGGTATCTGCGTCCTCCTTGTCGTCCAGCTCCTCACCGCTGCCCTCATCGTCATTCTCCTTGACGAGCTGCTCCAAAAGGGCTACGGTCTTGGCAGTGGTATCTCCCTCTTCATTGCGACCAACATCTGCGAGTCCATCGTGTGGAGAGCTTTCTCGCCAACGACTGTCAATACTGGTCGTGGCCCAGAGTTCGAGGGCGCCATCATTGCTCTGGTCCACCTCCTGATCACCTGGCCAAACAAGCAACTGGCACTTCGTGAGGCCTTCTACCGCCAGAACTTGCCCAACATCATGAGCTTGCTGTCCACCATCCTGGTCTTCAGCGCAGTCATCTATCTCCAGGGATTCCGAGTCGAGATTCCAGTCAAGTCTTCCCGCCAGCGTGGCATGCGCGGCTCATACCCAGTCCGCCTCTTCTACACTTCGAACATGCCAATCATGCTCCAGTCTGCTCTCTCCTCCAATATTTTCTTGGTCTCGCAGATGCTCTACAACAAGCTTCCAGAGAACCTGCTCGTCAAGCTCCTCGGTGTTTGGGAGGCTCGCGAAGGCACTGCTCAAGTCGTTCCAGCTAGTGGACTTGTCTACTACATGAGCCCCCCTCTCAACCTTACCGATGCTCTCTTGGACCCTATCCATACTGCTGTGTTCACTGTCTACATGCTGGTTGCCTGTGCTGCCTTCAGCAAGACCTGGATCGAGGTCTCTGGATCCAGCCCACGCGATGTTGCTAAGCAGTTGAAGGAGCAGGGTCTAGTGATGGCTGGTCACCGTGACGAGAGCATGTACCGTGAGCTCAAGCGTGTCATTCCAACTGCCGCTGCTTTCGGTGGAGCTTGCATTGGTGCCTTGTCTATCGTCAGCGATCTCATGGGCGCTCTCGGAAGCGGTACTGGTATCCTCATGGCTGTCACGTGAGTATCCATTACCTTTTTTGTGGCAGACCCTTGCTAACATTTCACAGCATCATTTACTCGTACTTCGAGATCGCAGCCAAGGAGGGTGACATGGCCGGTCTTAAGGGTATGGTGATGGGCTAGGTGAAGAGCCCTCACCGACCTGTGAGATCTACGCGCGTCCCATTTCACACGCTTGGCACTGCTCATGAGTTTGGAGCCTTTGCTTTGAGTAGCATGCGAGATGAGCGACATGAAAAGTATAATGTAACAAATACAGAATACAAATTCAGATCCAGCTGAATCGATGTATCCCATGCTGTGCTGTGCTTCTCACACGTGTGCTGCGGGCCGCGAAACTCTCTCCACCGGCCCCTGCGCCTGCTCTTCCGAGTCGAGCTCCTCCCCGCTTCTAAGGTTCCAAGAGGTAAGCAATCGGGTACATCACTACATCCAGCCAACGAGGAAACAAGCTCGATGTCGTGCGGATGTGCGTGTCACGACCCCTCGTAGGACCCAAGGTAGGAAGACTCGTCTACCTTCCGACCTCTCTTGATTGCTTTCTCTCTTTCCACATTCGACTCTGCTATCAAAACATAGTCTCAACTACTGACCGCTGTTACACGACAATGGCACCTCTCAGACCTCATGCCGGCCATGTCGGCCTCGTCCTCCCACTCTGCACGACTGCGGCGACTGTTGGTCTGTCTCTCTACCAGTATCCCGTCTTCCTTTCCTTCTTGCAGGAGGGACAGACAATTGCCGGAACACCTCTCTCAAGATTCTGGGAGCCATTGGTAGGGTCTTACCGTCCATAAACGCAGACTCATGCATGCTTACACGCGCCTCAAGATCAAGTCCGGTCGTCTCCTAAAAGCAGGTCTAGCTCTAAGCTCTACAATCGGAGGCGGTCTCGCAGCACGCGTAAGACTCTTTCTTTCTTCCCATATCTCTCCTCACATGAGCTAATTTCTGTAGTGGCTCAAAACCCACATGACCCTCGAGACCGGCAGCGTCTCACAATGGTACATCGCCGGCTCCGTTTTGGCAGCAGGTCATCTCGCATTCCTGCCACTTCTCGCTGGCCCGGTTCAGAGAATCATTGCTTCGTCTAAAACTGCTAAGAGCGAGGAAGAGGCGGATAAGGCGAACAGAGAGGAAATGAAGACCTGGTTGACAATTCATACTGCGAGGTTGTTTTTGGTGGATCTTCCGGCTCTCTGGTGCTTTGCTGAGGGTACGGCGCAGAGCTTTTGGGTTGGTCCATGAGCGGGGAGAAAAGGAGGGAGGAAGGGGAGAAACTTATCATGTTCACGAGAAATCTGAAGGAGGAGAGGACGAGGTGTATAGTATGGTGAAGCTATCCTTGGTCTGTCATTCATCTGGTGTCTTTTGTCGTTCCTCTAGCGTCCGCTACCTCTGGGACGGCTATGCCACTTCTCGGGCTGAGCCTGGAAAGCAGCTGACGGCAATGTTCGCAGACACGAGGCGAAGGTTGTGCGTAGACTGCAACGCCCGCACTATGTTCGCATGATTTGCCTTGTTCGGCGCCAATGGATTAGGACTGGTACGCAAGATACACGCATCTCTGCTGCACTATGCTACACTATGATTTTCTATCCACATTCTCATCTGTTTGACCGTTATGCAGAACCCTCTGAACCCGTCCAGGATGCGATCTACCATTCTCTTCGTCACGACGCTCTACTTCAACCTCTTCGTTCTCCTCATCTCCCACCCTCGACTCCTTCTCGTCCCCAACCTCCCTCTCAACAGACTTCGTCGGCGCCCACTTACTCTTCCCTCGAATGCCTTCTCCATACCGATAAAACAAAATCGAAATCGGCATCAACAAAACCGCCACACCACCAATCAAACTCCCGCCGCCTCCAACACCCATATCCCCAAACATCTGCTCTGTCCAGAGCGCCGCACTCGCCGCAACGGCACTTGAAGCAGACCCTCTAGCCTCTCAAGGCGGTTGTTAAGCTCTATCTGTCGGTTCGGTCGGCCGATGCGCTGTTTGACGAGACTCTTGTGCGATGGCGACAAGGTTCTTTCGCGGTCAAAGAAGGCACGAAAAGCCGTGTATGGGCTCTTCAGGTACCGATGTGGTCGTTTGAGTTTGACGCTTCCCGACTTAACGGCGGACCCGGAGCGGATACAAAGAAGAGGTGCCAACCCTTCCAAAGTTTGCCCACTCGTCGCACTCCTCGAGAATGAAACGCAGCAGAGTTTCGAGCTTCTATCGCGTTATGGCGCAAGCTGGAAATCTTCGTCCATGTGAGCGCAGTACTTATGGCTTGTCATGCCCAAGCAACTATAACACACGAAGCAAATCCATGGTAGTCTATCTTACTGCTCCAAGGCATCAAACAACACGTCCGCGTTCTTGACCAAGACCTGCTCTAATTCAATCTTCATCTCCTCACACCAATCTAACATTTTCTCCAGGTATTCTCCAACTAACAGATGCTCGAATCGCGTGTGTGGCCAATCGGTGGCGAACACACATCGATCGGGCTTCGCTTTCAGGATCTCCTGGCATAGACTCTTCACCAAAGCATTATCGGGATCTTTCGACAAACGATAACCAGCACTTAATTTGACCCAGGTATTGCCGTCTTTCAGCAAACTCACGAGGGTATCAAATCCTGGAACGTCTTGTGCCGTTTGAGCTTTGCTGAGTGTCTCGTTGGTGGGATGCCCGTAGTGGTCAATGATAATCTTGACGCCTAAAGATTCCACGAAAGCTGGCTCGAGCATAGTAACATTCTCCATGGAAATGTATAGCTCCAAGGCCCATGTCTTGAGAAAGCGCACAGCATCGGCATATTCTCTCATCGTCGCCTGGATTTCATTCTGTCTCGGATTGGCACCGACGCTTTTGAAATTGAGTCTCACGCCCCGGGCTCCTAGATTATGCCATTCTTGCAATTGTGCCCGCGTTATGGTTTTGGGATCAAACTGGATTACTGCGCGGCCTTTCTTGGATCCCAGTTGTTGAAGAGCGGCAAGTGTGCAGCTGTTGTCATTTCCATAGATGGAGGGTTGAACTATAACCATTTTCTGTATGTTGATTTGATTCAGGAAGGCATTGGCCTGCTCTAAAGTGTGTGCTGAGGGCTTGTACTGTGCTTTGGGGTCGAGAGGAAATCGGTGTGGTTCGACGACATGCATGTGGGTATCCCATGTTCCAGGTGGTATTCGTCTTGCCAGTGTGGAGGTAGAGGCATCTGATTTCGTGGAGTGGGTCATTCTGGATAATTGTGGGTAGATTGTGCGATGAGATGAAGTCAGGGGGAAGGGGAAGGGGAAGGCGTGGGCAATGGCTCGCATTATGAGGAGTTCTGATCTCGGGCCTGCTAGCATTTTGAAGACGATGTCGGACGACGTGTTTTGCAAAGATTGGCGATCATCTCTCACTGAGCTGAAGCGGACTCAGCGATTTCGGGACGCCGGCCGACTCGCCTTCGGAAGATTTGGAAATGCTCGCGAAGAGTCAGCAGTGTGTTGACTGGGAAGTTGTGCATTGTAAAAGCATTTGGCCAGGACATTATGATGATGGTATGCTTGAGATGTGGTGGTGGAAATGCGAAGAAGAAAATGGGTGGCGTTCGTGAAGCACGCGACATGGTCCGAGTTTCGCCGAGCGGTTTGAACTTTTTGGAAGCTCACCACAAGCAGCACCTCTCACCCTACGCCATCCACTTCTTCCTCTCGTCTCACACACATCACAATGCTTCAACAAAGATTAGCGCGCTCTTTTCACACTATCTCGCGACAAGCACAGGTCCTCAAAACAGCGCGAACGCCGCAGCCTACTTCCTTCGCAGCATCCACATTCAGAGTTGCGCCAGCAACTTCAGCATCACACGGCATTGCATCGCGGAGATGGTATTCATCGCAGCAAGAGTCTGAAGCAAAGCAGGAAGAGGTCTTGAAGGAGAATACCGAGGGAACCAAAGAAACGCCTAAGGAAGACGCTGCAAAGGAGAACCCGCTGGCACACGAGTTGGAGAGCAAGAAGAGGGAGAACCTTGACTTGACAGTATGTCGAAGAACAATAGGTGAAGAAGATCAGGCAGTGACTGACAGTCTTGGCAGGATCGATTGAAGCGACAGGTGGCAGAGTACCGCAACCTGCAAGAACAAACGAAGCGCGAGGTACAGGCAGCGAAGGACTTCGCTCTCCAAAGATTTGCCAAGGACCTTCTTGAGAGCATAGACAACCTTGACCGTGCGCTCGAGAATGTGCCAAAGGAAAAGCTCACCGAGGCAAACCAGGAGCTGGTCAACCTGCACAATGGGCTCAAGATGACCCATGAAATTCTGTTGAAGACATTGAAGAGACATGGCATGGAGGTGTTTGATCCAAGTGTGGAGGGTGAAGCCTTCAACCCCAATCACCACGAGGCAACGTTCCAGACACCCCAAGCTGACAAGAAGGATGGAACGGTTTTCTACACTCAGCAGAAGGGCGTCTTGTATAACGGAAGAGTGCTGCGGGTAAGTCAACGCTCCCTTGCGAGTCACGAGTCTCGTTGCTAATGATGCGTGCAGGCGGCAAAGGTTGGCGTTGTCAAGAATTCATGATGAAGTGTGCCACGAGGACACGATCCATTTGCACTGCTGGCAGAGAAGTTGTGTAATACTAGTGTAAGCTGCCGACAAGGCCAAAAGAATCCATTGGGCGTAGAGTCTCCACTTTGGACGCAGATCCTGCATTCTAGCATGCATGGCTAGGTGCATGGAAGGGCTGTACAGTAGAAGAGCGGCATTCGTGGATAGGGATTAGTGCAGGATTGCATATCAAATCTAGGGCTGGCAGTCTTATGGCAATCTGGCTTGGATAAGTATGACGCAGTGCCGAGAGACATTTCAGTACGGGCACACCAAGACTCGTGGTGGCGACAAATGAAGCAAGCGAGCGCGCGACTATTTCCCATCATACCTTAGTCGAATCTGCGGTCATGAAGTGAAAGTAGGGTGGCAGTGGCAGTGGCAGGATGCAGTCGTGTGTCGTGGCAGAACCAAGCTGGCCGGCCAAGCTTTCTCGGCTGGCTGAGAAGATTACCCTTTGCATTCGCCTCCCCGCCTGACTCCCTGCCTCTCCTTAGGCTCAAGTGGTATACCGACTCTCCGAACGAGCAAGAACGAAAGGCATCTCGACGTCACGCAGCCTGCATCATGCCTTCGGTCACTGTACATCCGCCTGCGCTTCAGCGAGAAAACGGCAACGGCAACGGCAACGGCGTCGAGAGCGCTCTGCCGCCGACACTCCGCACTCCAGCGGGCCTGGCCTTGGTGGAGCTTCAAGGCAGCATTCTGAGCGAGAGCGCCCAGGCCGAATTTGGCAGAGCGCTGCAGCTCGGCCGCCTGGTCTTTCCTGCCGCTGACGACAGCGTGGATGGCCGTGGTGACTGGGACGGCACGCGAGTCCTCCTGTATATTGGCACTCATCAGCGTATGGCAGGGGAGGTGAAGAAGCTCTCCAAACCAGTGGCCGTCATTCGACGTCGCCCAATTTCTCCTCACGCCAGCCATCCTGCAGCCGAGGATGAAGTGGAGATCGCAGAAATCATGCATTTGAAGATGCTCTTTGCCCATCGCCCAGAGCCCATGGGTGCGGAGCAGACCGCTGATATCGCCGTGGAACGATGACGGTGGACTCGAGAGTTCACGACCAACGGCTTATTCATGGCAGCAGGGCTGCGAGCACGAAAGCACGAACCGACACTCTATTACTCATCTCAGCAGATCTTCCTACGGCCAGCGGCCCTGCGATACTCCCGCGTTCATAAAACCGCAACTCATCAGCTTTACAAGCCTCACAATCCGCAATCAAATCAATCAAAAGAAGTGAACCAATTTTGCCAGCTCCAAGCTAGTGCACGGGACCAGAAGAATACGTTGCGTTACGGCCCAACTCCGTTGGAGGCTGCTTTCCGCTGCAGCACAACTTGAGGAGATTCGTCTCAAGATGGACACGTCGTCGGCTGAAAGGCCAATATCATTCACCGCCGGCTTTGCGACACTGGTACGTGAATTTTGCGCCCATTCATCATCTCCATCGACAGATTCTAAGGTGAATTCAGGCACTACTTTATGTGGTGGGCAACCTCATCTACAAGCTATATTTCGGCCCGCTCTCTCACATACCTGGACCGAAGCTCAACGCGCTGTCCAGATTACCATACATTCGGCATCTTCTTAAAGGCACTACCGTCCAGAATGTCAACGAACTACATGAGAAATATGGAGAAGTCGTCAGGATCTCCCCGAATGAAATCTCGTTCACCTCGATAGATACTGCCTGGCCTGATATCTATGGCTTTCGAACAGGCAAGATGAAGGGCCATCTTAATACTCTGAAAGACCCCGCGTGGTATCCGCCTCCTATGAATGGTGCGCCAAGCATAATCATCGCGGATGATGACTTGCACTCCAAAGGCAGGAGAGTCTTGTCACATGCGTTCAGCGAGAAAGCTCTTACCGACCAAGAAGGTCTGCTTCAAGGCTACGTGGATCAGCTCGTGGATGGGCTCAGGGAGACCATCAAGACCAAACCTGTCGCCGACTTGACCAAATGGTATAACTGGACGACGTTCGACATCATTGCGGATCTCGTGAGTAAACCTGCGCACTCCCGCTTTCTAGCCCTCGAGCGCCAGTCGATTCACCTGTTGCAAAAGGCGGGTTTTCTCGCTTGAGACATCTGCTAACTCTTCTACCTTTTACTTCTAGATGTTTGGTGAACCTTTCGGCTGCCTTCAGACTGGCGAGACTCATTGGGTCATAACATTACTCTTCGACTCAGTCAAGGCTTTCCGCATGTTTTACATCAGCAGATACTGGCCTTGGGTGAAGTCCCTTGGGAGCATGATCATCGACAAGCGCCTCATAGCCAAACGAACGGTTTACTTCGCTTGGGTCTCGAAGCAGGTCAAAAATCGCATGGAACGCGATACACAGCGACCAGACTTCATGACTCTCATTCTGCAGCATAATGGCGAGAAAGGGTACAAGATGGAGAAAGGCGAACTTGATTCCAACGCCAATCTGATGCTGACTGCCGGCTCCGAGACTACGGCCAGTCTGCTTAGTGGCGCGACATACTGCCTACTTACCAACCCTGCCGTCCTCCAAAAGTTGACGGAAGAAGTCCGAGGAAAGTGGGCCTCATACGATGAAATCACCCTCCATGAAGTCAACAGTTCGCCTTACCTAGTTGCGGTTATGAATGAAGCCCTTCGCTACTTCCCACCAGTGCCAACAGGATTCGAGCGTAGAATCGGCCCTGGAGGAGAGACTGTATCTGGATACTACATCCCCGAGGGCACATCAGTGTGTGTCTCCCAATACCCGGCGTATCACTCAGAGAAGAATTTCAAGAATGCTGAGCAGTTTGTGCCGGAGCGATGGATGGGCGACGAGGAGTACAAAGATGATAAGAGGAGTGGTATGCAGCCATTTTCGTTTGGACCGAGGAATTGCTTGGGGAAGGTGAGTCGATTTCGACCTCTTTTTTTCTCTTGTGATGAAGCTGACTGACTGACTTGCGCTAGAACCTTGCGTATGCCGAGATGCGACTCATCATGGCGAAGATGGTTTGGAGTTTCGATATGGAGCTTGAGTTGCAGAGTCGAGATTGGATTCAGAGATGTCGTGTTCACACTTTATGGGATAAGCCAGCTCTTATGGTGAGAGTGACTGAAGCCGTCAGGTAGATGATGCAACCACAGGACATCGAGCGTTCGGAGTCACATTTACTCATTTAAATCGATTGATGATAGCATACCTAACTGATAGCGTTCTCTCGTGACAACAGGAAATAGCCTAACTTGCTCTTGTCCCAATTGTCTTTGACCAGCCGTTTCTAAGTCTTCTGCTGTCTTCGAACGAGACAGCACATGACATGTCTGCGCTGACACTGCTATCCCGCACTCCACCGCGCTTCAGCCTCTGGTCAACTGATCGCCGCATATGACGAGCGATTGGACCTCACCTCGACTTAAACCACTGATAGGCTCAGATCCTCTCGGCAATCCAGCTCTCGACCAACTGCGTCCCTTCTGCCTTCTCAGCATACCCCAGGAGCTTATCAATCAAGAAATCCTCATGAGCAGCGCCCTTTTCGACAACCAGTTCAACCTTAGAATGAGCGGCTTTGAGAGTCTTGGTGAAATCTTGGATGCTGTCAATCAGGACCTCGTTATCACCGCCCCATACCAATACATCCTTGACAATCTTGTCGAGACTAGAGAACCACTTCGCATCAGCGAGGATCGGCTCGTTGTACTCGTCCGACGGCTTCGAGCCTTTGAATAATGACGCCCATCGACCTACGGCGATGGGAGGAATCATATCTGATGTCGCATTACGTTTCCAGCTGTCGTCTGTCGGAGAGAACTTGACCCATGGTGAGATGAGGATTGCAGTAGCGAGGGGTTCGTTGAGCTCAGTTTTCGGGACGCCTGGATGAGGGTGGAGCAGATGAGATAGGAGGGCGAGTGTCATGTTGGCGCCCGCGGAGTCCCCGGCGATGACAATCTAGCAAATACATGAGCATCGGTGTTGCATTTCGATGGGATGTGACCACTTACATCACCGGCCTTCTTCCCTTGCTTCGTGAGTAAGAATTGAAGCGATTCTGCAGCTTGCTTTACATTCAGTGGATATTGCCCCTTTGGTGCTAGAGTGTATGAAACCAGGACCACGGCCACATTGCTCTTCTTGGAGAGATCTTGCTGAAGCTCATAAAGCCATGTAATGTGCCCTGGAGTGCAGCTCATTACGTACCCTCCGCCATGGAAGTACAGTATAATCTTGTCCGCCGATTTAGGCCCGATCCAATGAAGTTTCAGGCCAGATTCGAGGACAGCCGTGTCAGGTTGGAATTTAGCCTTCTGAGCAATGTCGAGATAGGTCTGATCTGTTGATTGTGCGGAGTTCATCCATTGCTCTTGAGCAGCATTGACACCGGCGAGATTCGCGCGTAGAGCTGCGAATGCGATGTCTTTAAACGGCCTGTTGGCCCTTTTGCCGACAAATGGGAGAGACACAAAGCGGAATAGCGTTGATCCTATCACTTTGAAGAGCAATGGCACAATCAACAGCTTTTCGCCCAAGGTTGGCGTTGGGATCTGTGCTTCAGAAGCCATCGCACGTGAAAGTCTAAACACACTGATCTGAATGGTAATTGAAATCAGGGAGTGAGTTCTTCAAAGTCGTGAGTCTGCAGCTGTAAGCGGAGTCGTCATCGCGTAAGACGCAGATGCTTAGGCAGCACGAGAGGAGCCGAGCTATAATATCGGCTATGCAATGCAATGCTCCGGAGTTAGCTCCTGTCCTTGCTACACAACAATGCTATTATGTCGAGGCTTCTAGCACGCTTGCTTGTGAGGTAGTGTTGTGCCGCGAGATCCACGCACAATGTCCGTAAGCTTACAAGCACGATGTCCACCGTGGAGCCTTTCTTTGGCTCTTATGTCCACGGCGTATCGCGAGATAACAGTACTGCTATTCTAGTCGAATCCAGTCCAACCCTTTACCTATCCCTTGCGGGAGGTAGGATATCGTAGTATTCTTGGCGGCTAGGTTGTGAGATGGCACATAGCTCGGAGAAGAGATTCCGCGGAAGCTCAGTCGTGAAGCGCTAATAACTGTCAAGAATGTCCCGGCGGACATGCGGCGAAGTGGAGCAAGCTGATGTTGAGCTCTAAGACCCCTGCATCTCCAATGTGTCGTATGTGTGTAAACGGTAGGCCTACGTCATGTCAGGCTCGAGTCAGGAATGGTTGTTGTCTGGCATGGTACAGCATTGTGTTTGAGGAACCAGAGAAGATCTGGCCCGTCACCTCGAATATCCTCGAGTGGGAGTCGATGCCCTCAAGAAGCTGTTTCCGGAGTTCAGCCTGAGTATTGGCCTGCGCTAACAGGTGCCACTTGTACTCCTGCCACAAATATCGAAGATGATTGTTGGTGATCACATGTCAGCCATTTACTGAGCCTTTTGGACTGCGTACTTGAACGACTTTCGCCTGCCGCACGACTTCAGGCAGAATCCGAGACAGCTCTTGCGCAGTCGGCAACGGGAGAAATACTCCCTTAGTGGTCCGCTCCATCCTGCTGCTTTTGGTGTTGTAATACCATTCGCGAATATCGACACAGTAATCGTTACTGGCATCCCACCATTTGTAGCTGACTGTGAAGTCCTTGCGAGTGGTTCTGTGCGAGAACTTGTAAGGATTATCGTGGTAATCTCGCTCGGTCCAATCGACATCAGATATGTTCCAACCATAGCTGGCATTCGCGTTCGACAGTGCTGCTCTGGTCGTCTCCAGCTCTTGTGACAGCTTTGACAATTGAGCTTGTGAGGCATCGAGGGCCGCCTGCGTCGACACATGGTTTGTGCGACTCTCGTCGTACTGAGCTTCACAGTGCGAGAGCTTTTTCAAGGTAGCAGCCAACTTAAGACTATCCTCTTCATGCTGTTGCTCGGCTGCCGCTTTCAGCCTCTCCAGCGCGCTCGCCGCTTCCCGCGCGGCTGCAGATTCCACGGCCGCAGTGGCTTTGGCCTGAGCCAACTCTTCAAGAGCAGCATCCCGAATCGCATTCATTCGCTCCAGAAGCTCGGCCATATTGCGCTGAGATTCGTGAACGAGATCGTCGCGCAGCCTCGACATCTCGTTTTTCGTCAATATCGCCGCATCCGCGCGAGTAGATTCCAGCTGCAGGGCCAGCACTTCATTCCGAGTTTGTAGCTCAGCGATCCGCCTCTCCAACTGTTGCACGGCATCTCTTGCTCCATCTCGCTCGGTCGATAGCAGGATCAGATCGTTGGCTTGCTTCTGCCGGTCCTCGTCGTGCTTGCGGGCCTGCGCGTCGCGCTCGGCCAGACGTTTCTGATATTCCGCTTCAAGCGCCTCGCATCGATGCTGGAGGTCTGAGTTACGCTGTCTGAGCTCGGCATTCTCATGCTCTAGAGAAACGTTTCGCGTTTTGAGGATTTCAGTCTCTTGCTCTGCCTTCTCTAGATCGGCATTTCGTGCCTGAGCAGTCTCGGCGCCTCCATTCGGTGATCCGATGCAATTGCCCATATCTCCATCGCGAAATCGTACGAAAGGAATAGTGACGCCCAAGCAGGACGACAAGCAATGTTTATGTATCAGTCAGCAACGAGGTAGAGTAAGATTACCTTCCTTGGTTCTAGCAGTGATGGCTCGCCGGCGGCAGATCTCCAACAGCGCCATGTCTTTGGCCTTTCGGTTCTCAGAAAACAATCTCTGGCCTTAGGCAGAGCGTCTCATGACAGCAGCATTTGAAGTATGCGGAACATCGCCTCGTACTCTAGGTAAAGACCGTCACAGCGTAGGTCCTGCTGTCTGGAAAATGTTGCAATGCTCATACACTGCGATTAAGCGAGATGGCGGACGGGGGTAATCCCCGTAGACGGCAGCTAGCTTGAAAACGTTAGACGTGAACTTTTTAAAGGTACGGATAATTCCTTTAGGCAGTACGCTAGCTTTGACTAGTTAGATCCCGTTTTTAGGGATCACCGCCGTCCGCCATCTCGCTTAATCGCAGTGTATGTATTGGCACGTCAAAAAGAAGGGAACAAATTGACTTTCTCGGCCCACTTGCCTTCCCGGACCCGCTGCCTCACGAACAACACCTCGCCATCCATCCATCCGACTTCCACCCTCATCATTACTTTCGTGAACCGCGCAAATGGCTGCAAGCGAGATCAGCAGACTACCGGAAGAGTTGTTGCTAGTGATCTTCGATCAACTGGAAACGCCAGCACCTTCCGACATCAAGGCAAGACTAGAACCAAATCTAAGCTTGACATCGGGGACCGACCTCACATACAAGAGTGCATCGCGAGTCTGCAAGCGGTGGCGGCGCATCGTATTACCTCTACTTTTCAAATACTCTCGATTGAAACTTGACATTGCACCAAGACCAGAATGGCGAGATCGAGGCTCTTTCAATTCCTCAACCTCCCAGGGCGCTCTCGACGAAGCCGTGCACGCTGTGGAAGTCGCAGAGTATGCAAAGATTCATCCTCCGACACATGATGGCAGATCACTCGGCGAAGCAAGTCTTCAGTGGGCGCAACGATTCCATCATGTTCTGGAAGATTATCTGGCGTTCATTGCCACCAACAACCTGTTGTCTTCCGTCGAGAGCTTTGTCTTGCTCACGGATCGCATGCTGCCAGGCTTCAACGATCGATACCCCCATCGCCTAGCAGCAACACAGGATCACCGTTATAGAGCTGCTGCAACCCTCTGGCAACGGCTATATTCAGTGATCGAACCTCAAATACTCAAAGTCCTGGCACCACCGCCCGAACTAGCCATCCTGACCAATTGCGCCATAGATCTATTCGGCGAATGGGCTTTCTCAGACATGGACTTCCACCTCTTGACTCTCCAAGTCGACAACCCAAACGCGATTCGTCCCTCACTCAACTCCTCAGAACTCGACCACATCCCACCCCAATATCCCTCAATCGCACCCTCCAGCATACTCAAACTCCAACCTTGGTCTAACCTCAGTCTGAATGAAGGCTCCTTCCTCAAAGCCTACGGAACATACGAATACTTCGAACGCGGTCCTCCATCCCTGATCTACAGCATAAAACCAGTCATCAATCCAAAACCAAGCACTCAGCTTCGCCACGGTCAACCGCCCGGCTCCATCGACCTTACCTCCCTGAAATCCTTCATCTACACCGCCATCCTCCCCTTCGCAACACACCTCGACTTCAGAACTCTGATTCCCCACCTCGATGTTCTAGACATCAAATTAGCCCCAGATCCATCAGAACAACAAAAGATCCTCGGCGACAAGGAACGAGTCGGTCATGCGGAATTAGAAGATTGCTGGCAAGAATTTTTCACAGCATATCGATTCATCACGCGACCGTTCAGGACTTTTGAGCTTGATGCCACCGATGGCACACCGAAACTCAAGAAATTCATTTGTCGAGATGTGGCGATACAAGCTCTGCAGGACGAACTGGATGAGGAGTTCACGCCGCTTTGTTTGCCTTGTTGGGCTGAGATGGAACCAGGGGTTTTTGTGAGGCAGAGTGAGGCGCCGAATCATTATTCTGATGTGGACTTGAAATGAATCTAGATCTTTTCAGGGCTTAAAAGATCCATTAGCTCCACGAGCGATACTCGAAGCAGTAGGTCCGCGACGTGACAGGCATAGCCGATTCGAGTGTACGGAAGGAATGTGCGGAAGACTGGACTGATGAATGCATCTTCTGTACATTTCTAGCTATCGATTTCAGGGATCATGATGGCCGTTGATCTGAGGCTCGAGGGGCTCGCTCCGTAACGACGGCGTAAACCGGACAACAGAGATCTGAACATGTTAGCGCGGCTGTCACATAGCGTGTGGTGTCAAAATGCCTTACCTGTCGCTTGGCAGCGAACACAAGGCTCTCGCCATCAGCGCTCCAATTTATGCTTGGCTCGAAATCCTCCTCATCAGCCTCGTAGTCGCGTGGCGCATCATTTGATTCGGAAGCGGCACGCCATGTGAGAACGGACCGCGGCGGGTGAAGCAGCCCATTTTTGCGCGTGAGCGACTCGGCGCTCCAGATTTGCACAGCGTCTGAAGCATTGGAAATCGCTAGCTGAGAGCCGTCAGGCGACCAAGCAAGAGCTGTTGCTGGTGGATCGGACAGTGTCAGAATGGCAATGTCTTGGCATGAAGAGCGGCTTATGCTGTAAATGTGGCATGAGCCGTCATCAAAAGCGGCAGCTAGTAGACTTGATGCGCCGGGGTCTGCTTTATCAGATGGCTGGAATGACAGCGCCTCTAGATTGGTGTCTGAAGGCAGAGGCAGCTCACTCCCAAGTTCCTCTTCTGAGTTGTGGTCGTGGATTCGAGATGTGATGCATAGTCTCCGCTCTTCTGTGGAAGCGAATACAGCAATACCAGTTCGACGATCGTGCTGTACTCTTTCCCACCTCGAATTGCCGTTCAGTATGCTCGAGTTGCGTGATATTAAGCCTCGCATGGTGATGCTGGGCGCAGGAAGCAACCCATGTTCATTTTGCTGAGTGGCGTCAATTTGATATGAGGATGTCAGGCCATTGTCGCCACAAACAATGAATGCGTCGTCTTCTGTCCAGGCCACATCACAAACCTCGTGATCGAACAATTTCCACGCGACAGGTTCTCGTGATGTTTGCAGATCTTCAGTCTCCTTGTGCGAGGATTTCCAGACCTGAATTAGTGAGCGAGCGCTATCTGTCCTCAAAGCTAGCAGATATTCGCCACTTGGACTATATCGAACAGCAAGGATGACTCCAGGCGGATCCAGTGTTGGTGGGCCTAGGGATAGCGATACGCTTGCACCGTCCTGTCGTTGCTCGAGAAGCAACTGGCAAGCCGATTTGTTCCCGCTTGGTAGGTCTCGAAATCCGTCAATGGCACAGCAGGCGCCTTGTCCGTCTGGGCGCCACGTAACAGCGGTCACTGACGATTCCGCTGGCAATGAGGGTTCGTCTACATGTGATAACTAAAAGCATGGTCAGTGGTGACTCCGCATAGAATTTAAGGTTCACGCAATCGAAGTGTGTTGCACGCCTCATTGGGTAGGGCTGATGCGGAGCGGTGCGGAAGGACATACCTGCTTAGTATCAATCAAAGACTCGGGAACCTGATAGAATCGGCACAAATCGTCTCCAACAGTCATCAGCATCTGGCCATCGCTGCCTTTTGAGCTCGGGTTCCATAGAGCCTGCGTGACCATGGCGCCAGGCTTGTCCACAGTCCAGGATATAGTGCTTGTCTGAGGCGCAGTCTTGGTCACGGTCTGTGTGCCAATTTCCATGCTGTCGTATCTCTCCACAATCTCGGCGTCTGAGGCAGCGCCAGGCGAGGCAGTATCTCCTTCTTCCTCAGCATCGGCGGAAGCCGCATCAACATCCATAGCGTCGCCATTGACGTGCGTCTCACTACCCTCGCTCCGCCGTTGACGCTTTGGTACAGGTGTGGGGAATTCATCGCGCATCAAGGGCCGTTCTTTCCGTCGTCCGCTCGAAGTAGGTCGCGTGTCGGCGCCATTGTCCAGCAATTCGTGGCGCTCGCTGCCCTCTAGACTGGCGCGAGCGTCAATTAGACTCCACCTAAACCTCCGTCCAGCCTTGCGCACACGCTCTGATAGCTCGTCATGGTATAATCCGGTCTGGATGAGAGAGATGAGCTCGTTGCGGTGGACTTGGTGGGCAAAGGGCAGGTGTTCGGGATCTCGGAAGATGGAGGGTCGGTGCCAGTCTTTGACAAACGCGACAGCTGCAGACTCGAAGCCGGATTCCTGGAGATAGCGGAAGACGAGCAGATTGACATGGTCACTGTGCAAGACGGCGGCGGCCATGGTCAAAGTGGCTCCAAAGTCGAAGCGCGAGGATGCAGAGCAGAGCAGTGCAGAGCAGAGCGCAAATGGAAACAAGAGGCCGGGCTGTCGTCGACTGGCGGAGTTGGACGCCAGCCCAGCCCGAGTGGACTGCAGTGCAAAGCGCGTGCGAGGGTGCACGGTCGAAGTGAGGATCCGGGGACATCCTTAGAAGTTCCAAGCCAGCAAAGCTTATTTTTGCATGCTGTGCTGCCGTGCTAGCGGCTAGCCATCGCTTTCATGCCTCCCACAGTCTCCTACAGATCGCGTCGCTGTCGCATACTACACCTGCCACTCAATGGCTCGCATGAATCTCCCGCCCTTCACCAGAGCCCTGCTCCTCGTCGTCGTCTCCCTCTCCACCCTCAACGCCGTGTTGCGAACGAATAAATGGCGGAACTCCCTTGATTCAACTCCTTCCGCGACTACAGTTGGCAACTATTTATCCAGTCCACAATGGGCCATACCATATCTCGTCTTCGTTCCGACCAAGAGCATAGTATTTCCATGGACAGCTTTGACTGGCGCATTGGTGGAGAACAACATTGCATCACTTGCCATCAGTGCCTGCGTGATCTTCTTTGGTGGGAGATACCTCGAGCGAGCATGGGGCAGCAAAGAGTTTGGAAAGTTCGTGCTGTTTGTCACCATGATACCCAACATCATTACCTTCCTGATATATGCTGCATGGCACGCGATCGTGGGAAACATTCCTGAATAGTATGTGCTTTTCGTGCAACTCTGTGGCATGGCATGGCATGCTGCTAACATGTGCAGCCCAACGCCCTTGAACGGACTGGTCGCACTGGAGGCTGGCTTTCTCGTCTCACTGAAGCAACTCGTCCCGGAGCACACAGTCTCAATCTTCAAAGGCGTCATTCGTATGCGCATCAAGCACTTTCCTGCCGTCTTCGTTCTAGCAAACATGCTTTCCGGCCCTCTGCTTGGCACTGACACCGCGCTTTGGCTCAGCTTGTTTGGCTTCTTCACTTCCTGGATCTACCTACGCTTCTTCAGGATATCCGAGATCACTAGCACGGCGACAGGAGGCGATGCGACTATCATGAAAGGCGATGCGAGTGACACCTTCGCATTTGTGGCATTCTTTCCAGATGCCATACATCCATTCCTCGCCCCAGTCTGCGATACTATCTATACTATTCTGGTTCAGTTACGACTATGCACTCCATTCTCTGACGAGGCAATTGAAGCGGGCAACGAGAATGCGGCATCCCGATCCGAAGGCGGCTTGCCAAGCATTATGGATGGCCGTGGAGGAGGGGGCAGACGAGCAGAAGCTGAGAGACGGCGAGCCCTGGCCTTGAAGGCCCTTGACCAAAGACTTAATGCAGCCGCGGCGAGCAGAACGACCACAGCCCCAGTGACCACTGTCCAGGCAACGCTCAGTGGAGACAGCGCCGATACAGGCGTAGGTGCAGGACAGTTGGACGCTGATATTCTGCCAAAGGAAGCACGGGCATGATTGGAGCTGGACATTATTCTTTGCCTTCCAATTCAGCGTGGCGTACAAGGTGAATTTTATCAGGCGAAGATACCCAATGATACTGTCTTTCGGCTCAGCGTGGAAGTCTTTTCCAGCTCTTTTCGCCATTCACTGCACCAGCATGTATGTCTCTCTCCAGCTTTCGAAATTCCTGGCAGAAACAGCAGAGCACGCCATCAAGACGAGATGCACGTCCGTAATCTTCTTGTATGATCGATCTGCATTTTCAGCTACAGCGGGCGCAATGCAGCCAAAGTCAACTTGAGCAGATCTCATCGCCTCGAAAGTCGCGGCAGACGTGTCTCGGTTGGATAATAAAGCAAGCCAGCCAACTTCAAAAGTTCAAAGACGAGGGGAGATCTCCAGTATTTGCCCCACCCACATTGAGGACCTGCTAGCTCCAACTCTATCATGACCCACCTCGTTGGACAACATGATGATGGTGATATTCTGCGGGAACATGCTTGCCTCAATCGGCTACACGTCAGCTTCGAGAAAGTCATAAGACATGGGTCAAACGATGATTTGCGAGCCTATACCTACGCCGTCTGTAATAGCAGTGTACGAGCCGTCATTCTGCAGAGCGCACAATCGCCACTCGGTTCGGTGCAGTCTGGCTCTTTCACAATGTAGCTGCAACGGGAGAGTGAGGTTAAGAAGAGTTGACGTCGGCAGATGCGGAGTGAGAAATGCCGTTCTCGATGTAAGTATAATAATTGGGCACGCCTTGCTGAGGAGAGGAAACGCCCGGCCACCCGGCCAGAGGAGCCGGGCAATGATAGCAATGAATTGGCCTTATTACTGGTTCCGCTCTTCATCCATGGCACTGACAGAAACTGAGTACCGCGACTTCGCCTTTGCGATCTCGCTTATTCTAGCTTGCAAAAGGGCCCGGACTGATTTTAGCTGGGTTCAGCCCAACCTACCTCTACCTCCTACCTACTACCTAACGCGACTATTATATGTTTATGCACGCGTTTTTTGCATAGAATGCAGCATAATACTATCCCTGAGACTTAGTCTAATAGCAGAGACAGTATCACTATAGAAACTAGTAATTTTCTAAGCAGTCTACCTATATTGTTTTCTTAGCTGCCTAAACCGCCCCTATTTACGCAACCACGCGATTTTCGGGCCCAATCCCTATAGTAACAACAAGATACACAGTATCTACCTAGTACTCTTCCGTTTAATAAGTAGGTATACTAGCAAGAGCTATATAGTCTACGAGCTACCGAGGCATTTAATAACCTAGAAACACAAGACGACGGAGTGCGATTTAGTTAGTAGCTTAGGTCTTTATACAACACTAATACTAACACTAATAACGACGACAACGAGGACAACGATAAGGAGAATAGACTGCTAGGTAAAGAGTCTAGTAAAGAAGATATAACGATGTATATACGCTCGAAAGGAGCGGCGGAAATAGTGCCTACTAATCTAGAGAAGACTTCTTAGATACCTCCTCCTCCTGCTATCGAGAAGCAACCTATTCGTAGGGCTATAGTTCCGCCGAGACCGTTAGATACACCAAAGTCTACACTAAAAGCCGTACCTCGTAGAACTAGTATGCCCGTTAAGAGGGGTTAGCGTAGTATACGACAGAGTATTAAGAAAGAGCTAGTTTCGGGGGTATTAGCTACAGGCGCGAAGCTAGCTTCTACGCGCAAGCGCAAAGCGACAGAGGGCATAGTACTATAAAACAAGGCACGTAGAACATTATCTAAACGGCAGAATAATAGCGCCGACCTATCTAATAAACCTCCTACTAAGCCTGTATCGACATCTAATAGCGTTATTAAGAAATCGTAGTTAGAAGCTAGCTTGCAACGCCGACCGACTTCGCGTATACCTAAAGCTATACTAACACCGAAGCTACGAGCTAATAATAAGAAGCCCTTTAGCGCAGACCTTATATAGGTCGTTTAGTATCGAATAGACGGCAAATAGTATAACATTATAACTATTAATAATATGCTAGAAGACGACGATATAGACTATGCCTACTCGAGGCCGTATAACAATAAAATAGCGCAGTTAATACGGAAGGTGGAAGACAGAGTAGCTTCCTAGGTATTCGTAGAAGGACTCGGCTTACACTAACAGATAGACCGTGTATTTACTATCTACTATATACGGCTATCTATACCGAAGCGCTCGAAGACTTTCTACGCTATTATCTACGAGGACGACTATTACGAAGAGGTAGCTAAGTTCTTACGCTATTGCGCTAATACTAACACTTACTATATAATTAAAGTCCTTAAGAGTTATAAGCGCGTTGCTATGCCTAATCGACTATTAACTCTACTAAATAGTGACTAGTTTGTCAAGATTGACAGTAATCTATTAGAGTTACTATAACTAGCCTCTTAGGTTAAGAATAGCCGAAAGAATACTAACGACAAGACTAAGGAAGAATGCCGTAAAGACGACGAGGTATTCTCGACTGTATTTAAGCAGTTTGAATGCAACGATTACTAGTGCGACAACAAGAAGTTAGGCCGTAGAATTAGTTGTTACAAACGCCGTAGTATCTATTATAGTGTAATAGGCTCTCACGCGAAGGAATTTGCTAATATAGTCCGAGTTAATAGCGCTCTTCTATATTATATGCCTATAGAGCTTGCTAACAAGATTGTCGCTTCTTACGAAGAATATATACAAGCAAAGACCGCCGCTTCTGCGAAGAACAAGGCCTCTTAGCAATAGTATACAATTAACAGTCTTGTTAGCGCCCTTACTGCGGAGCGACAGTAACCGACTAGTAATAGCGGCAGCAGCGAGTCTATCCTGCTAATAGCCTTGCTCTAATAACAGCAACAGTAGTAGCAGTAGCAACAACAGTTTAATCTAATACTATTGCAGTTAATAATAGCTAACCCTGCTCTTATTAGCGCCCTGCAGCCTTAATAGCAGGTCCAGCCTTAATAGCAGGTCTAGCCTCCGCTATAGCAACAGCTCCGCAGCTCGCTAGTGCCGCCGGATATTAGTACTATATTAGGTAACTATACCGAGACACCTCTCTTCTTAGTCTAGTTCTTCTAATAGCATCCGATATAGCAGGATAGGCAGGAAGCTATTACTAAAGCTATTATAGATGATGCCTAGAATCTACAATAACTGCGACGCTAAGAGAATAAGAATAGGTTAGCGAGAGTAGTGCCTGCCTTCGGCATTAGGTAGGCGCTTCGTAAGTGAGTTATAGACTTTGCTATAATGCGTTAAAGTGGCCGAAATTGAGAGGTATAAAGCCGATATAACAACAAGCTAGCTTTACTAACCCTAGCTACATAGATTACTACTACTACCTATCCGATTTTAATTCTACAACTTAGAGATATAAGAGGCGATATTATAGATAGACCGCGTACTTTAAATAGATTGATTTGAATGTAATATCGTTAACTTCTAGCGCTATATAGGTGTTAAATCTTTAATAGCTAAATGTTTAACCCTACTATTGCTGTTCTAACTCGTACCTCGGCTTCTTTAAGCTTAGCCGATAATGCGAGTTTTGTTTTCCGATAGATAGCACTATAACTATACATGCGATTTATATCGTTGTTTTTTTATATAAGAGCGCCGCACCTATTGTCGAATGCCCGGCAATAATAATTATAATAATGTGGTATTATTGTAATAGTATATAGGATACAGCTAAACGTCGGACATTTCGGGATTTAGTCCGACATACCAAGCCTCGAAATTTCTACACTACTAGGAGACTATATAGTAACTGCGGATGGCAACAATATAAATAGCAACCGTTAGAAGTTCTTTAGAAGAGAATACAGCATTGATTTACTATAGTATAGAAGGTCTTAGCACTCTACGTACAAATCGAGCTAGAATTTAGCGCATGCTACGATTACTGCCTCTTATTCTACATCTCCGCCGGCATTATCGGACTATATTTATATAGCTTCTCGAGCACTTTACAGTGCTTAAACTAAGCTAAGTAGTCGATATTGTTACCCTATCGTTTATATGCTAGTTCTAGGTATACCTAAAAGTCTACTTACTAGTAAGGTAATCTATACTTAGGCATTGTTTGCTAGTGCTTCTTAATCTAGTGCTTAAGGTGTTTAAAGCTTAGTTCAATAGCATTATAGTTAGGCGAATATAGTGGAAGGAAGAGTAGGTATATACCCTTCGCTAAGCACATCTCCTTTAGAATAGCTCTTAAATAGGTGCTACAGTTATCTAGCAATATAACTAACCGTAGACCTGGATATAGCGTACAACGTAGCAATATTCGATAGCGTACGAATTCAATAAAGTCGTAACTATTAACGCTGCCTTACTAGATTAGTAGCTCCGGAAGATAGCTATTAATCGTATATACTAGAAGGACCGTATATCGCTGCGAATAGTATAGGTATTAGACATCCCTTGCTAGAATACCTTTTAGTGCCTATCTACGCCTTCTAAGTGCAGTCTTATTAGAGGCATAAGACTCGTTAAGGCATATAATCTAGAAGGCTGCAAATAACTATAATTTAGCCTTAAACAGAGCCCTTACTATAGGGTCTCTTTGTAAAGCCGTACGAGACAGTAGTTTGTATATAAAGTCGCTGCTTAACAAGCAACGACTAATAGTCGATTGTAACACCTATTCTTGGTAATTTTCTAGCAATATAATCTGCATCTCTTCTAACTAGTATATGCTTCTTATTATTAAGAAGTCTAGTAGGTCGTCTCGTATAGCTAGCGTAATTATATACGGCCTACTACCCTTCACTAGAAACACAGTAGCAGTCCTATTCTACCTAGTTATTCGAGTCTAAATAGTAGTACGAGAGCTACGTCTATCGCGGAGTAATAACTATATAATATCTCTGCTCTTCTAACCCTCGTCTAATGCCTATTAAATAAGGTTCTCGTCTTGTTTAGTAAGTGGAGCTATAGTAGTAGGTTGGCTGCTATATAGATCGAGGGAGGGGGGTGCGGCTTTAGGCAAATAGGTGCTAAAAATACGGCTTTTAGGCGGATATGCTACGAACAACACTAAAATAGGTATTAGATATATACGAGAGGACTTAGTATATAAGTTAATATAGTATACAGTGATTTCCAACCGTATAATAGGTATATTTGGTAAGATATAGTAGTATAGCTATTAGAAGAGGTGTAAGGTAGTAGCCCTCGTTCCCCGCGAAAAACAGTCCGGGCCCTTTTGCAAGGCACCAATAGCAGTTGATATGATATTGGCTTAACATTGACAGACAATTCGAACACTTCATTACCTGAGTTGCAAATTCAACATTCTTCCAACCGATACTTGAAACCTGACAATGTCAGCAATACCTAATCTGCCAGAGCATGTGCTCAACGCTGCAGATCCTGATGCAGATGCTACTGTGATGCACAGAATCAAGTCTCAAGAAGGCGCTGTCCACATAGAAGACGTGAGACAGCATGTCAACGGAGGTGCAAACTCACATGGCATTAAAGCTGAGACACCATGGACCATCCACGACACACCCATCGAGAATCAAAGGTCGATCAAGGTCATAGTGATTGGCGCTGGCTTTTCTGGTATCTACTGTGGCATTCGAATTCCTGAGCGCATCCGGAACTGCGAGCTTGTCATCTATGAGAAGAATGCCGGTGTTGGTGGTAAGTATGCTGAGACCTGACTACCGGGAGAGATGCTCATGAGTCAACCAGGCGCTTGGTGGGAGAATCGATATCCAGGCGCAGCTTGCGACGTCCCGTCTCATTCGTACCAATTCTCTTTCAATCCAAGCCCTGAGTGGTCTGCGCTCTATGCTCCGTCACGGGAGATTCGAGAATATCTGCGAAGTACAGCAGAGAAATATGGCGCAGATCGATTTATCAAGCTGCAGCATACTGTGACCGATTGCACTTGGAACCAAGACGAAGGAAAGTGGCATGTGCATGTCCGCAGGCCTGATGGCAGCATCTTTGAAGACACCTGCAACGTCCTCGTCAACGCGCGAGGTCTTCTGAATGACAAGCAATGGCCCGATATCGATGGACTGAAGACATTCCGAGGAGAAATCATGCACTCGGCAGCGTGGAACGAGAAGTACGACTTTACCAACAAGCGCATTGGCGTTATCGGAGGAGGCTCTTCAGCCATTCAGATGTGAGTTGCCTACACTTCTCATCAAGCCATCTACTGACATCGATCTCAGCGTACCAAACCTTCAAAAACTGCCCGGAGTCCAACTAAGCTGCTTCCTTCGCGGCCGCTTTTGGATCTCACCAGCCTTCGGCCAGACAGTCTTCGATCAAGTCGGACTTGGAAACAGCACACATTTCACACCCGAACAAATCCAAAAATTCAAAACCGATCCGCAAGCCTGGCAAGATTTCCGCATTCTCGTCGAAGCAGACTCCAACGCCATCCACGCCAGCACCCTCAAAGGAACAAACATGCAAATCGCAGGCCAAAAGTACTTCGAAAAAATCATGCAAGAACGGCTCGCCGCAAAACCACAGTATTTCGACTGGCTCAAACCGTCCTTTGCACCGGGCTGTAAACGCTTAACCCCAGGGCCAGGGTTTCTCGAAGCTCTCGTTCAAGATAACGTTACATATGTCCGAGACAAAATCTCAAACATCGAACCCACGGGCGTGGTGACGGAAGATGGGAACAGTCACGAATTAGACGTGCTCGTCTGCGCCACGGGATTCTACGCATCAGCCGCTCCACCTTTCGAAATCCGTGGTTTGCACGGAAAGAAATTGAAAGACCACTGGTGCTCACGCGCAACGAATTACCTCTCCCTCGCCACAGATTCCTTCCCGAACCACTTCCTCATGCTAGGACCGAACGGAGCAATCGGCGAAGGTTCTTTGACGATGATGATCGAAAGTACGGGCGACTACATCATCAAAGCGATTCGCAAAATCCAGAAAGAGAACATCAAAAGTATGAGTGTGAAGGTAGCACGGGTCAGAGATTTTTTGGAGTACTGTGATTCGTATTTTGAGAGGACGGTTTTTATGGATGAGTGTAAGAGTTGGTATCGGAAAGATGGGAGAGGGGTTCCAGGGGACAAAGTTACGGGGTTGTGGCCTGGATCTACTTTGCATTGTCTTGAGGCGTTGAGGAGTCCGAGGTGGGAGGACTTCGAGTATGAGTATGAAGCTGAGGATGGGAGGGAAGGGAGAGAGGTGAATCAACTCGGCTGGTTAGGGAATGGTTGGGCGATGAATCAGGTTGGTGATGGGGGTGCGAGAGGTGGTGATGCAAGCGAACATGGAAATCGACCTAGTAATGAGGTTTTGGCATTTTATCTTTTGCCGGAATTTCAGGAACGGGATTTTGGGGTTCCTGCTTTTCCTCGACCGGAGGAGAATGAGCATTTTAGAATTAGACCTTGGTCGTATTGAGTGTATTTGGATGAAGAAGGAGACTCGTCCGTGTCCTCCTCGGAAAGCGTCTCCGGGCCATCGCTAGGGCACCAGGCCATGGACGCAGCTTGGAGGAGCCTGTACCATACTTGGAGGGTATAGAAGATTAGAGAGCTCTGAGAGAAAGGAAGAGTGCGCACTAGTCTTACTGCTGGAATGATGCCTGTGTGGACAATAGAACCCATTCTTCCCGTCCTCTGCATGCGCACATCTGCCATGGCTCAAGGTGCCAGAAGAAGCTGATCGCGTTGCTGGGACTTGCCTCGCCGTATCGAAATTTGGCGCTCGCTTCCTACCTGTGCGTCCACGGTCTCATTCGGTGCGTGAATTAGCATGGCGAACACGCTCGTGCGCATCCGCAGGAGCATCATCGCAGTCAATAGTGCTACTATTTGGAGCTCGCGGTTCATCTCGATGACCAAGGTATCGTGTACTTTCGTCATCACCTATTCTTGCCACATCGAATTTCTTTGAGCTATTTCCAGCCTTTGGGCGGTTCCGGGTAAGATGTGAAGGACCACTTTCTCTTCTTGCTCGTTCCTGCCGATTGCTGGGGTCCTGCCGATTGCTGAGGTCCTGAGACGGCCGATGGTGATATCATACTGATCGGGCTGGCTGGTGAAACAGTAGACTTTCTCGCAGCAAGACCACAAGGTTGTCTGTGGTAGCAAGCAGGAAATGGGAAGCACAGCTTCACCCGTGCACTGCCTCGTGATTCGTGAAGCAAGGTCTGCCATCGGGCCTACTCATGTTATCGCAAGAGCCTCTGTGATACCAGAACGAACATATCCGATCGTGAGTTGTCAGCTTGGTCGTGTTTGTGGCGGTGGCACGAGTCGAGCTCGGCTTATTCGCTTCTGCTTCTACATATAAGTTAGCAACGGTTGTCGGCAGTCTTCGCTAATGTGGTTCTTTGCGGGTTCGGCGATCGACTTCAGACGAGAAGTTTCATAGCTTGCAGTCCTCAGACAGTCGGACCTTGTCTGCAGCTATCGATATAGGGAGATGTAACCAAAAAGGTGACGACATTGTTCTGGGCTCAATAATGTGTGCGATGCGATGCGAGGCTTCTTCCCCGCACCATTCCATCTTGTTCATCTCTCAGCGCAAGGAAGTACTGTAGAACCCGTGATCCCGACTATCCCAGCGTGAAGAGTGAAGACCGAAAGTCTCCCAATGGAAAGGCGAAGAAAGGGAAATGCGGAGCTCCAGGCAGAGGCCAGGCCTGCCAATGCGAATTTCAGGAGAATAATGCACGCACGCTCGATTCGATTGGCGCCTCGCCTACCCTGCAGGTACAGCTCCCATGCAGATCTATCGAACGTGTCGTCCGATCAACGATGGCAGACTTTTCTGAAGAACTGCCTTTTCGTTGCGTTTGGTGAGGCATTTCGGAGAGGTCGAGCAGTGCAGGGTCATGGGTTGTGAGATGAGATTTGCGAATGCGATCTGGCCACCAGCTCGACTAGCATTATGATTGTTGCGTGTCGAAACAGGGACCTTCAGAAGTGGTCAATCCAGCCACCGGCTTCCAAATAAGCGCCAGCTCGTGACCGTTAGGTGAAGGATTGGTGTGGCCCTTTTTACGGACCTTTAGAAGAGGCTAGTTAGCATGTAGTTGAATGTGGTTTAGCGCAGTAAAGAGCCCCTACCTACAGACCTTCTAGACCTTCTAGGGATATAGACTTTAGCTACAGACCTTAGCTATAGATAGCTATAGAAAATAAAGCTATTATAACTACTATAGTTACTATAATAGCCGCTACTATTACGAGCAAATACCTCGAAAAAGATAGTAGTAATAAAGAGCGGTAGGTATAATAGGAAAGTAAATCTATACGCAAATACTAGTACTACTAGTCGAGGCGTAACTAACTATTTAAACTAGCGAGAGCCTATAAGAAATAGCGCTTCTAACTTCGACTTCTTCTACTATCTAGAGGCTAATATTAAAGGCGACTTCTACTTTATAGAGTTGTTAGAGGTTATATATAATTAGTATATAACTAGACTAAGTAAAGCTAGGGTCCTAATGCCTTAGGTAGGGCTTAGCGCTTAGCGTTAGGCTAACTAGCCTATCTTCCTCTCTTTCCTCTTAAACCTCTATCGAATACTATACTAATTTACTACTACCCTATCTACCTACTAATATAACCCTTCTTATATAGTATTCGATCTACTATTACGATCTTAGCGACTTATATATACAATTCGAGGTTACGTAACTAAAGGTTATATAACTTAATATCTAAGGTATCCGCTAAGTAGATAAAAGCCTCTTCCGCGAGAGAGCCTCTCTCTCTTTCTTCTTTAACTCGTTATTAATTTAGATAGCTATTTAATTAATATCTTAATAGAATAACGAGTTCCTTTATTACCTACGATAACGTCGTAGATACTATCGTATACGCCTATACGAGGAATTACGCCGCCGGCGATCGCTATCGCCCTTCTACGCTCCCTATTATACGATAGTACTAATAGACCTATATACTAATCTATATTAGGTATAGTAAGCTACCCGACTATAGTAATACCGCCGATTCGCTATAGATCCTTTAAAACCGCCTACCGATCGCGGTAGCGGCTCGGAATATACGAATACGCCTAACTACGTAGGAATAGCTAGGGCCCCGTTAAACGGTATACTAGAACTACTATAACTACCGCAAGGTCTACGACCTAGTCTCGCTAATATCGATAGCGTACTACGATAGCCGCTACCTAGCAGCCTCTAAGACTTCTATTAGTTCTTTAATAAAGTAAACGAGTAGGAGGCCGCTAAATATATCTTCTAGTATATAACTAAGCTATATTAGTTAGTAGCTACACTTCGTTAGTAATACTAGTAAGAGGTAGAGATACTAGAATAGGTATAATAAGCTTATTATAAGACTAATACTTATCTTAATAGCGAGCTAGTATAGGCTCGGACTAAAGTAGAATACTAGCGTCGAGCCGCCGATTTAGTATATAACTCCTTAGTTATTACGTAATAGTAGTATAATAACCTAGCTTAGTAGGTCGCTCGCCTATAATAATAATAGTCTTCTATAGAAGATATCGCCCGACGAGCTAGTAAACAAGCCGCTCGCGCTCGTCGCGACGCCGAAGCGTTTTTATTATATAATCTAATCGGTCGAGGACCTATATTAGATAATAGCCGACCTTTATTCTATCGACCTCTCGACCTCTTTACTTTTCGCGACTAACCTAAGCCTCTCCGACGTTCTCGATTTAACTATAGTATCGACGATAATAATAACTATACTAGATATAGTAAGAGCGAGAAGTATCTAGACCCCGAGAAATACGATAGAGACCGTAAAAAGCTAAAACCCTTCCTTACTAAGCTTACGATTAAGTTAATAATTAATAATAATCGCTTTCTAATACTATAGGACCGACTAATATATACGTATAGTCGTACTACCGGCAAGGCCCGTTCTATAGTCTAACTATACGTCCGTTACGACGAATACGGCGTAATTATAGACTTTAACGACCTTAACGACTTCCGTAACCTATTAGTTAACGCCTTCGGTAACCCTAACGAGGTCGCTACTACTAGCTATAAAATAGACAACTTAAAGTAGAAGAATAAGGAATTTGCTTACTATCTCGTAGAGTTTAATCGACTTAACGCCTTACTTAGTTATAAAGGCCGAGCTTAAGTTAACGCCCTTAAGCGTAGCTTGTCTTCTAAATTAAAGGTAGCGCTTAGTAATATATATAATAAGCCTACTAACTTTTCGTTACTCTATCGCCGACTAACTATTATCGATAACTAGCTCCGTTAGTACTATATAGAAAGCAATCGTAATAATACTAAGCTAGGATCTAGTAGTACCGCTAACTAAGGCCCTAATACTAGCCGTAGCTATAGTAATAACGCTAGCGGCTCTAGTAACGGATACCCTCTATAAGGATATACTATTCTATATAATAACTAAGGATAGTTTACCTTAGCGAATAGTAACGGTACTACTACTACTACGACTACGACTATCTATAACTTAGACGCTATAGATCTCTCCGCTACTTAGGGTTAGGGTTAGGGTTAGGGTTAGGGTTAGGGTAATCGTCGCTATATAACGCTCGAAGAGAGAGATCGTCGCCGCTACGAAGGACTATATCGCTTCTACGGTAGTAATTACGTCTACTCCGATACTATCTATCTAGAGCTTATCCGCCGCGCTTAAGGCTATAGTAATCGCCTAAATACTAATATCTCTACCTTTAGTACTACCGCTACCGCTCTAGCTAATCTACCTCCTACTAATAATAAAGACGCTTATAGTAGCGATAAGGAGGGAAAAGTATAGCTCTTAGATAAAGTTGCGTTTAAAAGCCTATACCGATAGAGTTACCTATACCGTTATTACCGAAGGACCTAGGCTACTATTATAGAAGGAAACATTAATAGTAGAAAGATTTATAGATTAGTTTATTAGCATTATTAGGAAGTATTATACCTAAGGGCGATAATTAATATCTCGTTTTATATTATACTTTAATAGCTTATAATAAACCTTAGTCTAGTATATTAGACGTAGGGTAGAATACCGAATATTAATTATTAGTAATAGTCGATTGCGGTTATACCGGTTTATCTTTTATTAACTTATATTACGCGTACTAATACTAGCTTCCTATCTATAGCCTAAAGGAGCTATATAGATTAACTACTTTCGACGGTAGTTTTATAGTAGACGTTACTTAGTATACTAGAGCGACTATTAATATTAATAGCTATATCGAATATAGGGCCTTCTACCTTACTATATTAGGATATTATCCTATTATCCTTAGCCGTCTATAGCTTAATAAATATAACCCTCGTATCGACTAGAAGCTTAACCGAGTATAGTTTAACTCCGATTACTATAAGGAATATTATAACGACTCGTATACTATCGTTCGCGCCTACGGCTTATCCGACTGCGAAGATAACGATACGCTAGCTTACGCCGAACCCG